AATATGCCTTGATTGGAAGCCATCCACTGGGACTCTCGGAGGCTCCTCCAGATATCGCCTGGGACGACCAGTGGTTTTTGAGGTCCACCGATTAGCGAATTTCCTGGAGGCTAATATTGCAATCTTGGATAGACATATATGTTTGAATATAGTTATAACACGCTTATATAATACTTGTATAGTTACTTGATGTTACTTGATGTTACTTGTACAGTCTGTTTCAGAAACCAACTTAGCGATTACCAAGACAAGTAGCTCGGGATAATCACCAGAAAGGGATGCTGGCCTAGGGATCAAACCTTTTAATAAAAGGTCATTCGCCACACGTTCTATATGTCTAAACATTTCTAAACTACAAAAACCGGAGGTGTATTCGAATCCAAAACCCAGTAGCATGCTGTTCAAATTGTTTTCCAGGTGTTCCTTGTTTTTCTCAAAAGCTGACACATACAAAGGTAACAGAGAAGTTGCTCGCTGCAGCTTGTGAGCAGATCATTCATCCAAGTAGCATCACCCCATGAAACAACAAAGAAGTGGGACTGACATCCGGGAAAATATAATGTGGGTAAAACAAATAATAAACCATCCCCCAAATCACCATAAATAGGTGGTATAAACCATTCCCAAATGGGTGGCTTCTTATTGTTTTACCCAATATATACTACATCCTCAGGGCTTGGGAGGAGCTGAACAAATACTGAGACTCTGCCAACAAAATCCCCAATGTGAGGAGGATAGAACATTCCTCCGCGCATCGCTAAACACTCACCCATCAACATACCCATGATCATACGTGTCTAGCATGGAGCGAGCACCCCAAAAATGCACAGCCCAACACTTTGGAACTAACTTTTAGATACTTTTAGCCGCCTGAACATGCAGTGTCAGAGTACAGTTACCCTTTCTGCAAAGCTCTTACCTGGTGTATGCCATCTGTGGGTAATAGCCATGATAGATCCGCAGGTCGCTGGTTGCATTTCCACTTCCAAGCCATGAAAGCTGGATGAAACAAGACTCTTCATGTACTTGATGCGTATAGAGCAGTACTGGATTGGAATAGAGCAGATCATAATATATTATAATATCACATAATATCTTCTAATATCTTACAAGTACATCAATAATATCCCATAGGATCCATGTATGCTATATATGGTAACATTTACCATCAATATACCCCCAATATCCCCCAATGTTAGTATATTATATACCAGCACCATGGAACCTATGGGTAATGTCTTATCATTACATCAATACGTTCCACCGGATCTCGCGGTCTCGCCACATCTTCGCACCAGAGATGCTGGTGTCATCCTGGAGCAAACCATAGAAATCCCCAGCAGATTTCAGTGTTCATGGAATATCATGCCATACTCATCATAGTAAACTTATGTAAACTTCCATCCAAAGTCATGGGTTTACTATCGACCGATTGACTGTCTTTCTTGTTTTGCGAGTTACTTGTGGGGAGGGTGTCCAACATATTTGGGTCATTTTGGATCCATGGTCAAGCTCAAACTCGGAATTTAAAATTGCAGTGTTTCTCTTCACTTGTCAGTGCAGACCACAGATTCAAGCATGTACACCACAGATTCAAGCATGTACAAACGTAGATCCACTGATCCACTTGTAGAACTGGGTCTCACAAGATTTCGGAGGCTTCATACTTAACATGATCTGATTATCTAATTTGTGTTGACTCGTAGCCAGTTAATCAACAAGAAATGACTGGAACGAATTCACCCAAGTGGCTCTACCATCCACCAATGAGTTGACTGATGTTGACTGGCCATGCTTGTTGCTTGACTCCCGAAAAATACCATTCACCAGTCTGCTTGCCAATCATATCAATCATTTACAGTGATAAGGGGCAGACAAGACTATGAGCTTCAATAATTTTATTGAAATCTATTTTACCAGTAAACACATGATGTCCATCTTCACAAATCACATATTTCACCAGGATTTTACATGCATTTCCAAAATGGATTATACATAAAAAAATCCTGCTATTCTTTTGTGAAATCCATTCATTTTACCAACATTTGACCCATACACCACTGGTGGCAGCTATTGCCGTGTGCAACCGGCTTAATCCCCATGTTTTGTCATATTTTGATGTTTAAAGTGCACTGTTTTATGGATAAACAATGTTTAATGACCCATTTTATGGTTCAATCATGTTTAATAGTCATTTTATGGTTAAATATGGTTAAAGAATGTTAAATAGCCATTCATTTTATGGTTCAATAATGTTACAAGTACCGTAAATAGCTATATTTCTGCCGGTTCAATCCCAATTTCCCCAGTTCTGGTGTTCAAATCCCCAGCTCCTCCAAACGCCTGGATGCGGATATGTCATGGGGATATCATGGATTAATCGATTCATCATAGAATGATCATATGGGAAAAACAATAATGATAATGTCACCCATGACTGGGAATGGTAAGCATACCACCTATATATTTATGGTGAAATTGGGGATGGTTTATGGCATTGTCTTACCAACATTTTTTCTGGGGATACACATAGGATACATTACCAACTTGATGACAAAGCCGTTGGGAACCGACCGGATCCCACAAAATCCACTGCAATGGGAGATCATTTTGATCCGTGCTGTTTGGGGATGCCAAAAAACTTGCCTGGGAAACTCAGCAAACATGTTGATTTAAGGAAACCAAATGGGAAATACCCCAAGTTCGTGTGGATTTGAGCGCTTCACCGAGGTTGACCAAGAAATCTAGAACAATTCTGATTTTGAGCCACACACACGTGAATTTCACCCACAAAAACAACCCATTTCATGTTGGACCTCGTAGAAACATCAGAGGATGTATTAAAGTATACCTCCGGCCTTGCCAAGAAAAGGGGCATAGGCAAAGATAAAACCTCTGGCTGGCCGACGTTGGAGATTTAAGACATTTAAGCAACACAGGTGCCAGTTTAATCCAGAACTTTGAAGGTTTAGCATATCCCAGATGCTCCATGTATGGAATATTTATCTACATTTGGGTCATTTTTGGGGTAAATGTAGGTAACTATTCCATACATGGAGCATCTGGGTATGATATCCAGGATCCGGATACATGGCTTTTTTCTTGGAGACCTAGCAACAAAGCTGTTGCTGTTTTTGATTGTATCCGTACATTAAATATATAATATATATATATAAAGCGTAATTATACATGATATATCATAATATCATATACGCATATTCTGTGTGCTCTTCTCCCATCAAAATGCCTAGAACCTCCCCAGTCATGCAGCTTTCCTCGCCTTTTTGGTGAGGATGCGGCGACTTTTGGCCGCTGTGGCATCTCCCGGGGTGATGACGAAGGGAACAACAAACGAGACGCGAACAAGTGACGTGGTGAATCCTGCGAGCTGGAGCTGATTTTGTTCAACATGTTGTTCTCGCATTTTTGACGAGGCAAAGGATAGAGCCCAAATCTCCTGAACTTTCTTTGGATGGGCTGGCCACTTTTGTGGTATTCTCGATGTAACTACTTAAGCCCATCATCTGTCAGCAACATCTTCTGAGGCTTGGTGCGACCATAACTTCATGAGATGATGCATTGATGTTCAATGGTCTAGATGCTGCTTGTCGCAAATTGCATGCTCTACAAGAACACTTGAACCAGGATGGCGGCAAAATATGTATAGACAGATTTATAAGGGTTGAACAGTTGACGCAGTCAACAATGATTGAGAAACAAAGAACCGGTTCCGCTTGATGTGTGGTTTTGAAACTAAAGTTTGTAGATCCACATTGGCCACTGTCAGACTTTGGTTTCACGGGATGTTTGGTGATGCCGCCAAATTTTCCCAGTTTCGATCTTAGCTTCGAAATTTGAAGAGAAACACAATCTTGACTCGTGATCTACATGACTATCAGGCGCAACTCCCTAATCCTCTCGACTAGTTATAAACACACTCCTGGAAATATGAGGATCGACGGGTTGGATTCTGTCACATACTTCTGCAGAGGACGTAGTTTTCATGATTTTCCAACTCAGAGACCCCACCCGCACCGGAAAACCCCCGTAATGCCCGTTCAACCAACTCTTTTCTGCCACGGAAGGCCCTTCAACACCTGTACAACTGGTTGCTTGTGACGGTCACTTATCCTTAAGTGCCACCACCCCAGCGCTTTTTATTTTGAAACCCCGAATCGGACGTGCGTTTCGCAGCAGATTCTGCACGTCACTTCACGGAGCTGGTTGGCTACAAAACCATGCAAAGTCCTCCATTGAAGTCTTGTGGGCTTCTGGGTGCATATTCATTGTATACACATGATCTGAGCGTACATAAGCAAGCATTGCTATTTTCTGTGTTTTTTTGCTATCTATATAGATCCAGAGTGATCCTAAGTGTAAACAAATATCAAAATCCATTGTGTTCACTTTCAGTGAGTATGATTAATTTTTTCGAACGTGGCATCAATATCACACAAAGAGGCAACATGTGCTGTAGAATGCAAGTCCCATATGTTAAAAAAAAACACCTATAGTGAAGAATATGACAGTCTAGCAGGGATAGCAAAGAAGAAATCACAACCACTTGCCAAATAAGAAAACCTTGATTGGAGTCCTTTGCCTGCAACACCGGTCGCAGCGACTGGTGGTGCATCATTTTTTGTCGAACTGAATGGGAGGTTCAGTAGAATACGACTGGGTGTTGTTTCAAAGCCCGTATGATTGCTGCGCTTGAATGGGGAGTATGTATCCAACATGGGGTTCAATGGACATTTGGTCTGTTTCCGAAGAAGTCGTCAAAGTTTGTCTGGTATGAACAAACCTCCAACACATATCTTGATAGTGCGGACGGAAGCTTTTTCGAAGCCATACAAAAGCCATAGCTCTAGCAGTCTTTCATATGTTTTCATGTTTTGACACTCACAACCTCCATCAACCTCCATGGGTTGTTGGATATTCCCCTCTTTTTTTTTCAAAGAGGTCCCACTCCGCCACCACGATTCATGGACGGTTTTTTTCGCTCACTCCGCCGTCTCTGGTGGGCCATCTGGCAGCTCTGGATCAATATCCTCCCAGGTCTGCCATACTGGGCGTGGGGCCCCGAAGTATAAGGTTTAGAACCTCCATGAGGCCCATGAACCTTTTGGGATAAGATGGTATAAGTATGTATAAGATGGTATAAGTATCATAAACCAAAGTTATTGGAGTAAAACAGAAAAAGAACTTAGCTGTCGGCGGCCCGACTATTTTTTAGAACTTTGTAGATATCCCGCCTGTCCAGACATCCCAATGGCAGAGGGGAACCTCGTTATCCCAATGGCAGAGTAACCCCAAATCCCACCATGATGTTACCTATTGAAATTATGAATCTGAAATAAGGCCATTGAGAAGATCCCCCCAACCTCATCATATTTTAGTACAGTAAGCCCCAAAAAGATTGACACGTATTTCCAAGATACGGTATTTCTATAATTATATGTAATGATACATGATACATGATACCTTTCCTATGAATTCCAGCTTTCCAATGCTTTCCAGCATTCTATCGTCATTTCGGGGGGTCCTCTTCCTCATCGTCCTGACGAAGGCGAAACGGCGAAACGGTTTCTAACCGTGAGAAGATTGATATCTGCTGATCAAGTGGTCGTCCTATTCACCTATCCATCCTCCAACGTACATGGTACTGGAACCACTTTACCATGGTACACCTTATGTTGCTGGAGCCTCATTATGTCATTGGGGACTCCTGTAGGTTGACTAGGTTCCAGTCCATCCTGGCGCCAGAGTGCCAGAAAAAACCTATATATTGTCTCTTGATGTCTCTTGTGGCATGGCCAACCTCAGAGATACCCTTCAAACAGTCATAACCAAGGTTTAGCAACTCAACCTTGGCTACTCCGGTGTCCTGCGTTGGTCAAAACTCCCTATAGTTTGACAGCTGAAACATGTGGAAATCGCAATATTCAACACCGGTTTTCCATTTGCCAAATGCCTTGCCCATATTTCCAATTTCATGATTCAGCCCGCAGATATTTTGAGTGTGTTTCTGCCTCAAGGAACATGTCTTCGTCGGACTCCAGAAAGAGTTCGTCATCATCCAGCAGGTCCTCAAAGCCACTGGCAATCCTCCCCAACTGGAGGATGAAGAAATTAAACACAATCAAAAACTATAATATCGTTGGAAAACCCTTAGTAGCTCCTCTCCATTTAATAGGAATACCCATAGTCTCTTAGCTGCCTCCCAACCGTTAGTGGGAATCTGCAGGCCAAACATATTAGAGGCTGATCATCTAATCAGAGACAGGCGTTTCAAACATTTTTTTGCAATTCCGAGCGACAACATATTATTTACCCATGATGATTTCCATATCTGTTGGGCAAAACCACCAACCAAATCACCAAGTCTTGTGAACCTCTTGAAACAAAGGGGGTGAAATATAAGCTTCCACAGAACGACATGCATATACTCCAGATATTCCCACGGTCGTCCTGAAATATGTTTGGTCACTTTGGCTTTGAGTTTTGGAACCGCAACCCCAACCTAGTCCAACCCATCATTTGAAACCACCAAGCGGGTTTGTCTGAACATAGGGCCCCAAAAAATCCAATAACTTATGCTCATCTTCTGCATAAAACAGCACTGTGTGGGTCTAAATTCTAAATCCCTCATGTTCAGACATGCCCCATTCATCCCATCCCCCTTTGTAATTATATAATTATATACTAATATCATATCATATCATATTATATGGTGCAACCCCATTTGTGGGTGCAGTTTTCTTTTTTGAAATCCCCTACATCCACCATGATTCCTTGGAGAAGGGGTGTTTCTCCGTCAGATCTGGGCCTCCTCTTCACCCTCTTCCAAAAAGAGATCATCAAATTCATCTTCGCCTTCCTGCGAGCCCGAGGAATGGCCCTTATAGGGTTATTACCCTCAAGGGTTTCCAGGCCATTTCCGGGTCATTTCAGGTTTATTTCACTTGCCATTGTATGCTGATCTGAGGATTATTATCTGGTTAATAGACCAGATAGTGAGGCCCTGGTCCAGTGCCCCATGTCACTGCAGATTTATCCTGGTGATGTTTGGCGTAGCCAGTTGCTGACAGCTAACCACTGCTGGAATCTTTGATTACCCTCCAGTAAATTAACATAGACCCTGGTAGATAGGGGTTGGAAGATTAGTTTCCTCTAAAAAAATGTGATTTTCAGGGTCTATGTTAATTTACCAGAGGGTAATATGCCCATTCAATTTCCTATCGAAGTGGTTCTAAACCCCTGCCACGCAATCAAACATCCAGTCATCCACTGGTCAATTGGTCAATCTGGTTTCTGGGCTTCCCAAATTTCCACGCAAAAAAAATTGCACCATGTGACTACCCTCTGGTAATTTCACAGTTCGCTATTGAAAATGACCATTTAGTTCGTGGATTTTCCCATTGAACATGGTGATTTTTCATAGTTTTTTGTATGTTTACCAGAGGGTAAAATCTTTGCTTGATATTGCCATTCAATTTCCCCCGTTTTTAAGATGATGTGAAATACCACCCCCAAAAAAACTACCATCAATTACCATGACGACCCTGGCAGAAGTTGGGGATTGGATAACAATTTTTTCCAATCTAAAAAATTGCGATTCTCAGGGTCAGTCCGGGTTGCTCCGTAAACCCCAGATACATAAAGGCAAAATTAGAGGTCAAATGTTCAATTTCCCCACCTTTGTGGCTATGATTTGCCTATGATGGGCTGGTGGTCAACTATGGATGTGGCTATCATCTGCCATAAAGATCATTTCCAACAGGCAAACACATGTATTTCCCGATGTTAGCTGACTGGAATGTATGGAATGTTAAGTTGTTCCATATATCCCCAGATTTTATTGTTTCCCCATTATACATTATATATACACAAAACCATTAACTATTGATGAGTGTTTGTATGTGTTCGTTCATTGGCCGTTAATTCGTTCATTAGCCATTAACCATTGATGACCATCGATGATTGTTTCTTGGATCTCATAGCCATTTATTACCATTATAATTCCCCATTGTATAACTAAATGGTAGCCCGCGCAATTTCTGTGATATCCCCATTATATCGCCATTAAATCACCACACTATCTAATGTTTGTCTCTAAAGTCACCATGTAAAAAACTGGTTGCCCTCTGGTAGTTTCGCATAGCTTTGAACAAATGCCCATTTCAAGATGATGTACCAAAAGAAATGATCAGTTTACAACATGTGGGTAAAGCACCAATTAATAAACCACCCATATTTTGAGGGTTTATACGACCAAAGTATGGTAAACTTGGGGATGATGGATCCTATTGCCATACCAACATGAAAACAATTATAGTTAGTTTATTCTCTGCATATTAACAATCATTCAGCTAGATAGTTGGTTTAGCACAACTCCCATTTAATGATAGTTATTTTTTTAAAGTAATTAATTAACATGAATTAACTATCATGTAATGATAGTGTTAATATATTGATTGTTGTTTAACATATTTAACGAACTGATTTACATACGTATATATCCCATATAGGATCCATGTATGGTATATATATATACTAACATAAAGGGGGTATATTGATGGGATCCGTGGCACACCATATATAGCAGCACCATGGCTCCGTCATGGGATATTCATGTACTTGTAAGATATTAGAAGATATGATGTGATATTAAAATATATTATGATCTGCTCTATTCCAATCATTTACATATATTATCCTGATATAATCCTGATATATCATGTGAATTTAATCTATTATGGGATTATAATGGTATATTTACACTATTTTTTGGTTTACCAAAAAGGTCACGAATAAAACAATCTCTGCAGAGTCTCTCCCTGCAGAGTCGCCTCCATGAAGCCAAGGTCGTCAGGCGCCTCAACGGCGTCCTGGTTTCGCGGGGTGCGGACCGCGAAGCTGGGGAAACAGAGACCCCAAACATGCCAAAGAGTGGGGAAATGGAAGGATAATGTATGATGATGTGGATGATGATGATGAGGATGATGATGACGATGATGATGGTGATGATGATGATGATGATGATGAGGAGGAGGAGGAGGAAAAAAGAACATGCGAAAAAAAAGGTGGGGGTTATGGGATTCAAGCGGGAATCACAAATAAAAACCATCATAAAACCATCTTCATATTCTGTGAAGACGTGAGGATAGTTCATCATGGCCTCTGCAGGCGCCACTGGTGGGGCAACGGCACTCTCAGGCGCCTTGCAAGGTGCCAAGGCTGCCGGTGGCGGGTTCAGAGGACTTCACCAGCTGTACGATCCATGACACTCAGTGTCGATGCTTGAGAAATGGGTGACACCGCATCGATATGTGGATTCAAGGAAAGAGGGGACGTAGTGGAAGCAAAAGCATAGCAGCCAGTGACCTCAAACTTAGATGTATGAATTACATGTTCAACATTTTGAATCTCTTCGTTCTGAGGAAAATCTGGATGTAAAGCGAAATAAATGGTATTTCATCACCCCAAAATCTTACAAGACAAGTAAATGCTCCATGTATATGGCATTCTTACCTAGGTACGGGTCAGTATCGGGTCAAGCGATGCTGAAGAATACATGGAGCATTTGACCTACAATATCATACAATATGGCAGTGAAATCTTCCGGAATGGCTGAGTCCCCATTTGCATCGATTTGCACCATGATTTCTGGGGCCCAAGGTTCGAAAAACACTTCCGCACCTTTGCTTCTGCCTTGGCTTCGGCTTTCGGTTCCTTGGGCTGCGAACATTTTGGTGACGTCTCTACCATCATGATGTGATGGTCCCTTAGCTCTGGGATACGACCCACAGATGAATGTTGAACCACAGCACGCAACCATGTTTTTAGATAAGGAGGGTCAAACTCGGATCTTGCGAACACTCGTTGATGTCTTGCTTCCAGCTGGACAGAGGGCTGGAAATCAGGCTGGTATTTTTTCTCTGTGGCCTATTTACACCTGTCGCTGTGGCAATTTTTGTGTTTGCATTTGAGACCCGCTTGTGGGACACTCGATAATGTGGAGCGGAAGGGGCACTTTGGTTGCGTCAATTAACCACATGTTCCAAAATTATATCTATTATATCCATCATTTGGGAATGTATCAAAATTTAAGCACCTTTTTTTTGGGACCACAAGATTGACATTGTAATGATATGTTTAGTATATATCATCGAATTATTGGGGTCCGGGTATCTCATTTTTGACCACAAAGCTGCTATCTGCTGGACGCTGATCCTATGATTTTTGGGGAACCGAGAGCCTCACCTGACATTTAGGGAAAAAAAACTTTAGGAACTATAGAAAAATATACATTATGTACATACATTACATATTAGGGGATTCTTAAAATAGGGAATCCCCAAGTCACAAGGCGGGTTTCACAAAGGGTTTCAATGGTCTACAACTCTGCATGACTTGCTTTTTTCTCCCCATGACTTGGGAACCCTCCATAATATGATATGTACGTATCATACATATTAATTTGCATAAATATGCAAATGTGTGTATATATATATAGCTTCCTGATAAATTTTACTCAATTTGTTATGGATCAAAAACCTGGTACCCTTACCCTAAGTCATAGCTGGTATAGCTGGATGTTTATTCCCCCAGTGGTACGAGTAATTTCATAGGTTTTGAATGGTTTTGACCCATCCCCCAAATGTTTATCTTATCAAAACAGCCAAGCTTCCGCCTTCGCTTTGGGCTCTGCCTTTGCCTTGGCCTTGGGCTCCGCCTCCGCCTTGGCTTTTGCCTTGGCCTTGCGAACGACTTCGTTGGATGTCAGCCCCCAAAAAGGCTAAACGGCTAAACCACCAGAAGTTGCATGGGTGAAATATGATGAAATACCCATAGTTGATATATCTACCCTCTGGTATTTAGCATAGCTATGGAAAATGACCCATTTATAGTTGATTTACCTAGTAAAAATGGTGATTTTCCATAGCTATGTTAAATTACCAGAGGGTAAATGATGTTAAATCATGTTGAATCCACATCACTTGCTTCGAGAAGTCACCGGCGGATTTGGTCGCTACATGGCTCATGAGGCCCCTGGTCATCATGGTCATCCCACCATCGGATTCAACAAGGCGGGAAGGCGATCCTTGAACTCACCAGAAACGGGGCCCCAAGGTGGATCACCAGGAATATCATGAATCCATCCCTGAACTAAGTGGCAAAATTTAACATAGCTATTGAAAATGTCCATTTATAGTGGATTTTCCCATTAAAAATGGTGATTTTCCATAGTTATGTTAGTTTACCAGAGGGTAAGTGGCAAAAATGATCAAAACATGGTCAATATCATAATTTCCCCAATTTCCCATGAATATCACGATCGGAATTACATGGAATGATATCCCCATGAAGTTATCTCAATTGAATCCCCTGAAATGCACAGCACATATCACCACATGACATGTAATGAATATCCCAAGGTTTAAAAAAAACTATACCCAAGGTAAGAAAAATATATACTTATATATAATATTATATATATAATATATAATTTATATAATGGCACCCATCCAATTACAAAATCATCAATTTTCTTTTGCAAAAGTTACCCAGCTCCCACTTGACGGCGCCTTTCCCTTGGCCTTTGGCTCCTCAGTGAATCTGGGATCGGAGCTAGCGTCCTATGGACTCTTCGTCCCTATCAAAACCAGTTGTAGCTATTGAAACAATGGTTAGATATCGAATAGCTATCTAATAAGTGGATATAAGTGGAGACTACTTTTACCACTGGTTGGGTAAAAGTATGATAAGAGTATAAACCCACCTTTACACCTAATAAGTTTACCTGAAAAATGTATATAAATTATGACCCGTTGGTGATCCTGCCATCCTGGCCTGGTTATCTCCCTGCAGAAACCATGCTTTCGTAACGAGGTGATACAAAAAGCACACACCTCAATGGGACCAATTTAAATGGGGATGATGGATGTTGACTAATGATTATTTAATGTTGAATGTGAAATCCATGGTGTTTCCGGTGGATTCAAGATGTTTCAATGGTTGATCCATGTCTTTCCGCCCACCGAGCCCACTGGACCCCGTTTCAAAGGACTCCAAAGTGGGTGACACGGAGGGGTTCAAAATGGCTCTTAACCCTTTCGCGTTATGATTTTATATTATTGTTATAACTATGTATATATATATATATATATTTATCAATGGCAACTCCAGGATCCTAAATTGGAGGTACCTACTATATATAAGGCCTATTTTTCAGGCCTATGTAAGTGAATATCCCAGCAAAATATGGCCTTATATGGTACAGTACCTACATTTTAGGATCCTGGAATTCCCATTGAATATATATGTTTTTTGTTTCTGCGCCCATTCGAATTGGATACGAAACCATCTTTCGTGGTTGCCACTATTGACTCGAGATCCATAAATGATGCACATATCAGCTTAGATATACTTAAATAATACCCACCATTTATCAATAGATATCATTATTATTATTGTTATTATTATTATTATTATTATTATTTGGCTGACTATATTAAGTGGCTGTATATATATATATATGTATATATATATATAGATAATTAGATCATATTAGATCTATTAGTATACTGAGATAGACTGACTATATTTGGCTGATTTTAGCTGGGCTATATATCCCTTTGGCTAAGGATCAAACAGCAAAGGAAAGTGGTGAATAGATGTGAAGAGTGAATGTCATGTCAACCCCGGATGAATAAACCCTGGCTGATTAATTGGTGGTTCCCCCAAATAGTACCCTCTGGTAAACATACAAAAAACTATGGCCAATCACAATTTTTTATGGGACAACTCACTATTTCGACTGGGCCATTTTCAATAGCAAACTGTTAGTCATTACCAGAGGGTAGATATATCAACTATGTGTATTTCATCATATTTCACCCATGAAACTTCTGGTGGTTTAGCCTTTAACATTACCAGAGGGTAAACCATAGGTACCCCCCCAACAACGCCAACATGTCATCATTTGACATTCACCCAACTCTCAGCGCCGAGGCGCGGCTACCGGCTCGTCCTGGCGGAATCCCAACATTTGCTCAACGGAGATCCGTGAAAACGATCATGGGATCCATCGTGATTTTCAGGGATATATGATGGATATATGATGGATATATGATGGAAATATGATGGAAATATAATGGAAATATGATGGAAATATGATGGAAATATGATGGAAATATGATGGAAATATGATGGAAATATGACCCATGACGGATTCGTGGTGCTGGTTTTTTGCTGCGCTAACATGACTGGGGTATATTGATGGGATCCATGGCACACCATATATAGCAGCACCATGGATCCGTCATGGGTGATGGACCAGCACCACACCTTCTTGGCCTTCTTGGCAGCCGGATCCTGGTGGTCAGATTTTGTTGTGAGCGATCAACAATTTTCAGCACCCATAGAAACCAGGGGTACAGCTTGCACACGCCTTTCTTGGTGACTCGCAGAACATGCCATTGACAAATGCTCCCGGTACGGAATTTACCACTTGGATATGCAACCCAGTTGGTATGTGTTAAAACCTGGTATACCCTAGTTCTAAATTGGCTGTTTACCGCTGTTTTACGTAAAGATTAATCAGTTCTGAGCATTTCTGAACCCTTCAGAAGTGGTATGCAAGATTGTGCCACATTCCGAACCGATCTGTGGTCAAGAACATGTGTATATATATATACACAAGTATACAGTATACCCACGACATGTGTATGTGTATAATTATACTCATCCTGGATTCGACAGAATACCAACAACTTAATCAATCCTTACTATGGGACTATCTTTGGAAATCAAACATTTCATCTACTTCAGGATTGATACATATACATATACATATACATACACATATACATATTTATATATAATATACTGTATTATATAATATTTATGTATGTAAGTATAATTGAATATACCCATACAACATTCATGCCTGAAGTTTGCCCCAGAGTCCCGGCACCTGCTTGGGCGTTGCCGCGCGCTTGCCTTTGTACTTAAGTCAAATTTCACCCGCGCGCGACCCACCGAAATATCTCAATGATCCCAAAAAATGGGGATGGTTTATGGGATGATTTTGGGATGATCATATGTTTTTATTTATCTCAAAGATCCCACCTAAATATCTAAAGTAAATGGTTCATGGGGATGTTTAAGGGCCGAATGGGGGAAGGGGTTGATGTAAAATCATTTTTGACACCGGAGTTTTGGAGTTCCAATGCTGCTGTTTTTACAAGAGAAAAACTGGGGACCTCAAGGATGATTTTCTTCACTCAAGGTGGCCTTTCTTGCATATGGTCTACTCATCCGCTTGTAGCTTGTGAAAGAAACAGTCATGATTATATAAGTTATGTTAAGTGATCATGGCAACAACTCTTTGGCTGATGATTCTTCCGAATGCTCCTACTGGGCTTTCTGATGAAAATAACAGTTGTCTTGCCCAATGGTTTTAGGGAACATTTGCATGACAACCCAAATTTTTGGACTGTAAAGAACCATCATTCCAAAATTTTCCCTTAAATCCTACCATTGAGGTCAAAATACACAAACCTGCTTTCCAAACATGACCATGTCTGTCCAAGTCCGAACATCATGTTTAGCCGGATCGGCTATCCCTAAATCCACTGCTTAATCGGTTAATCATCATTTTCCCACATTTTTTGATGGCCATTTGAAGATACACCTCAGGTATCCACTGGTGATTTTCATCATGTTCCAATGGTGAAAATCATCATTTTCCACATGGGTTTTCCACATTTTTAGACACACCTTTTTTGGTTTTCCACGTCAGGTCCAGTTCCAGCTGGGCCCACCGACCCATGGAATCCTGCAGACCTGGAGAGGGATGGTGATGCCGAATGGGTGAAACCTTTGAAATGCATCACATGATTTACTAACAGTGGGACATGATCATATTACTTAAGCTAGTATATTATATTAAGTAGTATCTTATAATCATCTTAAATTAATATATGTTTTATTATATACATGATATTACGGAATCCATGTGAAGTTTGTGGCGGAAAATAATGTGATGTAGCAACGAAATCCTGATTTCTCCATCCCCCACTTGAAAAAAACAAAAATGGGTCAACCATCAACACCGCGGGCTCGGTGAGTCCTCACCAAGCCGATGATAGTGAAGTGAAACACGGCATCTCCACGTAGCATTTCGTGCAAAATGGTGGATGCGTTTTCTTGCCAACGTACCAGCCATTTGACTTGTCCCAACATCTTCATCGCCAGCAAAGCAAATGGATGCATATCAAATCACCCCTTCACGGATATACCCTCCGGTAAACTAACATAACTATGGACATTTGCCCATTTGTAGTTGATCTATATACCTATAGCTATGTTAGTTTACCAGAGGGTAAACATCAATTGATACGTCTAAGATACAATATCCCAATTTTTCTGATTTCCCATTGTCATTTTTTGGTAAAGCGATGGATTGTTCATCCACTGTACGATAACCAGGAGTCACCTTCAGTAACCACAAATACAATGTGTTAATTTTGATTAATGTACAAGGATGGAAAAAAGATGAAAAAAGGATAATTATATATGGCTAATCAATATATATATACCGCACATCAATCCAAATCAAGGGCTAAATTTGGTCTTTGGATAGGATGTGTTTCCCTCTTCCATAACCTCGCCTTGGCTCAAGGCGTGCCCCAGCCACAACGCCCTGCTCGCACGGTGCTTGCCCCGCGCCGCAGAAAGCAGAGCCAACGCTGCATTGGATGTGACGACATAACAGTTTCACCGTCTAACCTATGACCGCCAAAATCGATAACACTGAAAAACAATTTAGGGAAAACCATGGGGAAATTGATGATGATAATATGATATGATGGTGAGGATGGTGATGATGGTGATGATGGTGATGATGGTGATGATGACCTCTGACAAATCCTTGGGATCTCTCCAAAAATAAGGACATAACCTGACATAGCGACAGAAAAAGGAGAAAACAAAAGCAGCACCACTACAGGAGCAAGAGCAAAGGCTAAAAACGTGACAAACATGACAAACATGATGTACAAACATGCCCTCCGGTAATCAATCATGGCGTGCTGGAAAATTATGGAAAATTGACAGTTGATGTTCCCACTAGACCACACTGAAACCTCCATCGACTTCAAGGGTTGTCCACGTTTTATTCCCACGTTTCGCAGATTTTCGACACGCGGATGGTCGGATCCCGAGGGGCTCATGTCCTGGTCAGGGTGAGCCCGTGATCCCCACCCTCGTCGCCACGTTGGTCATTCCGACGTGGTCTTTTGGTAAACAGGTAGTGAGACCCTCGTCATTGTGAAACCTTCATAACTAGTGCCATATTTGCCAATATCCCCCTCGCAAATGCCTATCATGTCATGCAAATCAAAAGTGTTGTCCACTTTTGACAACAAAAGAGCGTCCTGAACTCGCGAAAGACAAAGTATGCGCGTCTCAATGCCTGAAAACAGCTGGATTTGGGCATACCATCAATCGACAATTGGTTACTCTTCAGATTCGTCTAACCATGTTCAACCCAAAACCTACAAAATCAGTTCGCTTCAGTCGGTCATTATGGGGTTTTCAGGGTGTCCTCACATTCGTAATCTGTATTAATCAGTATGAATCTATGTTAATAGTGAAATTATGAATATCATAATTGTCGTAATTAGACCCAGGTTAAATCAAATGAAATCCCCGTTGATCAATGGTTCTGTCGCCATGGGATCCCCTGCGATGGGTCCCGCCTCTCGCACGTCATCCATGGTACGCAAACCGCTCACAGAGACCTGGCTGTGGAACCGGCCAACCATGGCCGACCTGCTGGCGTTACCGTTGTTTTTTTTAGGTCAACCGACCAGAAAGTTACCCTGGGGTAAAACGAACGATGTGAAAAACTGCGGGGAAATCCTCGGAAAATGATCTATACAAATAGTGCGAAAACATCACATCCAGCTTATAGTTTGCAGGAAGGTAATCCCCTTAATTTCCACGGATTTTTCAAGGTAAATTCATGTTGATGGAAATTGGGCAAACTTTGGATCGAGTTGATGATTACAAAAAAACATGGCCCATTTTGATTTGGATGCAGAAACTTGATATTTTATGAACAATGGATATGTATCTGGATGCTTGGACCAAAAATCATGTTCAAATTGGGATATGTTCCTTTGAAAGTTGCTTGCACAAAGAGTTGACATGTCAATAAATTTCGTTGTCAACTATCGACCCATTCGTAGATGCTTCGGGGATCATCAAATAACACGTACAATCGACATCCCAAATGCAAGAGTTTCCCAAGAATTCCCACAGGAAGACCCATTCCCCTACATTCCCCTACCCTGGATAGATTTGATAGGTAAGTTGGTTTATAATGGTTTATATCTAAGCACTATCTAAGCGAACTAGGATTTATGGTGAGGATGGAATCTTTAGTTGCGGGATCAAACACCCATTTACCTCATTTTTGTCGTGCTTCTTCCAGCTTTGTACAGCGTAGACACCTCCACGGATTTTGGAAAGGTAGATTTGTGGACATAGCAACACAAATCAATACTGTGCATCAAATTATATAAGATCGAATTATATAGTTATTCTATGTATTTCTATGTCAGGCCTTGACCCTCAAAGTAGTCATTCACACATGTCTAAAGTACTCATTAAAGAATTGTTGGCTAAATTTGTTGGCTAACATGCCAGATCTGTGCTTCTCCCAGCCTTGCCGCCAGCGGTGATGAGATACGTACATTTGGGCCTCAAAAACCCATGAAACGCAAAGGCAACGCGGCAACACTTTGTGTAAGCGATCAGAAAGGGAACACAACACATTGTAACAATACAATATACAGTATACTCCAAACTGTATTGATTTATATAAATAAATATATGTACAAATATGAATAATATAAATGTTCTATTATTCACAACCAATTATAGTATTGCAATCATATAAACACAATGCTACATTCATCTGTGTCTCTATTCGAAGGGAGAGCAACAAAAGCTTTGTTAGTCCCAAGAGTCCAAAATTCTGCAAGAAATGTTTTTTTCTTCAGGAACATACCATTGTCTGTGAAACATCAAAAGCGGTTATTGATACCTCAATCATATAAACACAAATACCATACAATGGTTTCTAGAAAAAAATACACATAAGAGGTATTGGTGTTCATCATACCATTCTATACCATTGTCTGTGAATCAACGCAAAAAAAACACTTAGAAAGAAACACTGACCATGATGTCTAGCGTGGAACATTACACATCATTCTAACATCCATGATGTCTACAGAAATTGTATTGCACCATCCATAGTCGTAAGGGACAGGGATATCCAAGTTTATTACCCAATCGCTGAACATTGCTTTGACCCTTTCCTTTTAAGGGCGATCATTTCAGTACTTCCTGGTTCACGCGCCCGTTAAAAACAACTGAAACCACCAAGAAAGGCTAGACCCAATAGAGCCACAGGTGCCGGCGCAACTGAGTTGTCCTGACTTCTTGGTGCGAAAAACCTCGCGCCGTGTGCAGGGAAGGTTTCCGTGACCAGTTTGACCAACAAAAATCATCTGCGTTGGGAAAAAATCGCCCACAGGTCTGCAACAGAAAGTGACGCCCCCAGGGTATAAGTTGGATTACAAGCCCAACAAACTATGGATAAATCGATCATTAAAAAACATATCCCGGCAAGAGACCCCAAACAGTGTGGGGGGGAATGAACAGGTCATGTATGATAATGTTGATGAGGATGTTGATGATGATGATGATGGTGCTGCTGATGATGATGATGGTGCTGCTGATGATGATGATGATGATAATGCCAAATCATGCTGATGATGATGATGATGAGGATGATGAGGATGATGAGGATGACACTGTTGATGATGCTGCTGGTGATGCTGCTGCTGCTGCTGATGATGATGATGAGGATGACGAAAATGATGATGATGACGACGATGATGATGATGATGTTGATGATGATGATGTTGCTGCTGATGATGATGATGATGATAATGCTGCTGCTGATGATGATGATGATGATGATGTTGGTGATGATGGTGATGATGATGATGATAATGATGGTGAGAGGAAGATGATGATGTGGATGGAGCAATCTAAAGACCCAAGTTGGATCAACAGACCCAAGTTGGATTAGATTGAACATAAAGCACGTCTAATTTCACTGGTTTGTCAGCATGTTCACCGTTCAATGGCCATTTTTGGGGTATCTCCAGTTTCAGACACACCGTTTCGCGAACTCACAACATTGTGCCACAACTTCCAGCTCCCAAATAATCAAAACGCGGCGTTCAGAAACGCAGTTGCTGAAGAACTCCGGCTCGTACAGTGCATTGCGCCGAAACCTCATTGCTGCACGTTTCCATGGCCAATCTTATGATAGGGATTTAACTACCAATACAAAATCCAGGGTATGAAATCAAGAAGACATAGTGACATAATGGGATGTAATGGTGATATACTATATTGCGATTCATGGAATGTGATGGGACACAATTATAACGGGATAATCCGTCTGGTCGCAGTGACACCGCAATTAGCAAAGGCTTATTGAGGATGAATCTTAAAAACTCTGTTCAACTCTTCATCGAAACTTTCAAACCCCATCTTTGTTTACCTCTGGCTACCCCTCATGTATAGCAACCTTCCAAGAATTGTAATAGTATGTCATGGTATAGGCCTGCTAGAATAGATCTAATTAGTTTGTTCTTTAGCGTCCTGGGAGTTACTATCTGTTGGCTAAATCACCAGAACCTCAAGAATCTTAAAAGGAATCGTCATTGGAGAGTGGAGACCTAGTACGTCTTGACCTTCAAACCTTCCCATCGTTTCACTAAATGATTTGTCTTACCATCAAATAGAGGTGTTTCCTGTAAAATTGCCCTTAAATCAATCAATTGCTTCATTGCGACCCCGTTTTGGCTATCACTTCCTTTGTGCACATGGATCTGTCTCACTTGTCGCCATGTTTTTCCAGACTGCGAAGGAGAAAACAGGGGTCACTGTGGTGGAAAGCACCTGCTCTCAAACACTGAGCTTCCAAAGAAATGCTCACCTTAGGGTTTGAGCAGACATGAGGTACAGTACACCCTACAATTGGCATTTCCCATGACCTTGGAGTATCCTATTTAATCATGTTGGTGTTTACTTGCAGTGCTCCGAGGTCGAATGTCAAACAGGTCGCCGGGGTCGCACGCATCCAAGTGTGAAGTTGCATCAATGACCATTTCAGGTACCGAACATGGAGGTATCAAATATATATGTGATTCACGTATGGCCTATTTAGAACACATCATCCCCCAATCATGGCCTTGCAACCTCCATCTGAAGCATGAGCTGCATCTGGAAGTATGTTAAAGCTGCATCCAAACATCCAGGGCGCAGCAAATCCAACGATCCAAATCAAAGTGCTTGGGGATCATTTTCCTTTCGAACTAGTTGACAAGAATGGAGCCAAATGACACAGCAATCGGAGACTTGCTCGGAATGGTGGCGATCCAATAAGTAATAGCTGTGAGACGATACTCCCAGAGTACCAACATTCGCAGCGGATAGGATCCTTTCCACACGGTGGGTAGCTACACCAAACATTTGGAAGGTTAAGTCCCGATTTTATTGGATAATATTAACAAATATTATATAAATACCGATTTTGACTGGTTGACCCCCGATTGTGCAGACTAAATCTGATTTTAGTTGGCTCAAACATGAGGTTTGGTGGTTGTGTCCACACGTTCGCTGCTTACATTCCTATTTTCTTGTCAATGAAATCACACTCTTATCTGGATGGCCAGTCTGGGATATCCATGAGTGAATTACAAAACAGTAAAGCAATACCATAAACCCCACAAATTCATATTATTGTAAATAATAAATAAATATATATAATTATATATATATATGTATATGATATAACATCATTGTCGCTAGGATAACACAACTACGCTCCAGTAATCAAAGATGGTTTACTGGTAAACTCCACCATTGACGGATGATTTTCCCTAGCCATTGCTCGGGGATTAGCCAGCCATGTTTGATGACACCAAATGGTATAGAAGAGTCTCAAATATTCCTCCTTACCAGTGTGGGGACAAAAAACATGTATGGGTTCGACATGGTTTGATTGAAAATTAGGTATACCCCAAATAGCCACTTGCAATGGGAAAATGGTGATAAACCAAGGGATTCTGGGGAAATTTCATTTTCAGACAAAACCATATCAACCGACCCTCCTCCAGTCGGTTGACCCATCATTCCAGTTACCGCTACGTAACTTGATACCCTCATGTGTGTAGTGTTTCAAGATGTTTTTCGATTACCAGAGGGTACATCCACTATAGCCCATTACAATCCACTAAGTAATCCATTGATATAAATAGGACATCCCATGACAATCAAATTAAATCAAATCCCATTAAGCCCAATTATAATCACTAGTAAATCGAATGCTAATCACATATAATCACTGTTAAATCCCTAGTAAATCCAATGAAATCACACAAAGCTCTTCACCAACCAAACTATTTCACCAGATTTGAGTGAAACGATGCCCAGCCGCTTCGTTGCCAGTTGGTCAAGACGCACCGGAAAACCCAGATCCGCCTGCGGATCTAAGCGGGGCACCAAACGATAGGTAGTTTTTATTTGGTATTATAACATCTGTAACTAGGTTAGGTATGGACTATATATAGTTAGGTTTTACAAAATGTATAATTTGGTGCATTCTGGGTTTATGGTAGTTTAAATGCGTTCTAATTATAGTTAGATAGATACAATGTCTTACGATATTTGGAGGCGCACTTGGGGTTATTACTGGATACAACTACAGCGATCATTTAGTTGAGGATGAGGATTAACCCCTATAACTATGGTTGAATATCTGAAACTGCACCCATCATGGGGATGCAACATCTTAGAATGTAATATCAAAAAAACATGTAAACTATATTAAAATATCATGACAACAAGTGATTTGGGGGTTGCTACTGCTTCTTCTAAATCATGTTCGCCATCAAAAGAACACAAACCCATATAAAAGTTTGGAACCAGTAATCGGACCCTGTCAGACTGGGATTGTGACATTAGTAATTAGGCGTACCTCTGAAATATTGTGAAATGTTTCAACCCATCCCCCAAATATTATAATGTAGAAATCTCACGGGATCATAAATCCAACTCCGAGGAATCGCAAATCCAAACAATATGGATGACATAGCCAACCGTCAGAGGTTCTTCCCATGAATCCATGAATATCGCTGATTTCCCTAGAGGGGCCTTGCAAAGGATGCTGGAAATTCGGTAGTCCGTAAACCTGCGCAAGGGCTCCGTGGGTCCCACCACATACTGCTACTGGTTGTGGGAACAGGAGGCCCCTGCCAAACCATCCGAATTGAGACAAATACAAGTCAATTGGGGTGCTCTTCCCAAGGGGAAGTGGAAAAAGTTGGGCGGCCAAGGTCAGGTTTGGCGATTCAGTTTGCTGTTTTGCAATAAGTTCTCAAGCCAGCTTAAGTTTGGAACGGGGGAACGGGGGTGTGGTGTAGCTGCAGTTCGGAGGCTAGGCCCAAAGATTGTCAAGCTAAGAAACAAGGAGCCAACTTTGTCCACCACAGGCTGAAAATGGCCTATAGGGGGGTGCAAATGCTTTGCGTGAAGCCAGGTTGGGTTCAAGGTGGTTGGACAAAAACCGGCTCGGGCTGTATGCCCACGGAGTAACATTGCTATCTGTCACATGCTACCAAGCAAATGCAATAACAGCGCTTGCATTGAAATAAAATCCTCTCCGACCCAGGTAGCGAAGGTCGGCGGCCGAACTGCTTTTGCAGAATGTAGCGCGTGGGTTCGCGTGAGTCGAGCGTCGGCCTGATGTGCAAGGCTAGCGCGGCGGTGCGGCGGCTGCCGCCCGGAACCTGTCTATAGACCAGTGTGAAAACTAGCGCCAGCAACAACACGGAGGACAAAACTTCACATCTGTTTTTCCAATGAGGCGAGCTAGCACGAAACCAGGGTCCTCGGTCCCAAAAACGGATGATTCCTTTACCGTGGGCCAAAGGCGAAGGCCGGAGGTTCTCTAAAAACGCTGATCAGACAAGAGCTGCGTGCATGTGTCCAATCAAGTTTCTCCAACAATACACACGCACACACACCACAAGAAAGAAACCGCACAAAGCACATGTTTTTCCATGTGCCAGTTTGGCTCACAATCTAGCATGTCCAATACCTACCTGCCAAAACCGATGCCAACCCCCCTCAGCGCCGTGCTGAAGGAAAGCTTGCTGGCTGGACCTTTCAATGCATAAGGGGCTTATAACTTTCCGTTTCAAGCATTGCGGCCGTGATGTGATGAGAAACCCTATTGATGAGTAACCCTGGGTCCATGAATGATGCAGTTCGTACTATAGCGGTGTTATTTACGATCTGTGCATGTCGGTTTTCCTGCTCACTGACGTGCAAATGCCCCATGCTGTTCTTTCACCAGCTACTCGCACTAGGAAACCTGAGCTGGATTCAGGCCACAGTAGAAAATCTATGGGAGGACTCGTGGAGCACCATGCTTTCAGTTTGTATGGAAACCGTTGGAATCATAGTGCGAAACAATGTGAGCCTCTCTGGAAACCATGCTCTACCTTGAAGACTTGTCATTTTTTGTTGCGGCACGCATTCCGCTTATTGCAGCAGATCGCACCACATACAAACTTTACGGGTTTTTCATTCAAGATCACAAAAAACAGTTCTTTCATTCAAAATAATTCAATTCCATTCAAAAAACGCTTCCATACCAAAATGATCAACGACGTTCCTTTTCATTCTCTTCCATTGCAGTTTTATGATTCCCCATACCATTGCCATCTCTTGAAAGCAATGCCACAACAATTCCATTTTCACTCCAGCCTACGGAATATTTGTAGCGCTTCCGATGCAAAACATTCCAAAACAAAATCCGAAAAAGATTCCGAACAAACCAAAATTAAAAAAAATACTTTACTTCGTGTGATCCCCACCATGACATTTATACATGTTCTTACTGGCACATCTTCTGGCATTCTATCTGACATATCTTCTGACATTCTATTTGGCATTCTATCTGGCATATCTTCTGGCATTCTATCTGACATATCTTCTGACATTCCATTTGGCATTCTATCTGGCATATCTTCTGGCATTCTATCTGACATATCTTCTGACATTCTATTTGGCATTCTATCTGGCATATCTTCTGGCATTCTATCTGACATATCTTCTGGCATTCTATCTGGCATTCTATCTGACATATCTTCTGGCATATATTCTGACATATCTTCTGGCATTCTATCTGGCATATCTTCTGGAATATCTTCTGGCATATCTTCTGGCATTCTATCTGGCATTCTATCTGGCATTCTATCTGGCATATCTTCTGGCATATCTTCTGGCATTCTATCTGACATATCTTCTGACATTCTATTTGGCATTCTATCTGGCATATCTTCTGGCATATGATCTGGCATATCTTCTGGCATATCTTCTGGCATTCTATCTGACAAATCTTCTGGCATTCTATCTGGCATATCTTCTGGCATTTTATCTGACATATCTTCTGGCATTCTATCTGGCATTCTATCTGGCATATCTTCTGGCATATATTCTGACATATCTTCTGGCATTCTATCTGGCATTCTATCTGGCATTCTATCTGGCATATCTTCTGGAATATCTTCTGGCATATCTATCTGGCATATTTTCTGGCATTCTACCTGGCAAATCTTCTGGCACTCTATCTGACATTTTATCTTCCTACATGAGGTCCGGCAGGGACCACTGGGCGCGGATGGTCGCGGTTGAGGTCCGGCAGGGAACACTGGGCGCGGATGGTCGCGGTTGAGGTCCGGCAGGGAACACTGGGCGCGGATGGTCGTGGTTGAGGTCCGGCAGGGAACACTGGGCGCGGATGATCGTGGTTGAGGTCCGGCAGGGAACACTGGGCGTGGATGGTCGTGGTTGAGGTCCGGCAGGGAACACTGGGCGTGGATGGTCGTGGTTGAGGTCCGGCAGGGAACACTGGGCGTGGGGGGTCGTGGTTGAGGTCCGGCAGAGAACACTGTGGATCGCGGGTCGCAGTTGAGCAAGGACGACGAGGACGACGAGGACGACGAGGACGACGAGGAGGACGAGGAGGAGGAGAGGAGGACGAGGCAGGAGGAGGCGGAGGAGGAGGAGGAGGAGAAGGAGGAGGAGAAGGAGGAGAAGGAGGAGGAGGAGGCAACTGACATAAAATCTAACAACCCTCACCTGGCAGGTGGGGAAAAAACAAAAAATCACAAACAGATGGTCACGCAAAAAAAACAAAACATTAAACACAATACCAAAACATTCAAACAAATACACAAATACAAAAACACTCAAAAAACAAACAACATTGGGAAAAGCCAAGAAATCTCAAATCTCTGACTCTAATTTCAATTTCTTGATCCTTAAAATTCCAAACCATTGTTTCAAAGCTGCCCAGATAGAAATCAATGAATTTGAATCGTTTTGCATGCCTTCCTCAAGGCTCATGAGTAATCCTTCCCATGATTGAGGGCTTCTCTCTTCATGCAAGATTTCTGTGGCAACTCCATAGGATCCAAAAGCCCACAAGATACTGTGGCTGAAAATGTGTCAAACAAACAGTCTCAACACCACAACTTCCCCGACAGCCTTACCCCACACTCTTGCCCTAGACGCTCTCAGCCTTTGTTTGTGCGCTCTATTGTCTGTGTTTTGCTTTTTCCCTCGTTATCCCATTTGTTTGCAATGGTTCTGAGTGTTGTGTTACTAGACTAGGGCAAGGAATTACATATTTCCCGAATATAATCCAAATATAAGTAAGAAGGTCTAACTGACGGACGTACACTTGTCATTATAAACAATGATTTTGTCCAACATTTTCTTTCTACCTTTAGAGCATAAACCAACGATACACTTAGAACATCAGATTTTTTCCCGGATGCGTAGCGAAGGGTTCTCGTTTTACTTTGGGGGTCTGGGGGTGGAGGCATGTTCGCTCGAGGCTGCTTTGCCGTCCGCAACCGTCCGCAACCGTCCACAACCGTTCGCAACCGTCTGCCGCCCTGCGCGGCGGAGGCTCTATGGCCGTACCTACAGCGATTGCTGCAAAAAGAGTCTATACACTTTACACTGCACAAACTCCACACTTTACACTGCACACTCTACACTTCACCCTGAACACTCTCCATGTCACACCGTACACTCTACACTCCACATCTCACGATTCACACTCCGCACTTTCCACTCCATACTCCACGCGTTATTTACACTCCGCACTCTACACTTTACACGTTTCACTCCACACTTTACACTTCACACTCTACACTCTACTCTTTACACTTCCCACACTCTAGACTCCGCACTCTACACTCCACTGTTTATACTCCATGCTTCACACTCCACACACTGCCACAGCGTACGAGACCGTTGAACTATGTTTTTCGCTAAAGGTCCTCCAATATACATCAAAATTGATGCCATTCAGCTTCCAAATATCTCCCAAAGACCCAAACAAGGGTCATTTTGATTGGTTGTATTAGCTGATGACATACATTCTATATATAATTCAACCCTATATAACCTTGCGCTGGATTTTGGTGGCTTGATTGATCTTGGTGGCATTGAACCGTGTCTGGGAATAAATTTCTTTCCGGTCGTACTACCCAGTCAATAGGAATTCAACTCGGAACATGAAACATATGTGAAAGCACCAGCCAAGTATGAATAATCCGTTTTTCACACACTCCAAACATCTCTTAACCTGGTTGAAGGTAATGATATCCTCAAATATCGTCCTTAGGAAATGACTGGATTGCCAGAGATGGTTTCAATCTTCAAGGCTCCTGGGACGAGTAAACTGAAGCCAGGAGCCCCTAGCTTCATTGTAGATCAACAGCCAGTTTTCTATAGGGATAGGGATAGGAGATACCCTCTGGTAATGGCTAACATATAGCTATGGAAAACGGACCATAAAAATGGACTGGATGATTTACATTAATTTACCTAAGCTAAACATGTTGATATTCTAAAGCCCATATGCACTGTCAAATGATCTAAGGAACAAGTCTGAAACAACCCAGCACCACGCAGCCGTGCATCAGCGATTCGCCGTGCCTAGCAGTCGGGTTTCCAGCCCTGGCTTGCAGCGGCTTGCAGAGCTCATGACTCACTTGGGCCATTCTGTCAATGGGAGATCTTCAAGATCCAATTGATGGAGGTACGTTAGTACCATATTTTTGGCCATATTTTCTGAGGATATTCCCTTACATAGGCCTGAAAAATAGGCCTTATATATGGTAGGTACCTCCAATTTAGGTTCCTGAAATTCCCATCGATTCTGCCAGTGTGTTCTTGGGTATGGCAACCAGTATAAATTGCCCTGAAAACATGTGTTTGTCTGAACGCAAAGCTGCCCCACTTCCATAGGATCATAGGATTATCATTCTCAACGAAGTTGGTTATTTTTGGTGGGTATACCATGGTATACCCTATTTTTAGATAGAACACCCATATACCTTTTCATTTTTATATTCTCCCTGGGCAGGTTCTTCCCACATATGGAACCTGCTAATCCCTTGCCCCTATTACTAACCCCCCCGAATAATAAAAACTAAGCCAATTTGACTTTTAATTGATCCCCTTTGGAAAACAATTTAGACATGAAGCTACTATTAGTGGGTTTCACCACCTAATAATAAACACTAGTCGACCGCGGGGTGTTTTTTCTATTAGGGTCCGTCCGAAAAGTTTAGTTGTTCTTACTAAGGGGTTAAATTTATTATTTGGGTCCGCTTTGAAATCCGATTTTTGGCAATATCTTAATTGCGTTATAAAAGGAAGTCTAATTGATTTTGAAATCGAAAAAATATCATTTTTTTCTAAATTAAAGGTTTAGATTTATTATTAGGGTCCGCTTTGAAATCCAATTTTTGGCAATATTTTATTTGCGTTATAACAAGGAAATTTAATTGATTTTGAAATCGAAAAAAATGTGATTTTTATTAAGGGTTTAAATTCATTATTAGGGTCCGCTTTGGTTCCCTAATGATACATAGCACCTTAATAATAAAAAACTACCTGAGGTGTTTATTATTTGGTGGGTTTAGTATTTGGGGGAGAGGACCCCCTTGGGTGTGTCTGAGGTATATCCCCAACGTTGCCATTTCCCACACAAACCTGCAAGGCCCTCTGACTAGTTGCACTTGAAAAAGCCACAGTGAAATAGGTCAGAGCTAATTCAAACAACCTCTGGAAAAGCTTGAGGATAATGCGTGCAAACAATTTGTAATTAGTTCCATTGCTTAAGAATTTCCAATCTTCTTCCATTCACAGAGGAACTTCATTCAGTTGATCTTAGCGTGGTTCCAGGATGTCTGAAGGGAAAATGATCAGGATAAACCATCCAATTCTGGGGCACTCTATTTTCAGACGGCCCCACTTGGGTTTCGACATAACAGAACTCACAACGTGGTTTCCACTGAATCTCGGTATGACTCATGCTATTCTTCGGTCCCAATAGCAAAGCAGCTGGATTCTAGCAATCCCCAGGACTTTTAGATGGGTGTCATTGAAAGCATCAAGCCTCGGGTTTACTATCTTACTAACCAACCCAGGTTTGCCATGTACTCCAATGTCAAGGTCCGGGTTCGCCTTTGGACCAATCGCGCCACTTTCTTGGCTGACCTCAAAAGGCGGAAATGTGTGGGATCATCCCGCAACATGTAGCATATGGACATCAATGGATTGGGGTGTTTCCTCTAGATGTTCCCATCGCCCCATCCCATGCTGGTTGCTTCATAGTTATCCCATGTTATCCCTGTTTACCATCCGGATTAATTAAAATTACAATTATGATGTTTGATATTACCCTCTGGTAAAATGGTGATTTTCAGGGTCCACAAGTTAATTTACCAGAGGGTACATCCCCAAGAAACCAGGTAGATCCAGGTAGTAACACCCTGCCGTACTAGCCAATCAACAAGGGCTTGGAGAAGACTGAGCCGCTGAGCCGCTACGATGAATCCTTTGAATCCGAGCGCCAGACTTCTTCAAAGCTTCCTCTGAACATGACTGGGCACTGGATGACCTGGTGGATTAACGGTGGACCAGCATGGTTTACACATGTTTTTACTATGATTTACTCATGTTTACTTTTACTATGATTTGCACAACATTTCGCAGCCCATTGGAACATGTGGAACATGTCGCTGTGTCGAATTCTGCTGGGCGACAGCATCACTCTGCCGCTGTGTCTCACCAGTGCCGTCACGCGCGGATTCAACAAGCGTACCTGCCGTGCGATCCGTCATGATACGACACTTTTTTGTTGTATGGATCCGCAAAATTGTTTTTTCCTAAACAAAACAACAAAATACACCAAAACAGTCGGTCCCCTAAACTTCAACTCAAACTATTTATCATCATGGGTCATTCAGTCATCATTCCTTTCGCAAAAATTGTCAGTTTTCAGGAAAAACACTTGTCTTGGCAAATCTACAATGTAGATGATATTCACTTATATTATGATATATGACGGTTTGTCAAAATGTCTGCTCCCGGTTTTGTTGATAAATCGCAATTCTGTGCGTGCCGCCTCATGTTTGCCTTTAAAAAACATGACCTACCTTGATGACGTGAAAACGTCGAAATTCTTCGTTACATTTGGAAATCTTTCTAAAACCACAGGAATCGGCTAACGCACGTCGGTTTTCATTCGCTGTCGCTGGTACTATCTCCTGAACTGTGTGTCTCTGTGTGTGTGCCTCTCTGATGCAATATGCTTCTTGACATGCCTCCTGATCAACGCTGTTTCCTTACTGTAAGCTACCAAAGCGTGAACATGGCTGTGCCTCTGAATGGGCTGCGGGTGGACCGGGGCATGTATTTGCAATTTTCGCTAGCGCGTTGCTAGCGGGGATCTAGCGGGTAAAATACGTAAAAAAAAACGAAAATTTGGGAATATGTGGCAACTGACAGACTTGTAAGAAAAGCTGGCAAGACATTTACGGCATGGAGGCCATGGCTGTCAATCAAACCTAGCGCAAACCTAGCGGGTTTGCCAGCGCTGCCTGCAGAATTGCTGACTTTAGTTGGGTGCCGCCTCATAACGAAGAGAAAAAAACAGTAGACCCAAATGAATTATCAACAACCAATACTAAACTTCGAAACAACTATTTTTGACAAATGATTTAAATGGTCATATAGCATTATATATATTCAATTCAATTCTAGTCTATTCTATTGGATTCTATCTACTGTATTATATCATGATATAAACTATAAAAACTATTTCAACATATATTTCAACATATATATTTCAACGTATATCATATCATGAAATAATATTGTATATTATATCATCCTCCATCATATTGTATGGACTTGCGTTAGATTAAATGCTTACATATCATGTTTTTCGATATCGCATTGAACCAAAATATATTGCATTATATAATCGCATATTACATTATCTCATCTGATTTTATATTGTCACATTAATATTACATCAAACGTTGACATGTTCACATTATATCATATTATATACATTTTGCTGTATTGTTTTATACTGTATGAAATTACAGTATATCGTATGATATTATATCACATATAATATCATATATTATATCATACTATATCATACTATATCCTATCATATTATATATATACTGTATTATATTGTATAATCTATTAAATTATATTGTATCATTGATATGAAACATATCGTATGCTAATATAAGAATGTACCAAATTATATCATATATCAAATCATATTGTCGTATGATCCCCTAAAAACGTACCCCACTGCCACAACCCCGGCACAGTGATACTGGTGTGCTTGCGCGGGTTGTACTCCGCGTGGCGAATGGAAAATGCCACCTTAGGCAAACCCAGTTGGTGGGCTGGATTCCAAGAAGCTGATCTCCAAAACTTGCTGAACACTTTACAGGCATTTGATGGCACTAAAAACATATATATATATATAAATATGATTAATATTATATCATAATGTATATGTGTGTGATGAGGAACTGTGTTCTTCCACTTGCCAAGAGCTGCAAGTCCTTTGTAAGTTTCGAAAATGTCTTCAACTTTGGTTTGAGCCTTTGCTGGACCAAAGGGTGGGTTTTCAATTACCACAACTACCACTCCTTGGTGGGTTGCCCATAAAAGTTGATGGTTGGAATCCCATAAACAAGGGTAGATTTGGGGATGGTGGATCCGGTTTTGCTTTACCAACTTTACAACAGATCAATACCCATAGGATCCATGTATGGTATATATGCTAACATTGGGGGTATATTGATGGTAAATGTTACCATATATAGCATACATGGATCCTATGGGATAGACTTCAAAGACAATTTCTGATCTTCAACTTGCCCCCTACCATCCTGGCAGCTTCACTGTTGCATGTTCTAACAGCGGCCATGTCAAGCCGCTTCCTTCAAGTCCAACTCGCAGCACAAGTCGAACCTCCGGTGGAGTGCGGATTTCTGCCCCAGAAAGGGTGTCAATCGCAAAACAATGACATAATTTCACAATTTTGCTATAAACTCTGAAATCTTGGGTTCCACAATCCACAATGTCTATACCAATAGCCATTATCTTCTTCAATAGTTGACTTCAAAAACAAGTAAAAAAATGTAAAAAGCAGCTGGCCTTGCCACCATGATAAATGGCACGGGGACAATCTCTGGCCTCGCCGGTGGCGTCAAACTATGCTGAAGAGCCGGGCAACAAACTGATCTACGGAATCCTGACGGTCCTATGATCTCATCTTTTCCATCGGAAAACACGAGCTGGTTGGTGTCAAAGAATCAATGCGTGTCCGCATGTTGAATAAGGTTTTTTGGATAGTATCCAACCATCAACATCAACTTAAAAGTCTTTTTCAACATCAAATAGTCAACAAGGCTTTTTGGATTCTCAGCCTTGGGTTCTCTTACTCCAGGAACACAACCTGTCGTGTTGACACACAGCAAACAAATCAGGATCCACTCTTACTAGCACCCCCCCTACCAGTTATTGCTCTGGTTCCCATTTCTAGCTGTCCCATTGTATCTTTATCTCCCAAATTTGCCAATGAGTTTCTTCATATTTTTCTGTTCTTTTCTGCCAACAAAAATGAATGAATTCCTCATTTTTGCTGCGTGGAATCCACAAAATCCACACATTGTTTGGTTGGTGTTCTCCAACCCCGGCGTCGAGTCATCAATGTCTCTACCGCTTCAACCGGGCCACGGTAAATTGCGCTGGGGATCCGGGAGGTCGTACCTGATGTTGGGCATGGACGGTGGGGATATGTTGATGAATGTTGATGATGATGATCATCTGGAAAAGGATCCATGGTGCTGCTATATATGGTGTGCCATGGATCCCATCAATATACCCCCTTTATGTTAGCATACATACCAGCACCATGGATCCTATGGGATCTGGCAAAAGATTAACTGGTTGGTGGTTTTTCGCCACCCCTCTGAAAAAAAGTCAGTTGGGATGATGACATTCCCAACTGAATGGAAAAATAAAAGCCATGTTCCGAACAACCAACCAGTGATCATCTGGAAAGGGATTTTCCTGATTTTGCTGGGGATACTCATGTTGATTGCTTGTTTTTCATACCTTTGACAAGTGCGGAAGATGATCTTGATGATGTATTGATTGTCGGGGACAATAAAAGAACCATTTTTGTTTGATAATTTTGGTAGGGATTGGTAGGGATATGTATCTGTATGGTCTTCGCTTTGTTGATCATTGATGATTCTTCGTTGATTCTTATGGTTTTCTACTGTTCAACTGGCTGTCGATGTAGGTCACAAAAATTCAGCTGCTATTTGGATATGGGTGTGAAATAGTTTTAGGATTTTTTTTTTGAACAGGTTTGGGATTTTTTTTTGGATTTCTTGGCTGGTACCATTTGCCTAGTGTTTGCAACGGTTTGGAACTTGAATTTGTCATTTTGCATGGTATTTGCCACATTTGGGCATGTTCACCTTCCATTTTGCATGGGATTTACTACATGTGGGCATGTTCACCTTCCATTTTATATGGTATTTGCCACATTTTGGCATGTTCACCTTCCATTTTGCATGGGATGTTCTATATGTGAGCATGTTCACCCAAATATTTAGAAATGCGGAAGCTTGGGGTTAGATAAAAAGCGGGTGGGGGGGATTGAGGCAGGGCGCTAGCTATCTATCCACCTAGCTAGCTATCTAGCTATCTAGCTAGCTATCTATCTAGCAAGCTATCTATCTATCTAGCAAGCTATCTATCTATCTAGCTATCTATCTACCTATCTAGCTAGCTATCTTGCTAGCTATCTATCTACCTATCTAGCTACTAGCTAACTATCTATCTAGCTATCTAGCTATCTAGCTTTCTATCTATCTAGCTATCTATCTATCTAGCCATCCAGCTGTCTATCCAGCTATCTAGCTATCGAGCTATCTAGCTAACTATCTATCTAGCTATGTAGCTATCTAGCTTTCTATCTATCTAGCTATCTATCTATCTAGCCATCCAGCTGTCTATCCAGCTATCTAGCTATCGAGCTATCTATCTAGCTATCTATCTATCTAGCTAACTATCTACCTATCTATTTAGCTATCTATCTATCTAGCTATCTATCTAGCTACCTCTTTATCTATCTAGCTAGCTATCTATCTATCTAGCTATCTATCTAGCCATCTATCTATCTAGCTATCTATCTAGCCATCTATCTATCGAGGTATCTAGCTATCTATCTCTCTAGCTATCTATCTATCTAGCTGGCTATCTATCTATCTAGCTATCTATCTACCAAGCTATCTATCAGCTATCTATCTATCTATCTATCTGTCTATCTGTGTATCTATCCATCTATCTATCTATCTATCACATGTAATCCTGTCAGCTTTCCAGAGAAGGTTAGTTCGCAAAAACCAACTAATGTAACTTGGGTTTAAGTTTAAATTAAAAAAAAAGCGGGAGGGGGGGGTTGGGGGGAGGGCGCAGCGCCTCCCCCAAAGCAGAATGCAAGCACCTCTTCTCACATGTTACGTTGCTAGTTTTCAAGAGAAGGTTGGTCATGTGATACTCAGGGATGTAAATACTGTGCAAAATGCATCTTACATGAAAATCAAGTATTTAAAGCAGGCAAAGCAAAAAACAGAAGAGAAGCAAAAAAGCAGAGAAGCAAAGAAACAGGAAACGCACAAAAGCAAAACAGCAGAAAGGCAAAGAAGCAGGAACAGCAGAAAAGCAGAGAAGCAGGAAAAGCAGGAAAAGCAGAGAAGCAAAGAAACAGGAAAAACAGAAAAGCAAAAAAGCAGAGAAGCAGAGAAGCAGGAGAAGCAGAAAAGCAAAAAAGCAGAAAAGCAGAGAAGCAGGAGAAGCAGAAAAGCAAAAAAACAGAAAAGCAGAAAAGCAAGCAGGAAGCAGGAAAAGCAGGAAAAGCAGGAAAAGCAGAGAAGCAGGAATCCAAAAATAATTCCTAAACCTGATCAAAAAAAAATTCCTAAAATAATTAGCCCTCCTTTGGATATATTAGGCATCCATATTTACCGAAGCCAAAACGGTTGTTTCTCTGCCAATAAAATCAGGTGATGAGTCTGGTGATGTCATGACCCATATATGGATCCATGTATGGTATATATGCTAACATAAAGGGGGTATATTGATGGTAAATGTTACCATATATAGCATACATGGATCCTATGGGTGATGTGATGGCCACATATTTATAAAATAAAAACATCATGGCTGGGCTCACAATGATGGGGATGGAACGAACAAGGTGAAGGGGACCAAACCCCTTGACAAAATGGCTTGAGTTTCTCGCCATTGCCCAGCCCCACAGAAAACTCTACCCATCCTTGAGTAGATAGAACTTGCACAATTGGACCATTTCGCAGTAGTGAATAGTTTTTGATATTCATGGAAATTCCACATTGCTCCAGAATGAACTACTGTAAATGTATGTGACTGTCAGATGGTGAGTGACTGCAATTATGGATGATGGATAGTGAATTGCCAGTACCATCTGGTTATTTAACATAGCCATGGAAAATCACCATGTTTAATAGGTAAACCATCTATTTCTATGGGCCATTTTCATGGCTTTGTTAAATAACCAGATGGTAATACTATACCAACAGGCACATGGGAAAATCCTCTCCATGGCCGCGCACGGAATGTCCAACTCTTGAGCTTCAGCTTCCTGGTAGGGATTTGAACCAAGGAAACGACCAGTTGACCATCAAACATGGAATTGAACTATCATTTACCGTCTGGTTATTTAACATAGCCATGGAAAATCACCATGTTTGATAGGTAAACCATCTATAAATGGGTGATGTTCCATGGCTATGTTAAATAACCAGATGGTATGTAGATTTGGGGATGAGTCAAACATGCCGTTGGAGCCGAAAAAAACAATGACTTTGTCACTTTTCGGATTCCACGACTTTGGCCCGTACCAATGATGACCATGATGTACATTATGTTATAACCACAACACTCCAACTGGGAACTATGGCCAACCCACTGTGAACATATTTGCTCGCATCCTTGGGAATTACGAGTACTGTAAATATTATCACCCATAGGATCAATGTATGGTATATATGCTAACATAAAGGGGGTATATTGATGGGATCCATGGCACACCATATATAGCATAATTACATGGATCCGTCATGGGTTATGTAGGTAAATTGGTCCTATAATGGTCCTATAGGGTTTTAATAATCTATAATGGTCCTATAATGGTCATTATTATGTATAAGTAAATTGGTCCTATAATGATCATTAATGATCTATACCTTTCCTCCAAGCAACATACCTTTGGATAGGCTGTCTTTGGTGCCCAAATCCTGAAGATCCGCCCCAGACTCCCAGACCCAGCAGCGACTTTTCGACTTTTGGGGTGAAGCCATGGTGGATGCACTGGACAACTGTGATCCACTTGGTAAAACCTGTTGAAATCTTCGTTGAAAATGTTGAAATCTGAGTTTCACTCAAGGTGAAACCAGACATGTTGAGCATTTTCCCACTTTTGGGGTTTTGAAACCATCAAAACCATCATCGACATGTATGTGTCTTGACAAGAAAAACTCATGTTCTGGGAGTGACCTCGGGAATCAGGACTTGGTAGCCCCATGACTGTGCTGACCAGTGAACGCCAAAGCGAATTTCGCCAATAGGACCGGGGTATCATCACAGATGGGGATTAAAACCAGGAGATATTAGCAGACAGAAACCCTTCCAGGCGCAAATGCCAAGGATGGAACAAGAAATCCTATTTTTATTCTACAATTTCACCACCCAATATGACTGCGGTATACTGCGGTTCAGGTTTGAGCTGATTTTCTTCGACATGAGCATCTGCAGAATCTATAATATCCTGATCGTTTTCAAGGCCATTCTTCGGATGTTTCCTCTCCTAGCCATTTTCTGTATGTCAGGGCCAGTGATCTCGCTACTGCCAACATAGTCCCAATTGCGACTGATCCTGGAAGATCCTGGAAGTTTTCCAGTGTGTGAAATCGCCCACATAAATCCTACAATGTGAGGCCCCCAAGATAGCTAAGTTGGTGCACATAACTCCAATAACTATGGTTTATGGTACTTATAACGAACTAGTTACTGGGGCGAATCTAAACCAACTAACATCACTGGGGGGCCTCACATTGTAAGTATGCGTGGATATGACATTATGAGTAGCATTCCCATGACGGATCCATGTATGCTATATTACCCCCAATGTTAGCATATATATACCATACATGGATCCTATGGGATTATGATAGCTGATGGCTGATTTGTATCGATTTCTGTGGGGTGATGGTCCATGGTCTCCGTTCCCAAGGCCCACAGTACCCGCTATGTGACGGCGGTTCCATTGACCGCCGTCCGCAACTCTTTCCTCAACGCCTCAGCAGATCTGGGTCTCTGGGTCCGCTGATCGAGTGAGGAAAACCACATGGGAAAAAGTTACGGGGACCAGAACGACCATCTGGATGCATATTACGTACTTCTATAATTGTATGATTTCAGACCTCTATATCTCCAGATTTCTATCTCTCTATCTGTCATCTATGTATGGTTACATTCATCACGTGGTGCTGGAAGATCAGATGACAAACACCCACCGTGCGCACGCCTTGGGAAAGCGCCTTTTTTGCGCACGTGCCAAGTACCTGGAAGGACGGAAAAAACATGGAAAAACCATCATAGAAATGGGGATGACCCCTTCACCGTTGAATAGTGGGGAAAATTCTGCTTACCCTCTGGTAATTTAACATAGCTATTGAAAATGGCCCATTTATAGTGATTTTTTCCCATTAAAATACCAGAGGGTAATCACCAAGTTTAGAGGTACCTTCTTTTTGGACCAACCCGATGACCCGTCCTGATGTCCTTTTGATACAGCAACAGCCAAATTGGTATAGCATGTATGTCCATGTATCATCGCGGGCCCATCAGTAGTTTAAAAGAGGGTTGAGCCCTTGAAGACCAAACAGAAAAACTGTTGCAGTTCTTCAACTTCAAGTTCTTTGAGGACCACATTGTATGTGGGTAAAACAATGCCATAAACCACCCATTTGGGAATAGTTCATACAAGCTATTTATGGATACTTATGGTGATTTGGGGGGTGGTTTACTATTGTTTTACCCACATTATTCCAAATATTCTAACTTGCCAGGACTTTTACTATGACTTGACCATCTGCAGGGGTCAAGTCATATGTGTGGTTGGGTCGACCCGAAATTTCGGGTACCAGTTGTGCCTTCATCTCCAGTTTGGTTCATCAAAGGTCACAACCAAAGGCGATGAATTGGGGCATTTCCTGACCAAAAAACCTTATGCCAGCCCTGAAAAACATGGCTTTGTCTCCAAAATAAGCTACCCCCAAAATCCTAGGGTTGATCATCATTTTCCCTACCATACAATAAATGGATATATATATATATATATATAGATTACAAATTCTGGAGGAGAAAAATGTATACCGTACCCCATTCTTGGAACAGCGCACGGATCTTCCAAGCCGCAGCTGACACAAGCAGCGTTCAACCTGCAAGCAGCAGCAGGTTGATCAACTACCCCTCTGTTTACATCCAACGGGGGGTCATGGAAACTCCGCGGCAATGTTTGGTTCAGTCGACAAATTGTCTTTCTGATAAACAAACCTTTCAGCACGAGGGCTTCCGAACACCAAGTTGGATTACTCAAAGGATACTGATGAAAGTAGTTGTTGTCGGTTCAGATTCGCCCTGAATAAACACATTTTTGGGGGGACATTTGGGGGTTGAATCAAGTTGAATCCTCATGATGCATAGCCTCAACAGAAAATAGATGATGGAAATTCCGCTTTAAAAAATGTGTTTCCTGAATGTAAATAACCGATTGATCTCTTTTCCGAATCACTATATTATATATATATATAATACGCTGGGAATTTTTTAGGAACCAGCTAGCTGACCCAGAATGCGCATCATATGTAACCAATGCAGATGGCCCATGGTCAGACAACTGATCTCAGTAACAAGCATGGCTGGTTCCTGCTCTTCAACCCATGCGGAAAAATGTGACTGGCCATGGTCTGGCAATGAACAAGGGAACCCTTGGCTAGTGCTCGTCTCCTTGCTGTCGCGTCATTCTTAGACTTCCATATGAGAAACACAAGTGTATCGCAAGTGGGTAAACCACGATTGAAATGGGCTTAAACATGCTTAAACAATATCCTAGGATTTTCAGTGAAATGATTCACCTTCCTGAAAAGTGCGACCATTTTTGGGATAGCTACACTCGTCACCCTGGGCCTTCGGATGTCATCCCGGGAGAAGTTGGAGAGTCTCCTGTGGCTGATGCAGGATGCTACCTATGGTACCACATATTTCCACCAACCTTGCCTCACCCATGACGGATCCATGGTGCTGGTAGAAAAATGCTAACATAAAGGGGGTATATTGATGGGATCCATGTTACCATATGTTACCATATATAGCATAAATACATGGATCCGTCATGGGTCATTGCAAAGTTCGACTCTTCACAAAAAACAATTGCGGTAAATCAAAATGATCAAAGAATTTCATGCACCATGTGGACCATGTCCATCAGAGCTGCATGGTCCGCAGTTGTGTGTTCCTTCCAGTCAACCAGCGCAAATCTGATAAATCTGATGATCAACCTTAAGCAACAGCCTGGCTGAATCCTGAGGCACAACTAACAGAAAGGGACTGATTTTTGCATATTTTAGCTACAAAGATCTGCAAAGTAAAGTTCAATTGCATATACCCTCCAGTAAATTAACATGACGACCCTGGTAGTCATCGGGGTTGGTTCAGACTAGTTTCCTCTAAAAATGGGTGATTTTCAGGGTCAACAAGTTAATTTACCAGAGGGCAATTGCAGCATGAAGATCTTAGTGGAACCCCTCACTGGTGGCGAAAAGGCACTGCGTCACGACGTTTGCTTGGCCTCAAGAGTTGAGCAGCCACAAGACAGTCCAAGATAGGAAAATAACGTAGCCCAAACCATCATCAATCAAGGAAATCATAATATATACATATATATATATATACATATATAAATGGTATATATATATATGGGTGTGTCTGGAAAATATGGTATTCAAAAAACATGATAGTTCCTTTTCCCCACACAAATTGCAATTTGGTGATATACCGAATTTCGCGCATAGCGATCTAAAGCTCTGGCATTCTACGGTCTTCCACATATCACGTCAACCCTGGATTTTCATAAACCCCGTTTGCGGCTGTTTTTTATTGGGGGGGATACCATGCAAATGTATCATCTAAAGTGTCTAAAAATGGAGGGTACCCCCAGAATTAATAAACCGTGGTTTATTAATCCGGAGTTGACATTATCACATATCTCTAGTAGTTTCTCAGCCACCATGTCCCGCTCCCAAACTCCTCAAGGATTCCCTCAAGATGAGGTGCACCTGGGCCAGCGACACTTTCACCTATTTTTTGATCATCCATGGCCAATTTACCTACAAACATCAGGAGACGGGCCATGGAAAAAGGCATCAGGTGACCGAACGGACATCGAACTTATCGAACTTGACCGTCAAAGCAGCCACTTTCAAAATGGCTCGCAGTACCAACATGTGCCACAATTTGCGGATTCGATACAAACATACCCAGCCCCATGAAAAAATGTTCGAATAGAAATCAAATTGGTTACAATACACTTTACTTTTGTTGCCTCAAGTCCATTTCCCCCGCGTTTCTCCGTGGTTTTCCAGGACATCAAAACCACACCCGCCGCAGCCCTCTGAGCAGAACTCACTGTGCCGTCGTTGTCGCCTCCCAGGAATAGGTGATGCGGGCGATGCGCGTTTTTGGTGAGGATTATTGTTATTCCCATATGCTCCATGTATGGAATATTTACCAACATTTCCAAATGTAGGTAAATATTCCATACATGGAGCATCTGGGATTATAAGTCATTGGGTTGTTGGATTGGTTGAAGAGAATATCTAGAATCTAGAGGAAACGGATGGAAGCCCTGGTTTTTACCATCAAACATAGAGGTTTCCTGTCATTTTTTTTAACTAATCCAATGAATAAGGGGTGTTATGGGATATGCCTGCATGGGAAAGAAACGCCAATCGGATTTTGTGTAACCCTTATTCTGTTTACAACCCTTGTTGTTTTTTACTCATTTACATTCTCCCATTATATGGGTTACTATTCGACAAACGGTATGCAATGGGCACATACTGGGATTGTGGCGATAAGGGGAAAACAAAGCAGCCATCTTATGAGGATGTAATGGGGATATGGTATATATATATATACGTACTGTATACATATATATATATAATTATATATATATACATACTGTATACATATATATATATATATGTTTGTGTGTCTGTATATATATACAATTATATACATATACTGTACAAGGGAGACAACCAACAAGTGGGGGTGTATGGAGGTAACCTTTTGAACAAATGGAGCCAGTCTGGCTTAACGTCTCGACTCTATCTGGTTGGTGGTTGGTTTCAACCCCTCGGAAAAATATGAGTCCGTCAGTTGGGATGACGAAATTCCCAATATATGGAAAGTCATAAAATTCATGTTCCAAACCACCAACCAGCTATTAATCAACCGATGAAAAGATTGCAGGAGTGGGAAACTTTAACAAAAGGATCATCAAGCAGTAGGAATTGAACCAACCAATATAGGGATGTACACCTTTGAGATCCTGTAGAGAACATCTTCACAGTTGTGGTTGTGGGTTTCGGCAACAGAAATGGTTTTAGCCATTGAACAATGGGAAGGGGCATCCACCAAAAGACGTCTCAGTCAGCATTCAAAACAACTGGCAGGATGCCAGCACTTTTTTATACGTGTACTCCGGGGAAACAAAACGGGATGGATGAACCAAGCAGTATCCGGAACATCGATCAGAAGTAGTCAGAAGTAGTCAACTGAGCAATTGCTGTAGATCCTAGTAGAAAAAAATGAATATCCAGTGTATGTCCCTTCATATACATAGCCCAACAATTGCTGCTATAGATTAATATAAATTAATATAAATCATGTAGCTCATTTTATCTCCATATTTACCTCCAAGCATGACAATCAGATACAAACGCAATGTTTAAGTATGTTTAAATAGGTGTCACCTTTGTTGGTAAAATTCCCATGATATCTGACTGCAGGTAAATCTGAGTAACACATCCCATTATTTATAGGGTTTCAACATGTTTCAACCATTGCAGCTGGTGCAGGATTTCTTCCATCCCAGCCTTTGGCGTAGAGCTCGGCTGCCAGCGCCAGCTGTGAAGGCGTTAGGCCTTGAAGAGCCGAGGTCACCAAGGGTTTCACCTCGGTGGGGTTTCTCATGAAACCATGGGTTTCAACATGTTTCAACTACCATCTGGTTATTTAACAGTTTGCCATGGAAAATCGCCCATAGAAATAGATGATTTACCTATTAAAAATGGTGATTTTCCATGGCTATGTTAAATAACCAGAGGGTATCTGTTGATGTTTCTAGGCTTTTGTTACTTTGGAATTTTATAAATTTTATTGGGGGGATGGTTTTCAATGGTGTTGGATGGGTGATGGGTTTTGGATGTGACAACTGGTGTGCGACGGTTCTGGGCATGTTCCGGTTCAAGGTCTCTTGTCTGAGAACGACAAAGATGCTGGCAATGCGCAGGAATTGAGCATGTCAAAGGATCCGTCTGGAACACGGCGTAGTTTTCCGGATAAAACGTAGCGTCTTGTCGTAACCTTAGATACCCTGCAAAAAAAAAATCTTGCTAGGCAGCTTAAAACAAACTACATCGATATTGTGTTCAACACAATGGTTCAAAAATCAAACAAGTAACATAAGTAACCTACTCACACCAGGTTCACAAAGGTTGTTCATGAGACTAGCAAGCAAAAACCAAGCACTGATTTCTCGGTGTGACGGGATCATCCCACGTCGTGTGGCCACAGATCTGAGAAAACCAGTGGGTCTCCAGACATGTCTACCATTCGGGATCCGGAGATTGCCAGTTGGGTGTCCGGATCGATTCCCTCCTGACTAAGAAACTAACTGGAGGTTTTGATAGATGGTTTATCCATGTTTATCCCATTATTCAAAAAGGGTCTCAAATGACTGTGGAGTTTTGAAAGTTTTGCTTTCGCTTTTTTATGGGATTTGTTTTAGGTAAGCACTTTTTACTGCGCTGAAGTTGGAATTTTGTTGGCTCCACGGATAACCAGCTTGTGAGAAGTGGATGGAAAGTGGCATCATCACATCCAGTAAAACTGCAATGAACAGATGCCATCTGCTAATCAAACATGGCGAAATCCCCGAACTAAATGGAGGCTGTTTTATGTAAATAATGATATATAGCTTGGGGATTTCCATTGTATTTGATGACCGGAGGGTACCAAATATCCTGGACATTTTCTGTTGCTGGATATTAGATACCTTCCAATTTCAGCGAGAAACTCATCCCGAAAAATCTAACCTATCCAGGTCTATTCATGTAGATACGTTATACATCTTTTCAGCCATTCCTGATCCTTCCTGAATCCCCATCTTTTCACGTGACATCAGACACCACTATGCATCCCCAATATTCTTGGCTTCACAGCATTTGACTGCTCAAGAATACCATCACAGCACCAGCAGCAGCAACATCATTACCATCCTCATCGTCATCCTCATCGTCATTATCATCATCACCACTTTAGATCGTATCTTCATGTTTGCTGCTTGTGACATCTTGTGACATGTCCACATTCTCACACGAACAGCTTGTTTTGTGAACGCTGGGGTCGCCACAGTGTCCAATAGACTTTCGTGCAAGGACCTACAAGGGGACATGAGAGGGGTTCCCGATGATTGCGAACACACAAAACTAGGCAGATATCCTACTGGGCGGATCTAGCAAGCAAAAGTTAGAATTCGACCAAACCAGGAAAATTGGATTTACTGTAAACGGTATATTATGTATATACATACATATATATATATTTATACATATGTATTATATGTATACATACCTGGAGCTCATTTGTGAACCCTATCTTGGAGGGTTAACCACCAAATTTATGGGTTCAAACCTCTCAAACAGATTCGTTATATATGTGACTGTCACTTCTTCCAATTATCTTCCATTTTGATGGGTTATATAAGTTATATATAATAGTAGCCCTGAAAATGATCCCAAAATATGCAAGATACAATCTATCACTAGTCGATCGAATTTTGCTTGTCTACCTTTTCGGGGGTTGCTATAATTAGTGTTGAAGCACCTATTTTTGCTGCTTCACCCCCCGCATTTGATGAAACCCGCCTCTGTGGCACTGCTTCAGACGCTTCGGAGGTGTCACCTTTGTCGCCTCTGAAAGGTTTGACTCTGGGGTAGATTTTTGGAGCTCATAGAGAGACACTATTGAATATGCATATAATACTATATCTATAGCTTTCAAGTTGCACCATGAAACAAAAGTACCAACATATCTGAAATTAATTCCCATTATAATATAATGTATACTAGGATTTGAGAATCACAAGTGGGGTTTTGATATGCTTGAAGCGTCAAAAGGGGAGATATGGACAGTATGACCGACACCTGGGGTCCTAAAAGACCTGCTTCGATGTGTATCCTAGATACTATGTGGTTGAATAATGTTGAATACCAGGCTTGGTTCACCCACTTCCACATGCAAGAAACCGTATTGGTCATTTTGGAACCACTTGTGAGGTGGCAAACACATCCAAGTAGGGCTATCCCCCGAATTGTGGATATGATTGGATTAATCCATGTCAACAAGAATCACCCCGACTAAACCTCTCCATTTTCGTCGTGAACCTGCTCATCTTGGAATCCCCAAAACAAGGATGGGAGGATGGGAGGCTAATCTTAAGAGGACGGGAGAATGGGCCAGCATAGGATGTAAATCAATCTAGTCGGCTCCTAGCTCGGAAAGTCATGTAGGCGGTTTGCATCTTTTTGGTCCATGATTTTGCAAAACATGGCGCCACATCAAAATCTTGCAAGTGCATCCAGTTTGGGCTTTTGGAACTTGGAAATTTGGCATCCAAATTTTCCAAGGTGCAGACCCTTAGGATTTTTTTTGCCAGTAGAACCTGGAATGGAACCTGGAATTTCCGGAGATGCTGAACCATTTCTTGATACACCGCTCCAGGCTCCATGGATTGACCTTTTCCAGTTCCACTTGATACATGGAAGCAGCTCCAGCTTCCTCACAACATCCCCACTTCTATGGAACCAGCTCTGTTTCCTCACAACATCCTGACAAGTACTATGGAACCTCAAAGTGATTTAACAACTTCCACAAGCCACCCGTTGGATCCGTTGGTCACGGCTAATGGTTGGCTTCAGTTCCAGGCAATTTCCCGTTGTAAAATGGAGGATATCTTATCACGACACTCCCTGGTAAACCAATGTTTGGTGATTTAAAAAAACGTCGTTGCCGCAAGACAGTCCCAAGAAACAACATGCACCTTCACTTTTCAAGATTCGTGGTTGAGCCACTCATTCTAGAAATACCAATTTTATAATGTGGGATCATTATCTCATGTTTGGTGATGGAAAAACGACAATCACGCTAAAACACCATACAATTCATTCTCAAAATGGACTTTCTCAATTGCATTCATGACATTTCATTGACATCATGTCATATCATACGGTATCATGTCATGTGACAATTGTTGATAATGATTACAGCACACTATTATGATATCATATTTTGTGTCATATATATATATACTGGTTGGTGGTTTCAACCCATCTGAAAAATATGAGTCAATTGGAATTATTATTCCCAATATATATATATATATATGGAAAATAAAAGCCATGTTCCAAACCACCAACCAGTTGATATAATATATACATTCATTTGATCATGTAGGACAAGGGGAATCCCATCTGTTTCTTGGATTTTCATCCTCGATCCCTTGACAGCTCGGCGCCTCCAGAAGCTCCACTTGCTCTTTCAGAGACTGCGGACGCAGCGTGCTTTGGTGCGGGACCAGAAAATTCATCGTGCTTTTATTGATGACTACGTATATATTATTCTATAGTTACTTTACATATCTATAGATACAGTAACCATACAACCATCATCATGATACACATATTATATAATCATCATCAGAGTATAGTAATCATATATCAGCATTTACTACTGAGAACTAGCATCAAAAACCATAACCGAAAAATACATAGATGGATCAAAAGAACAAAAATGAAACAAAGATAATTAAAAGTACTGCAGCATACTACAGTAATTATTAATATATCACAATCGTTAAAACATATGAATAATTGCATCACAACGAGAGCAATCATCATGGGGATCATCATGTATGATCAGAATTTGTCCTGCAGAAATCTAATTTGATGGGCATATCATCTACAACTGTGGGATCGTCCATCTGCGGGTTTGCATTCTGGAAGGTACTCCGAGTGGCTAGGAAACATGGGAGATGCTTCTCTTTTTCATCAATCAATCAGTATCAATCAGTGGGAAAGGTGAACACTCAGAGAAAAAAAACAACAAATCCACAGAAATCTCAGGAACAAATAAATTATATAAATGGAGATGTTGCAAAAAAAACACAAGTTTCACGAAGTCTGTCAAATTCCAGATTGTCTGTGGGTTCTCCTCATCCAACAGGGGTTCAGAATATATTCTCAACAGTTCACCCTAATGGTTGACTACGCAATATTACGCAATACGGAAAAGAAAGAAATCACCTATATAGCACATCTAGATAGATCATGATAGATCTAGAAGATCCTAGCCTCACTAGGTTGGCTTTCCAGTGAAAATCCAAGGGACACTCAGTCTTTTCAAATTTGGAGAATGTAAAACCAGGTCTGGCATCTTCTGGCACTTCCTCATGAATTCCAAATCTAGATGCCATTCTATCATCATCTATCATCTCTCATCTATCATCATCTATGACCGTATTTTCTGGTTAAACCATGTTAAAATCCAGCTGTTGGTGCTTAAAGTACCACATTTTGCAACCATGAAATCTGCATCCCACCTGCACGGAGGGCTTCCAAACCTTCCAGTGCCTGGAAGGTTCATGGAGGTACTGTGGTAAACCGTTTTGACCAAAAAGGTGTTATGTTTTTTCCCTTGGGATTATATATAATTATATATAGTTAACTTGATATAACCCCCGCAAGTGTATACAAGTTGTAGAATTGGGTCTGATTTTTTGAGTGGCTTCCCCTCATTGCTAGGCAAAAGGCGACAGTCTCCAGTTACTCCAGTTCCTGCCAGCAGCACCTAGCATGAACAGCGTCAAAATCAGTGCCAAAATCCCTTCCATGTGTGGTGCATGGTTTTTTATACTTTGGGTTGGTCATTTAGGACATTTTAGGACCGTCATTTGATGGCTTGCTTTTGGTTCGATTCTCGAAAAATTCTTGTAGAGAAAACCACCCTTTACCTTTGTTTGTTGGTTGGACACTTACCGTAACTTGCCAACATTTCATAACATTTCAAGGCAAAACTACCTTTCCAATCCTTTCCAGGTGCTTAACTCCCACTTTTGGGTGATTGCGCCACGAGCGTCACTCGACAGTTCAAGCCTGTGCCACCCGAAAGCCGCGGAGGTTGCGCTTGAAGCACTCGTCGGGATCGAACGGTGCCTGGGAAAAAGTGCCAGGGAGGCTCGTGCCATCCCCGCATTGGGGGTGATCAATCCAGGTTCATAAGGATTTTTCTATGCCCATAGGGAGGATTCCCAATATGGGATCCTAGAGTGTTCTCCATTTTCCATCCAAGGTTGAGAAGGAGATTAATATCGATGAGTGTGCTTGGTTTGTTGATTTATTGCACGCTATTCAGGTCCGCCGCTGTCTTGCCCCCTTCTAAGATCTGCACAAAGTAGGGCACCTGTGGGCACTGTCGAGGGAATGGCAACTGTTTACCGATGGAGCAGAATGGCTGCTTTATTGACTAAGGCACTCAAACATGTTGATTTTCCCAAAAGTTGATATGGTTGTAGTTATAGTATTAGTCCGGGTGTAAGTACTTCAAGGGGTCATGAGTTGTCACCCAGTTACCAGTCGCAACCCAGTCACTACAATTATCTCAAGGTTGATCCCAGTATTCGCTCGCAAGTCTGGGTCCATGTTCAACCCAGACCTAAGATTTAAATCTATATCTGTATGTTCTATTCACTTTTGGCATTCCAGAAAAATTGCAGGTTTTCCCAGCACAGACAGCAGTCAGGCATAGGTTTCCGTACAGCTCGGGATAGGTCGGAGCTACTGGAACTTATACCACCCCAACGAAAGCCGGGTTTAGTACTGGATCATATTGAATCTGTTCATGTTGCGGTCAAGCACAACCACTGAGTTTTTTCTTTGGATGGGGTGTATGCCATGGGGAGCAGCTGCATACATATTCCACAAATCAAAACAACCACTGGTTGGTGGTTTTAACCATCTTGATAAATATGAAATATGAAAGTCAACGGGAAGGATTATATATTATGGACAATTTAAAACCACCAGCCAGACCAAACTTTTGGCATCTTTTGGCCTGCTCCGAGGTTCTTAAAGCGCAGGCTCAGAAGGCTCAGCAGTGGCACTGCAGGCTCAGTGAGCTTGGCCGGTCACTGACCCCATACGCGAGGGCGCCCCTTCTAGGCTTGCCGATGGCACGAAAGTTGATCAACGGATATCACCACCGGCCGTGAATGTCGAACCTGGCAACTTGGCCACCGGCCTGGCGACCGGCTTGGCCAAAATGGGCTGCTGCCTTGGCCAACCATCGAAATCGCGAGTAAGAAGGGCGCGTGTCCCCGCCAGAAATGGCTCTGCAGCAGGCAATTTCTGACGCTTTCTGTGGGTTTGTTCGATGTGTGTAAATCACGCTCCGACCATCGAGTACAGTATCATCAGTAATCATAGCATCAAGATGCATCAAGAAGGTCTGGCTTCACATTCTATACCGATACGCTTGCAAAAAGATAACCAAATCCTTTCCCGGAATCGCAAAATGACAATCAACAACAAATCCTATATACTCCTTTTTTGGCCGGAACAGAACTGGTCACAAAAAGAACATTTCAGGCGAAACAGTTAACCAGTCAACCCTTCCCCCAGTGGGCCTTGGGACCGGAATCCAATTTCCGGGTCACAGCATTGTACCACCTCCTGGCCACAGATTTTTTTTTTTCGGGGAAGGATCATCTCCCGGAAGATTGAGACAATTCATGTAACAACACGTATGTTTGTAGAACAACTTATAGCAAGCAATGGTTCACTGGTTGGTGGTTTCAACCAACCCCTCTGAAAAATGATGGAGTGAAAGTCAGTTGTTTTTTTTTTCACTTCCCAATATATGGAACGTGATAAAATTCCATGGTTCCAGTCACCACCAATCAGTTGATTTTGTGCTTCAACTCTCTTCTATCTTTGTGGTGACCTTTTTTTTGGGTATGATCAGTTGACCTGTGGCTTTGTGGATTAAAAAGGGGGTCTTACCCATCAACGGCGCTTTTTCAGCACAACTCTAGCATGTGATGTTTTGTGAGGTGAAGACAATGGACAAACACAGAAGTTGGATCAAACAAATAGAAGAGACCTTAAGAAAACACTACCAGGAACAAGAAGGCGTCAAAAACCTGGAGGTAAATGATAAATACATGGATGGGGTGAAAAAAGTTCACCTACTGATTCATAGTTGACTTGATCATGAATAGTTAAACTGCTATTCAATGATATTTAACCTAGCTAGTCAATGATTTCACCTACTAATGGGTTTTATGTTGTTTTAATGTTTGGTGAAATCATTAAGTATAGCTAAACTGCTACCGAAAGCACGGATCCCAATCTGAGGTTTTCAGATTGATGGACTTAGCCAAGGGTGTGTCTTGGGCATTGTGGGTTGATGGTTGCTTGTTTCGGGAGCCACCATTGGGTGGAGTATATAGTTCCATGAACTTCACATTAATGGGGGTGGGTCATTGAGTCAGGCTATTTGGTTTCATTAATTGTGGCTCAATAACAGAAACTGTTTAGAGGAGTCACTTCTTTTTGAGCCTCCAGTATTGCAGGTCATCAGGCAGTCAAATGTGGTGATATAATATCGACAAAGATAGGACACCTTAGTCGAGAGATGACGCACGGTCGCATCGTCATGACAATAATGAAGCCAAACTCAGCATTGCTGACAATGTGATTGATTGGTCAAAAGATCAACATTATATAGACATAGCTGGTTGGTGGTTTCAACCCCTCTGAAAAATATTAGTCAGTTGGGATGATTCTTCCCAATATATGGAAAGTCATCAAATTCCATGGTTCCAAACCAGCAACCAGATAGTAACGCCCCAACAGATAGAACAGATTACCGCATTACCACAACTGTAGGTGTTCGGTGTTCACCAATTCTCCAATTGGGGAGTGCCTGGGGATTGAGCCAGGATGATCTGCACAGGGTGGCCTCAAATGAGCCACCATTTTTTGGGATCAATATAGGATTTAAATGATTTGCCCAATTTGAACATGTTTATCTGGTTGGTGGTATACCTACCCCTCTGAAAAATATGAAAGTCAATGGGAAGGATTATCACATTTATGGAAAATAAAAAATGTTTGAAACCACCAACCAGTTATGATTTCTGTAGCTCTCCAACAAATGGAATCTCCATTTGCTGCCGACCTGCCTGGTTTTCTGCTTCTCCTCCTTCTCCTCATCCTCCTGCGAAGCACGGAAACTGGGGTTGTCCAGAAGTGAGCTTTTTGATAGGGGATTAAACAAATCATTCAAAACACTAGGACGAGATTTAGAAAGTCATAATCCAGATTGGGACTTAAATCTGTCATATTCTGACATCATCAACAAAACCGGAGGGTTTAAGAAGCAACGACGCAGGTTGAAACATCAACAATTTGACCGGAATATGACGTTTTTTTTAACTTAAAAACCGACAAGGGGGATCTCATCATGCTTGCACCAAACTGTGAATCCAACATAAAAATACACAGATTTTGGCTACACCCCTTTTTTCACCAGAAAACACATAATGATGTGACCAAGAAGAAGTGGGCGCGTAGCCACGTAGCCTGTCATGGAGATGTTTGCAAAACACATGAGCATGTAAGCGCCAAGAATTTGTAAACCAGCAATGAAGAAGGGGATTTGGTCTCCAAAAATGGGGGATATACCAAAACGGCCACTCTAACGGTGAGAATGGTCAAGCGTGAGATTCTGGCATTTTTGAACAAACCCTGCTGGGGAGTTGAAGTGACTGCATTGAAATGTTTCAACTGTGTTCTTGCAATCCCACAATATAGAATATATCCCAAAATTATATCAAATTTACTATAGCATTGTGGAATCAGCCAATATACTTGATCCCACAATATAGAATCCCACAATTAACATTATATATTTCAAAGATATACTGCGACTTCAGGACACGTATGGATATGGGTCGAAGATCGATATTCCCTAACATGTTGCTACTCCAAAATGAAGAGTCAGTCTGTGCTTTCGCAGAATCCAGGACCAAAAGCATGTTCCATTTTTCATCATAAATTTGATGGTTTCCCATCTTTGCTGGTTGTTTAATCATGCTTCAGTTGGATCATGTTGGATCTATATAGCACAGTAGTTAACATGATTAACATTATATTATTTATATGTCTATGTAGATCCAGCTGATTTATTTTTTAACCATGCAACTCATCATTTCCCCATCTGTGTCGGTTTCTTAACATGTCCAAATCAGATCCGTTCCGCTTATCACGTGGCTGGGAAACTCCATTCCGAGCTCCTTGGCTCTCCATTTTTGGTTTGGAACATGGAGGTTTCCTGAAATGGGGGTAACCCCTAATTTAAATCATCAATTTGAAATGGATTTCCCCTTATAAACCATCCAGCTATGGGGTGCCACCCTTTAAGGAACCCCCCATATGGACACCCATAGCTCCCTTCACTCCCTCCACCACAGGAAGTCAAATCCTCCGCAGCCGACGCAATGACCTCCGGCCATTTTTTGGCGCATAAAAAACGGGGGTTGACGGGGGTAACCCTGAAGAATGGTGATGTAATGAGATATAACATGATATAACCATAGCGCTGATTTAACGGGATATAATTATCATGGAATAGAATGGTGTTTTTTTTGGCAATTTTCGTTTCGTTGCCATGTTTGATGGCCAAAGGGTATGTACAGATACTTTGTGTATATCCCAATCATATCCCATGAACCCCAGTATTCCATATGTACTGTATGTATACATATATATATATAATCCTGCAGTATACAGAATATACGATTTTCAGATATATTCCCATTATAGTACGGTTTCTTTGACCTGTCCATATTCTATCTACTCCAAGATGATTACACATAATATGAAAATATCTCTATAAATATATCCATATACTATATATATATATAAAACTGTACCTGCCAGTCCGAAGGTCAAGTTAACGATGTCTTTGGCTAAAGACCAAGTTTTACAAGGACCTTTGGTTTACCTCGGTTTCATAGAGCTCAGCCCTTTTTCCCCTCATGTTCATCGTCGCCAAGTTTTTTCCACATTGGTCCTCTTTCGCACGCATTGCACCCACAGTTTTCTGGTATCAGAGCCACAAATGACTACCGAAAACTACATCGCTTCAATGCTGAATTTGACTTGAACCCCATTTGAAACCTGTTGATGCATGATTGGAATGCACCATTTTTTCAATCACCTCCAGATCGCAGTCCCGAATGGGCCTTTCCAATTTGCAATGAAAAGCCACTAAGACTGACATTCCGGAGCAATCCGGAGCATATGTAAAGCAAATTTGTGGCGCAAGAAATCTTATGATTTTGCATCAATTTCCAAACTGAAAAAAACAAATGTTCCTAAGGTTTCACCCTCGGTTCACACTCGGTTCACGGCCGTTCATATACCATGCATTTGTGGTGGTTCCAGCCCTGGATTCCCAATGATAAACTATCCTGGTGAACCCAATCATAAACCACGCATTGGATATTTATGGTAGGTGAAGGGAAGTGGTTATCCTGAAATTTATGTCATTTCCTGCGGGATTATTGGGGAAATTTGCCTGCATGTAAAGCTGTCATATATGATATACCATTAGTCACCAGAAATGACTTCATGATACAACTCAGAGCCATCAAAATCCTGACAGAAACCAACCGAAAAACTGATCCAAGCTGGTCGAAAACACTACACCACCCAAAAGATCCAAGTAATAATATGTGTCCCCATCAAGTAATAGTAGGTCCTGATCATCAAAGTTTAAAGGCCAAGTTTTACGAGGTCATTGACCTGGAGTGAATATAGGATCCATGTATGCGATATATGGTAACATTTACCATCAATATACCCCACATGTTAGCATATAAATACCATACATGGATCCTATGGGATATATCTGGGTAAATTATAATATTTCACAAACCTGAATTAAGGCCATTTGGGGATGATTTCCCTTACTAACCATGATTCCAGTGAGGGAGAACAGTGAGGTCGTTATAATTTACCCAGATATATAGCATTCTATAGCTATTGATCTGTGATCATCTGTGCACACCTCCCCGGACCCTTCGCACCCACCTGGAAGTCCTCGCTCTCCTGGTGCTGTGATGCTCCCAGGGATTCGAGGGGGGCTCATCATCAAAAAAGGTGGTTGTACAATCGAACAAGTTTCACCATATATTTGTTCTATATATCTACATATATATATATATATATGTAAGATACAATTTATATACAAATATGTTTATAATATGTGTGTATATATATATATATGTAAACATGTACATTATGCATATCTGAATATGTGGAAAAATGATGAACTACCCATGAAAAAATACGTTTAAACATCAAGAACAGGGGATGCAACAAACAAACGGCAACCATCAGTACTATCACCCAGTGGTTTGAAGCAGATCCCGTCCCTGTTCTGGTTGGTTTGACCCCGATCAGGCACCAAAAGCTTCTGCACATGAAAAGACGCTTCCCATTGCATTCACCTCAAGGGTTTCACAGGGTATATGATGGTATATGTACTTGTCTGAACAAAACACACACAACAAATCCTGGTTTAACATCACTTAACATCAAGTAAGATGGACCATCCTAAAGTGATGCTAAGGTGGACCCCATATGTTTATCATCCTCCTCCACCTTTTTTATCACTTTACTTTGGGGGTCCATCCCGCATGGTTTTTCGGTCATGGTGAAGCCCATCATCTGTTCTGGATATGGTATGATATGGTGATCATTCTCTTGATGGTCAACCAAGTAATTTCTTGATGCTTGACCCTCCAGCAAACTAACACAACTATGGAAAACCAATAGGTACAGGTAAATCATCTAATGGGCCATGTTCATTCATTTTCCATAGCTACATTGAATGACACAGAGTAAAACCACCATGTTCATCCATTTTACCTACTTAAATCCACATGTTTTATGGTAAATTCCCCAATTTCAATGACATGTCGAACATCCCTTGGCTGCTTCCAACACGATAAAACAACAGCCACACCTCCGTAGGACTGGCATCCTCAACCTCTGTGGCCTCAGGATGTGGCTCAGTTTGATTTAATGGGATTAAATGGGGAGGGTAACCCACCTGGAATTTAGGTTATATCATGTTATATTCCAGTTAATGATCTATTTCAATCTATTTCATATAATGGGATATAACTGATATAACATGATATAACATGATATAACATGATATAACATGTATAACATGATATAACATGATATAACATGATATAACTTGATATAACATGATATAACCTACTTTGTGGCTTAAGTTGAGGGTATAAGTATAAGTTGAGATTGCTTGCATGGGTAGAATCTGGCAAACATGGGTGGTATAAACCCTCAAAATATGGGATATACAACAAATCCTGGTTTAACATCACTTAACATCAAGTAAGATGGACCATCCTAAAGTGATGCTAAGGTGGACCCCATATGTTTATCATCCTCCTCCACCTTTTTTATCACTCTACTTTGGGGGTCCATCCCGCATGGTTTTTCGGTCATGGTGAAGCCCATCATCTGTTCTGAATATGGTATGATATGGTGATCATTCTCTTGATGGTCAACCAAGTAATTTCTTGATGCTTGACCCTCCAGCAAACTAACACAACTATGGAAAACCAATAGGTACAGGTAAATCATCTAATGGACCATGTTCATTCATTTTCCATAGCTACATTGAATGACACAGAGTAAAACCACCATGTTCATCCATTTTACCTACTTAAATCCACATGTTTTATGGTAAATTCCCCAATTTCAATGACATGTCGAACATCCCTTGGCTGCTTCCAACACGATAAAACAACAGCCACACCTCCGTAGGACTGGCATCCTCAACCTCTGTGGCCTCAGGATGTGGCTCAGTTGGATTTAATGGGATTAAATGGGGAGGGTAACCCACCTGGAATTTAGGTTATATCATGTTATACTCCAGTTAATGATCTTTTTCAATCTATTTCATATAATGGGATATAACTGATATAACATGATATAACATGATATAACCTACTTTGTGGCTTAAGTTGAGGGTATAAGTATAAGTTGAGATTGCTTGCATGGGTAGAATCTGGCAAACATGGGTGGTATAAACCCTCAAAATATGGGATATACAACAAATCCTGGTTTAACATCACTTGACATCAAGTAAGATAAGTAAGGTGGACCATCCTAAAGTGATGCTAAGGTGGACCCCATATGTTTATCATCATCCTCCACCTTTTATATCACTTTACTTTGGGGGTCCATCCCGCATGATTTTTCGGTCATGGTGAAGCCCATCATCTCTGGATATGGTATGATATGGTGATCATTCTCTTGATGGTCAACCAAGTAATTTCTTGATGCTTGACCCTCCAGCAAACTAACACAACTATGGAAAACCAATAGGTACAGGTAAATCATCTAATGGGCCATGTTCATTCATTTTCCATAGCTACATTGAATGACACAGAGTAAAACCACCATGTTCATCCATTTTACCTACTTAAATCCACATGTTTTATGGTAAATTCCCCAATTTCAATGACATGTCGAACATCCCTTGGCTGCTTCCAACACGATAAAACAACAGCCACACCTCCGTAGGACTGGCATCCTCAACCTCTGTGGCCTCAGGATGTGGCTCAGTTGGATTTAATGGGATTAAATGGGGAGGGTAACCCACCTGGAATTTAGGTTATATCATGTTATACTCCAGTTAATGATCTTTTTCAATCTATTTCATATAATGGGATATAACTGATATAACATGATATAACATGATATAACCTACTTTGTGGCTTAAGTTGAGGGTATAAGTATAAGTTGAGATTGCTTGCATGGGTAGAATCTGGCAAACATGGGTGGTATAAACCCTCAAAATATGGGATATACAACAAATCCTGGTTTAACATCACTTGACATCAAGTAAGATAAGTAAGGTGGACCATCCTAAAGTGATGCTAAGGTGGACCCCATATGTTTATCATCATCCTCCACCTTTTATATCACTTTACTTTGGGGGTCCATCCCGCATGATTTTTCGGTCATGGTGAAGCCCATCATCTCTGGATATGGTATGATATGGTGATCATTCTCTTGATGGTCAACCAAGTAATCTCTTGATGTTTGACCCTCCAGCAAACTAACACAGCTATGGAAAACCAATAGGTACAGGTAAATCATCTATCAAGTCGCCATGTTCATTCATTTTCCATAGCTACATTGAATGACACAGAGTAAAACCACCATGTTCATCCATTTTACCTACTTAAATCCACATGTTCCTGAAACCAGAACATAAAACGACAATATCATCAAACAGAGCTATTTTAGAACTGATATCGTTTGACATCAAATTCATACTCTTTCGGGATTTCTCTACCAGCACAACATGGGGCATACAAGTGCTGTGGATCCAAGCATAGAAAATACTGGCTGCTGTAGTTGTAGTGGGATGCGATTAAACTGACGTATCACTACCATCTAACCGAAAACAGTAACCAATCAATCACAGCGCAGTGTACCCGGCATTCAACATGTGCGTCTTTAGGACATGTTAGAACTGTTTTGCATGTCTTTGATGCTAAGTTACTGTGTATCAGTTTCTTCCACAAACTAGCTATGGAATGCCCACTTACTTGATTACCGGACAGTCCGTTTTGAAACACTGGAAATACATAAAGCATCATCAAACACATTATACAACAATGTTGGTAAAAGTCAAGAGTTGGTTGATGATCCCATGAACGGTTTCAGCTTGTGGCAGCATCCCAGAGTTTTTTGATGAAATACCCGGGAAAAACCAGAATAATATATATATAATAATGCTGATATGTTCAATATGTTCATATTAGATCAGCTTCACGCCTTTTTTTATCTCAGGTTTTTTTCTCTCAGAACCATGGGACTTTCAGATTTGTCACTGTCAAAGCTTCCAACTTTGGAGAGACACGACTTTGACCTATATACAGTTATATACATACTCATTCTGTTGGTTCTATCCTCCACTTTGACCCATTTGAATCTCTTTGATAGTTGATGATCGTTTTTCTACTTCAGTCTCTAGTTTTATGGATAATACCAGCTGTTGATACCTCAACTCCACTGTTGGAACAATACTGGACAGCGTTTCTTGGCAGATCCCTGATAAGATACACTGCACTTTTTCTGGAGACTGGGTAATATACCCTTCGGTACTCAAACAGTGTGATTAATGGACATTCCACTATTTATAGATGATTATCCCAGCATGTCCCAGCTATAAACCTCCATGAGCTTGGTCCCCCGTTGCCCCATTGCTACCTTTGGTGACACCGGCAGGTACATCCCAGACGGCAGGTGAAAAACCCGGACGGCTCCGCTCGGCTCCCGGACGTCTTTGTCCACTGAGATGGCTGCCTTTTCTAACAAGGATGTTGATGATCCCAAAATTTCTGACTCAAGGCTAGGATTTTCCATGTAAACACCGTTGAAATACAGGAGGTTCAACAAACATCATGGTTGATTCAACGTTGATTACCATAATTTCAAGGCCCAGGTTCCCGGCAGGTACATTCATCTTTTTTGGGAGGGGGCAGTCTGGGCAGTACCCAATTATTGGATCACCCATATACCCGAGTCGGAGGGGAAGAAAAGTAGAGCCAGTCCACTTATAAGTGGAATGATCATCTACTTACTAAACTACCAAACAATCTTGAACAGCTGGATTCTGGATCCATCTTCAATTCCAAAACTGTTCCAAAACCAAAATTGATGGATCTGATAATGAGGATCAATAGGTCCAACAACAATGAGAGGGGCAACATGCGACAATGCGTGTGATTTATTGATTTACATTTAAGTCACGTGTGAGTTCGTTTGTTCTTGAAATTCAGGACGCATCAATTTTGACGTCATTTCAGTGTCCAGGAACCAGGGAAACCGATCAAATTTCTCAATTTCGATCCACTACAAACCACTTTATCCATACCCGGGTAGACTGTGGCAATGCAGTGGCACCGCAGTTTATGGCATAAAACTAAGCCCATACGCAAATGGTCTGACCTGTCAAAAAATGACATGTCGTAGCCCGATTGGTTTGGTTCACTGTCTTTCTTTGGTCAACTTGAAAATGTTCCAGAGACCCTTATCATTCAACCATACATATTCTTGGTTAGCCCCCACTAGTTCATTTTCCCTCTTCTCAGGCACCAGAAGACAAGACCAAATAAGCACATGTTGTCCCTTGCATCCCACAAACTCTCCATGTCAAGTTTGAGCAGTTCTGTGTCATTTCCCATGGCATTGTGTCCTTTCTAAACTGGCTCACATGGGACCATTTCCCTTCATTGCTGACGTTTCTTGATAGGCACCCCATCCAATCCTGAAATTGATCGGAATTTCGCTGTTTTTACATGTAAAATACTGTAAAATCATGTAAACATTCCCGTTTCTGGTGGAAAACATCCCCATAGCTTTGCCCTTCATCAACTCATGGTTTCGTGCAGTCACTGCAGTCGACCTCCAGGGATGGCATCAAAGGCCGCTCTGCAAAGCTGGGCAGCTTGGGAAGCGAGGAAACCTGCCCGGCCAAGGCGATGCCAAGGTGTGAAGGAAAGGATGAGGATAGCAGAAAAGGATGAAATAAATAGGATATTCCATGAAGATTTTAATGGATATGTTATTGCTATGTTTAATGCTAATTTAATTGCTATTGCTGATGGAATTTCATCAGCAATAATAGAGATTTACCATTCCACACAATAGTATCGGGATTTAGTGCTATTTCATGACTATATACTGTAGATCGAAGAATTCCTGCACCTTTTGGTAACTATTGGGATTGCTATGAAACAATGTAAATAATGGGATTCTGACCGAAAATTGCCCATCTACCAACTGGTGCAGGATTTCTTCCATCCACAGGTACAGTACTTAATGATTATCTAATGAAATTTACTCACCAATCATTTGGATTTTACTACTAGAATCAGTGAATAGGGGTACCATTCCCCATGATTTACATTAAACCATGCATTAGCAGTTTTTCGGTTGGAAGGAATTAACTGTCTTCCAATCCCCTATTCAATTCAGCGTCTATGTTGATTGGTGGGATTGTATATTATGTATACACCATCATATGAAACTGTAAATATCTGTAAATATTAGTGCATCTACATATATTTATATATACATATCCATCATTACATAAAAATGTATCATACATGTATATATATATAATTGTATATAATTAAATTATATATATATGTATCATATGTCTATATCATTCTATATCCATATCATGTGTATCAGATCTGTATCTTAAGTATGGTATCTACCACCAATACTCTAAATCCACACATTCATCAACATGCCTTAAATATCTGGGTTTTTTTGATAGTGACTCACCTTAGAAACTTGCGGGAAAAATTGGGGAGAGTTACCCGTACCATCCAGGCCTCCGGGTCCGGGTCCAGTACGCTGGTAGGCCTCACCCAGCCCCAGGAACCCTGAACGGTTCGGAGACGAGGCACTGCACCAAGCGTCAAATCTGCATGTATGGCGGCTGAAAAACATATTGCTTGGGAAACAAAGAAATATCAAACATGGAGGTGTATAGAATAAGATTTTATGAGAATATCATGTCATGAGAAGGTATGGGAAATACAAAGAAGGTTTCATATATGATGTGGGTGGGTTTGTCTGAAAATTGGGTGTTGTATACGGGTATACCAACAAAATTGAAATCTTTATTAGAGACAGTTCTGATAAGCAATCAATTTTGGGTTAACCTTCAGACAGACCCGCCTACATAGCCATCAAAGACATGGATCAGCCAAGTGTGGTGAATTTATATAGATGACAGCAACAACAACGTGATTTTGGGCGATACTCCCTCTAAATGTTCCATCTTGATGTAAAAAAAACAGCAAACAAAATTCCTGAACTCTGAAATAAACACAGGGAAAATTAGGTAAACCTGCCTCCCCTTGGCAAGTTGATGGTTGACCAAAAAGTCAAGATTATTTTCGACACGCCTCGCATCTTCCAACTGCTGAAGTAGCTCTTGCCCCACCGCCTTGTATGGCTGGGTACAGAATCTTAGTTGAACATATGTACATATATGTACATATACTATACATATATTGAATTAATATTTATGGCATTATTCTCTGATTATTGGTTTATTGTCCACTATTATGTATTAGAGGTTTAGTATGGTGTTTTTCCCAACATATATGTATGATATTATTTATACATAAGATGTAGTGTACGCGTCTGCTAAATTAAAAAAACATAAACCATTGTGTATAAAACAAAATCATATACTTGAAATATATTAACCATATATTCAAATAGACTAATATACACATTTTAAGCCCATGTATATTTGTATAAATATACATGTGCATATAGGTCTATCAATCAATGACTTTGGTCATGGTTGGTGAGGTACAGCCACTGGTGCAGACTTTGAAACCTGGAAGTCAGTCTATTCCAATCCATCCTGTCAGTGTGGTGCAGATAGAAGAAACGACAATAAAACAAAACCAAGTATGTATACATATGTATGTTATATATATATACATGTTCCAGGTTCGGGGACCCCCTCATGGTTCCCCCCTCCCCCCTGTGGATGTGGGAGTTGGGTGGGGTCATGTTAGTAAAATGTATGTATGTATGTATGTATGTATGTAGTGTATTGTAATCTAATGTAATGTAATGTAATGTCATGTAATGTCATGTAATTTCATGTTATGTAATGTATGTATCTATGTATCTATGTATGTATGTATGAATGTATTGTATTGTATTGTATTTGTATTGTATTGTATTGTATTGTATTTGTATTTGCATTTGTATTTGCATTTGTATTTGTATTTGTATTTGTATTGTATTGTCTTGTATTGTCTTGTATTGTATGTTATGTATGTATGTATGCATGCATGTACGTAATTAATGCATGAAATTAATGTATGTAATTTTTGTATGTAATTAATTAATGTATGTATGTATGTCTGTCTGTCTGTATGTATGCATATATCATATATGTATGAATGAATGAATGAATGAATGTATGTATGTATGCATGTATGCATGTATGTATGCATGTATGCATGTATGTATGTATGTAATGTATGTAATGTATCTAATGTATGTAATGTATGTAATGTATAAATGCATGTATGTATGTAATTAATGTATGTAATTATAAAATGTATGTATTTTTTTTGTATGTAATTACTGTTTGTATTGTATTGTATTGTATTTTATTGTATTGTATCGTAGTGTAGTGTATTCTAATGTAATGTAATGTAATGTAATGTATGTAATGTAATGTAATGTAATGTAATGTAATGTAATGTAATGTATGTATGTATGTATGTATGTGTGTGTGTGTATGAATGTGCGTATGCAAGTATGTAATGTAATGTAATGTAATGTAATGTAAGTATGTCTGTCTGTCTGTATGTATGTATGCATGTATGTATGTATGTATGTCGGTATGTAGGTATGAAAGTATGTATGTAAGTATGTATGTAGGTAGGTAGGTAGGTAGGAAGGTATGTAGGTAGGTAGGTAGGTATGTATGTAGGCAGTATGTAGGTATGTAGGTCTGCAGGTATTTAGGTAGCAGGTGTGTGGGTATGTATCTATATAGGTATGTTGGTATGTTGGTATGGAAATATGAGGTTTTGCATCCAAAATGCTGTACATACCATGGAAATATGAGGTTCTCCATCCAAATTGGTGCAAATACCATGGAAATATGAGGTTTTGCATCCAAAATGCTGTAAATTCCATGGAAATAAAAGATTCTAGGTCAGGGAGTAGGGGACCATACCATTGGGGGGGGGCTATGGGACCGGGGACCGGGATCATATATATATATATTATATAGAGATATATACATATTTGTAATTTATATATCATATCTATATATCATAGACTTCAATCGGGTCCATGCACAATAATCATGGGTTACACCCCTTTTCGGTCCCTCCTAGTCCCATTTCTGCTTGCCCAACATGTAGCCATTTCGACCACAGATCCAATCTCAGCTATACACCGCCACTGAGTTCGGGGATTTCCCATTGCCACGTTTGATTCCTGTAAGGTATTTGCCTTGAAATACCATCCGAACAAGCACATATACCATTCGATCCTGAGAAAAGCATTGGTCTGGCACCCTCAGCATGGCCATCTTGAAACGGAAAGTGATGATCAAACATAAGATTTAGGGTACCCATTTTTGAGTCCAAAACCACGCTATCCTCCAGACCTGCTATCGCCAACCCACGCCTCGCACAACTCAGGTTCAAAGACCTGACGCGGCGACAGGTTTTTGAGAATGGAGTCCTGATGTTTCTTGCCCACCTTTGGCCATACATCATCCTGATGTTCACTGGGTTACCAATGGGTTACTCCACCTTCACATCTCTGTTGATTACATCCCCACTTTATCCAATTTGCAGCCCGGCAAAGCTATTTATGGGCTCTACTCATTTGTCCCCAGTACAGGTGGATTCTGATTGGGGTCTCCATAGATGACAGGCTTTGGAATCCCCATGTCCCATGTCCGGCTTGGTATCCATAGCCATACAAGAGGCCAGAGTAGTAGAGAATTACCAGAGCCCCCCAAGTATAATTTGATATATATATATACATCCATTAACTATGGTTCTATCTTCCATAGACCCATACTTAAAGGGTTTGTATAATTTTGTATATACCAACTTATATCCCGGGGGATTGGTATATAAACCCGTCAACTATCGTTAGCTATGGTTGTACTATGGGTTTCCATACCAACTTATGTTTAAATTTCTTTAACCATGGCTAACTATGGTTACACCGTAGTTATTAAACCCTAGTTAACCAATACGCTTCAACCAATCCCTCGCTGCCTCCAAGAGCCGCAAGGCCCGTAACAGCGGGGAGAGGTAGCGAATGGACGTCCCGGGAATCTGTCGACGCTGCGAATGACGTGGCGGTGGAGGGAACCAAAGATCTGGAGAAATGGCGGGGCATTTCATCAATCGCATCCCCCACATATTAAAAACCACCCAGAAATCATACTGTGGGGGATTTGCACATATGCCGGAGCGGGTGTTTAATATTAGGGGATGATTTGAGGTGCGTATCCATATAGTGAGGTTGGTCAGTGCCAGAAACAACCCACGGGAATACACCGAACAACGAGTTGGAGGGATACCACCAAACATTATAAAGAAATGACAGGTACAGCTCAACAGGCTAAATAACTGGCACTAGAGCAAGTAAGTGTAGAATGTACAAATAGGCAGTATATTGTTCCATGTTTTGTGGGACATAAAGTGTTCGCAACCAAAACAAATTACACATCTAATATCATTTAATCAGAATCTAATCATCTAATCCACTTTTATAAACAACGCCGATATTTATTAGTATACATACATATCGAAGATCGTTGTTGGACCGATACAAAAGTCAATCAGCAAACCATACAGCCTGGTCATTCTTTTGAAAATAGAGCGTGTACAACATGGGACCATGCCCTCATGCTCGTCCTTGGTGTATTAGTTGGTATAGATCCTGGACGTCCTAAAGTCACGTTTGGGCAGTTTTGGCAGTACGAGGATCTCGCCTTTGCCCTTGTCCCTTTTGCTGTCGTGCAGTCTTTGAGGCCACCCGCGATCCATATCCACAGAAATCAAACAGAAACCAACATTGACAGTCCAAAGTTTTCTAAAGAAGATGGCAATGGAACATACGGCAGACCAACCCCGCATTCATTGAGATTTCCATGGACTTCAAATCTTGCTGCAGGGCAACCTGTTAAATTTAAGATACCAGGGAAATCTCCCCTTGACATTGGTCATATCCAGAATCTTGTTCAGGGAAGACCATTCCCGGATATTCTCATGGCACTCTTCGGCCACTGCAAGTTTTACTTGCTGATTCATCCTGCTTCATGGCTGTGGCTGACAAATACCTAGACATTTCAGAAGGCGAGTAGGCCAAAAAACCACTGAATCGGGGTTCGAAGCTACCAGAACTAAGTGGGTTGAACCATCAAATATTTGGATTTGTCTGACAATAGGGCATGCCGATTCCAATGAATTATCATCATCTTCCCTGTTTAGATTGCCATTTTGTGGTATACGTCATTTTCAAACAAACCCATCTATCCACAATTGTTAGTTATGCTATATCCCAATAAATTCCAATACGATCACCATAAAATCCGCAACAAATCCTATAAAAAGCCTATTAAATCACTATCCCAAAAGAACTCTTACGAAATCCCAATTGAATGGGTGAGATCCATTAAAAAACACTATGAAATCACTATTACCCTCTGGTAAATTAACATAGACCCTGGCAGTTGTCGGGGTTGAAAGACTAGTTTCCATTAAAAATGGGTGATTTTCAGGGTCAACAAGTTAATTTACCAGAGGGTAAAGCCTATTAAATCCCATGAAATCCCATGACATTCTCCGGATTTGCTGCGCCCAAGGCCTGGCCTTGCCAGAGAGCGTCACCCAGAATTCCACCGGGGCCTGTCACAAAGGGTGATCAACCGGCCTTTAAAGGGTCAAGTTGTTGATGCCCTTAGGCCTTAGAAAAATTGGAAAATATACCATCTGGTTACTGGTTATGACTAACAGTTTGCCATGGAAAATCACCATGTTTAATAGGTAAACCATCTATAAATGGGCCATCTATACCATGGCTATGTTAAATTACCAGAGAGTACTTGAAGATTATGAATTGTATATATATATATATATATCATTGGATACATCAAGTATATCATATGGACAATAATTATCCATTTATAGATGATGATTTACTTTGTTAGCTGATTATATCAAACATGCTATCTTCCATGGCTATGTTAAATTACCGGAGGGTAGACGTGCTGAAAGTTGATGCACACTTATTATGATTATCATCATTATTATTACAATGGTAGAAAAAAGAGCAACTGGAGTCTCAGAGTCTTGAATGATGACCCATACCCATTTCTAAACTCTGCCTGTGCATTCCTACAGTCTTGCAGCAGGAAACCACTGGATAGTGAAGGAACTCTAATTTCCGGCTCCGATCCTGACAGTTGTTTCACTAATTTGCATGTCCTGGATTTTCTAATCGCAATGCCCATCAAAAAGTGTGGTGTTTATACCCCCCTCTCACTTCGTTCTCCATAATTCGCCTCCTGTGAAATACCAATCTCTTCGGCTACCCTCTGGTTATGACTAACAGTTTGCCATGGAAAATCACCATTGTTAATAGGTAAACCGTCTATAAATGGGCTATCTATACCATGGCTATGTTAAATAGCCAGAGGCTAACCTTCCATAGCCCATAGCTGAAACCATTCAATGCACCTCAAAGGGCATGCTGAGATCGCAGAAGGCCCCAAGGATCTCTGAGACCGAAGATACGTTAGCATCCTGCGAGCTACGACGGAGTTTCAAGTTCAATAAACTACCACAAGGTTCCTGCTGATTGGTGGACAAAACGCCGGCATATGGTGGATATCTGGCAAGCAAAGAGGTGGATATCTAATCATCGCATCCAACAAAATCGGGTGTTTCAGGAAAAAACACCGGAAATGCGAGGAGTGGGAGGTTTTTTTTAAATGTTTTTTTGGTGTACACACCAACATGTTTCGCACCAAAGAAATCTAACAAGTGGCGATGCCATATGAGGAATCCGATAAAGCCCACTTTATCAACTCAGCACATCCGATCCAGCAAGATCCAAGCCATCCAAATCATGGGATCTATACAAGTCGTGAGGCCCCCGGCCACGATAGCGTTCAGTTGGTGCACATAACTCCAATTTCACTATATGATTTATGGTACTTATAACGAACTAGTTACTGGGGCGAATCTAAACCAACTAACATCACTGGGGGGCCTCACATTGTACGGATCTATAATGATCCATACGTCTATACACCAAAAGAACAACATCTTTGAAGGTCCAACCCAAATCTATCGTGAATGCATGGTGACTACCAGAAGAAATCTAGCGATTCTGCTCCTCGATGCGATCGATCAGTGCAGCGTTCACCGCCTTCATCATCTCATCATCCTGGAGGACTGGCGATCTGAACGGAGGACTGGGATTTTAAGGATGCCTGATGTGACAAAGACATGTGGATATACTGTATACACATGTATATACAGAAAAAAACATGTATTCACGTCATATATATAAGAGAATTGTAGGATTGTCTATCTATCTGTGACTGCATTGACAGCAGCAAACACACAAAAACATGAAAATAGAAATTGACAGTAAACTACACACACTTCATACGCACTGCCAAATGCATGAATCCGTATGTGCACGCACATATATATATATATACATATATATATATACACATATATATATATATATGTACAATTAAATGTGTACACATCTATATATATATATGTGTATATATATATATTAATATATATATATATATATATTGATATATGTGTGTGGATGTATATGCGCACATAGCTGTCCTGGGCGAATCGAATGTGGAACTGCAATCCTTTCCGAAATGGGAATAATGTTCACAATTCCATGAAACAATACTGTGTCTACTTCAGATGATGTGGTACAGTAACATGGACAGTTTGAAATACCCTGCAGTGAAAAAAATGTACCGACGTACCCCATCCAGTTGCTTTCCTCCCCTCAGCAATAGGATCAATAGGTTCTAGTAATCAATCATAATTACACATGAATATGTACATAGTATTTATATGTGTGTTCAACATGAACGATATTATATCAATAATATGCTAACATAATGAATGTATGCATTTTTACGGTCTTCTATAGATATATATATATATGATACTCACATGGATGGAAGTAAGATATACAATCATTCTGAAGTAGATAGAACATGGATTGTTTCAAAGGTATCTCCATTTTAGTGATTTGCTTTGTGGACAAGTCCACTGTGGGGGCCCCAAACGATAGCTAAGTTGGTGAACGTAACTCTCCAATTATGGTTTATGACACTTATAACTATAGTATTCATGGGGTTCATAAAGCAACTTATAACTAATTTTCCCAGCTATAAACCTTGATTTATAGTTTTATTTCAATTGCCATGTTTGATTACTGGAGGCTAGGCTTCAACCCTCTGAATTCATTATATACCCTCAAGTAATTTAACGTAGCTATGGAACATCACAATTTTGAATAGATCAATCATCATGTTTATCATCTTTAAATGGGCAATGTAATGTTCCATAGCCAACTGGTAAATAATCAAAGAATAAATGCCATTAAATCCCTTTAAATCATGATCAATCTCATATAAATCCCAGATAAATCCTTTCATATCATTTGAATCTCATATAAATTCCATAATCAAACATAAATTCCACATAAATTCCACAGAAATCCCATCCACATGCCACAAAAAAAAGGTCCAGCGAAGATGCCTTGAACTTCAGCGCCGCAAAGGCCTTGCACAACACCGCCAAGGTCTGCGGATCTGCGGCGCCTGAGCCGTACCTGGCTTACAACACTATGACTATACACGTTACCATATATCACTACTATACATCATATATCATATACATATATATGTATATAATTATATACATATACCCCTTATATGATATTATGTATATATATAGTTATATAATAACTATTATAAAACTATTATCTGTATCATATAAACGATCGAAACAGGATGAAGGTTTTCGCGCCTCTCAGGATCCTCCAGCTCCAAATATCTCTGGCCCATCAACAGTCGCGTGACGTGTCCTGCGAAGGCCTCGAACATCCCACGACTTTCACCTCAAACGTTCGCGGGCCCTGGGAATCCCAAGGGGGAAGCTGGGGGGATACACCTTCCATATTTTCCGAATCCACATAAGCTCTGGTAAAATGACATAGCTATCGAAATCCATGTTTTTTCTCCAAAGGAAATGAGCTACGCTTGGAATTTCCATGACTATCTTAGTTCACCAAAGGGTATTTAAGTATTTATGGCATGTTGTTTTGCATCTTATGGATTCTTATGGCATTTTATTGCCTTTATCTAGCGGGGACATATCACCATGACTGGTTGGTGGTTTTAACATGTTTTAACCATCTTGAAAAATCTGAAAGTCAATGGGAAGGATTATCCCATATATGAAATGGAAAATAACAAACTATCCATTTATAGTTGAACATGATCCATTGATAGTTGATTTACCCATTAAAAATGGTGGATCTTTCCCATAATCCAGTCATGTTCCAGTCACCACCAGCCAGATGAAAATTGCTGATCAAGTCTACGGAGGTCAACTCCACAGCCAAGGCCATGAATTTTAAACTGGTTTGAAGTCCTACAAGGTGGTGCCCCCACAGTTATAAATGGGTTATAATCCCATTAGCTATAAATATAACACGTATAAACCATAGTTATTGGACCTATAAACCAACTTAGCTAACTATGGGGCACCACCTTGTAGCCTCTGGCAATCAAACATGGGAATGGAACATCTCCCCATTTATGGACATTTCTTCCCATTGAAATCATTGAACCATGTTTGATTGCCGAAGGCTGCTTCAAAGCACCAGCAGAAAACGAAACGTGCTGCACAGTTGAGGCTAGAGCATTGGAAGTGAGCGAAGGAGTTCATGATGACGGCAGCTTCAACCAGAGACAACTTGTCGACGTCATCAATTAATTCCTCGATCTGCGGCCCTTGGATTTAGCATGATTTCTCCCTACCCATGGTCCCATGGAGCTTGCTTTGGGCAAGAACATGTATGCATTTCTCTGCACACTGAATCTTACATGGATCAAATTGGATCAAGCGTGGTGTGTGCGTGCTTAGGTACATCTACTGTACGTGCACGTCACTAAGTAGGTAGAAATACACATGCAACTTGGAAATTGAACAGCCACGGAATTGTTCTTCTGCACGACAGAAAAATTCACCGTCAGGCTTTGGGAGGAGCCACCCGAGATGCCAAGCATCCCGAGACAAGGTCTTCATCAAATGTATGTGCCTGCGGCTCACTGGAGGCTCATCCCTTTGTGGAAGCAACAGTTGGGCGAAACATGGCAGCCATGGCATGTCAACCAGTGAACCATGCACTCCAAAACCCGGGGAAAACCATGGGAAACCATGGAAAATGATCTATCTACCTGTAGTGCATTGATGAACCACGACCCCGGCAACAATGCCAAGGGGTCAACAGTCTGTGTGCATGGAGCCGCCATACTATACCCTCTGGGGTAATCATGGAAATGGAAAATCCACGGATACTATACAGATCTATACAGTAGATAAGTGTCCCAAGTGTTGAACCTCCATTCCTACAGGATTTCCCGGAGGGGTACCCCTGGTTCACCAGCAATGGTCGCCTGGAAGATCTGGGACTTGGTTCATTGCACACATAACCATGGTATGCATGAATTTCACTTCTTTTCTGTATGTCAATATGGTCACCCCAACTTCGTTATACTAGTACATGTCTATCTTTTTGCCGGGTTGCTTTACATACAAATATATATTGTATACACAAATAACAATGTGGGAACCCCAATGCCAATAACAAACCCAACATTTGGGGATGGTCAACATACCACCCATTGATAGGGTGCATCCCGCAGCTACTAACCGTTACCGGACCAAGGGACCGATGGTTGGCCGTGAGCAAGGCATCCAGCAACACGGCCAAGTCACCTTGGCGAACACCGCATCTTTCCAAATCTATGGCGAACAGTTTGATCTTGGATTCAATGATCAACTCTCTGGTGTCAACATGGTTTGCTGATCTTGCTGGAAAATAAGGAATTTACACCAATTTAGTAAATGTTTAGATGGTTATCTCATCCAACTGCCTATCTATAGAGATCTATAGCAGCCCGCAATGTTTGATTTCTGGACAGTACCCAGTCACCCTTTTCTGTTCACCAAATCTGACACCTTTCTTGCCATTCTCCCAGCAGGGTAGAAACTGTTGCAACTCTGAAAAGCGAGGTGTGCCATGGTGTGCCCAAAGAAACCACCATCATCCACCGTTGAACTCTCCAGAGATCCAAGGGGATTCTTGAGAGGTCCATCTTGAAACCCACCTGACAGACTAAAATCTTCCGTTTCTGATCATTTTGGGGTACATTTTTGGGTACCGTCCAATCAATTAACGTAGATATATGCGAAATCCATGGATTCCCGTTCGGACCATGAAATCTAGAAATTGGTGGGTTTTCCAGACCTATCTTCACTTACTTGAGGGCATTCATTGAACATTTTAGATGTCTTTCATCCCCCTGAACAATATTAGACATTGCGGGTCACTGTTCCTATTACTATAGTTAATGCTAAAGTAAGTTTCGACTATATTCGCATCGGGCATCGTATCTGCATATTTTCTTGGTGTTTATCCATTATTCCCCACAAAGAGGTGCCATTAGATGTAAGTCATCTTATCGAAGGAAGTTTAGAAGTCAAACTTCCGACAATATGGGCAGATGAAAAGCAGAGCAGGGCAGAGGCAGAGAGAAGGGAAAAGATTAGAAGAGAGAAGATCAGAGAAGAGAAAGAGTCAGAAGAAAGAAGGTGCAGATGCGCGAAAAGGTAGGAAAGTCGCGAAACACTGCGTTTTTCCAATGATTTGAAGCTCCGGAGGGTCGAAAAGTAGGCTCGCTAAAGCGGCGGGTGCGGAGCCATCTGGCCAGATGAGAGATGAAAAATTGCACGCCGTTGTGGCGCGAAGCACACTTCCAAGTCAAAATGTACAAAACACCTCAGTATCGGACCACTTTTGGAAGTTGAGATGTTGAAAAAGTGCACGCCGTTGTGGCGCGAAGCACATGTCCAAGTCAAAATGTACAAAACACCTCAGTGTCAGACCACTTTTGGAAGTTGAGATGTCGAAAAAGTGCACACCGTTGTGGCGCGAAGCACATTTCCAAGTCAAAATGTACAAAACGCACCACGTTTGGACCATTTTTGGAAGTTGCGATGTCGAAAAAGTGCACGCCGTTGTGGCGCGAAGCACATTTCGAAGTCAAAATGTACAAAAAACTGCACGTTCGAACCACTTTTGGGCATTCAGAGCTCGTTTCGCGTAGCAGGCGCAAGGGATTGTGAACCTTGTCAAATGTGAGCAGAACGTGAGGGTTTTGTGGCATTTTCAACTACAACCACCACTACACCACACTACACTCCAATACACTACACCACGACTACAACTACAACTACACCTTCACTACATTCCACTACATTACACTCCAATACACCCACTACACTCCACTACACTACACTCAATTACACTCAATTACACTCCGCTACACTACACTCAATTACACTCCACTACACTCCACTACACTAAATTACACTACACTACATTACACTACACTACACTACATTCCACTACACCCCACTACACTACACTACATTGCACTGAATGACACTGCACCACAGATAGCCAGGTAGACAGATAGACAGACAGATAGATAGATAGACAGATAGACAGGTAGACAGCTAGACAGATAGACAGATAGACAGATAGACAGATAAAAGAGAGAGAGAGAGATAGATAGATAAATAGATAGATAGGTAGACAGGTAGATAGGTAGATAGATAGATAGATAGACAGATAGATAGATAGATAGATTAGACAGACAGACAGACAGACAGACAGACAGACAAACAGACAGACAGATAGATAGATAGACAAACAGATAGAGAGAGAGAGAGATAGATAGATAGATAGACAGACAGATAGATAGATAGACAGACAGATAGATAGATAGATAGATAGATAGACATATCGCAAGGTAGTTAGATGAGAGAGAGGGAGATAGATCGATAGATAAATAGATAGATAGATAGATAGGTAGGTAGGTAGGTAGGTAGTCAGAGAAAGAGAGAGAAAGAGAGGAGACCTCAACCACCTTTCGGTCCATCAGTGGCTTCGCTCTGCCATCCCTGATTCACAACAACCAACCTCTCCTATAGGTTTCCTATTTTTGAAACTTCCGCCACCGCCTTGTGCGGTACTACTGACAAGATTATGTACAGTATGAAAGTCAGTTGGGATGATTATTCCCAATGGAAAAACAGATGTTCCAAACCATCAACCAGATTGTAATTTTGTAGCCTGCTTGAACAGATTCCCTAAGTCTTTTGTAGCATAAAACCAACTTAACTCAGGGCGTCTCTTTGTAGTGGACACCTCCAACCAGTTCCCGACAAACTGCGCCAGGGCACCCACATCCACGACATCCCTAAGCTTCACGGCACGTTCAGCCACCTGCGAGGAGCGCGCACCCGGACCCTGGACCGTTGTGAGTCCTGCCCTAGCCATGCCTGAAGGACATCACAACGGCATCATGTCGCCATGTCCGAAACTGCCAAAATGTCCGACTCAGTCCATGAAATCGGGATCTATGATGTGGCTTGGATGATAACATGGATGTGCAATCCAGATGGTAACTGGGCAATCTAGATTCACTGATATCACTGGATACATGCCACACAATATACATCATTGGCAGAAATCTAGTTCCTTGGGTTTGCTGTCTATCTACTAGGTGGGATGCACCTGGGTTTGTCTAAACATGGATCCATTTTTTTAAAAATCTTTCTCCATCTCTGGGGATCTATTAGAAGGGCTACTAATCAGAGTTTTTGTTGCTAAATTATTTTAATTTATCTTTTTGTTACAATATTTTAAAACTGTTGGAATTGGGCCAAACTAAAATGAACTATACATATGTATATACATATATGAAACTTTTTTTTCTGTGTCGTGGGGTGTGGGACGAGGTCGTTGAGCAGAAGGGTACCCTGCCCCCTTCTAAAAGTAGTATTGGAAGCAAAAAAAACGTCCAAAAAAACAACATGTTTTTGATTCTTTATCTTTTCTTATTTTGTTTTATTTTAAGTTAAACTATGACCAATATTTTCCTTTTTGGGCTACCTCAGTGCATTTTGTTGCTTGTTCGTAGCCAAGCTGCCTCTGATCTGTGCAAAGCTGAATAGTATCCCTTTGAATAGGGCCAGGGGGCCTTTGAATGATGAAATAGCATGAAATAGCTAGGAATTGGGGCCTTCCCCAGTGTTGGTCAAAACAAGTCAAAACCATAAGTATCCATTGTTTACAATCCGAGTTGTAGTTTCTTGCCCGGCGCTTGTTGGTCAGCCAGACCTTCTCCCAGAAGTGAAAGTCCTGCAGGGACTTGGATGACCACTTGCCATGGTCAATCTTAGAGAAATCCGGTAACAAAAAATGGGAGACTTAGCGACCAAACATCACAAAAGTTGGAATTCAATCATCAAACTCATGTATCAAACATCGGATATTAACGCGGAATTCAACATATTCAAGCTACCCGCGTTTGCAAACGTTAACATGTGCGGAATTGAATCTCCGAGGCCTCTTTTGCTCAAAAAGAGACAGTCGCCTCTTACCCCCGGAACAGTGACAACATGGTTTTCAAAGAGAAATTTCGGATGTGACATGAACATCGTTATCATGTTTGGGGCTCTGTTTAGGTTTCGATAAAATCACGACCAACCAGAAACAAATTGCTGTGGAGGATGTTTCCACTATTGGATTCAATTTCTTTGATGTGTCAAGACCTATGAAGACCTATGAAGACCTATGAAGACCTATGAAGATCTATGGCGTGATTTGAATGGGGTGATGATGCCATGTTTTATCAAATCATATCAACTCATGTCCATCACATGCGTCCTTTGACCCACCCGTCCCATATACCCAAAGCCATCCCCGAATTTCTACGACTTTATATATATATCCCAATACCCAATAGCATAAAACAGCATAAAACCCATCATAAACCCATATCAAACCCATCCTGGTTGGTGGTTTCAACACCTCTGAAAAAAATATGAAAGTCAGCTGGGAATATATGGAAAGTCATAAAAGCATATAAAAGCCATGTTCCAAACCACCAACCAGTAAAGATCCATAAAAACATCCCCCAGCGCGCCGCCCTTCGTCCTCCAACTTCTCCACCTGCGCCTTCTGCGCCACTTCCACCAGGCCTCGCGCCCCCAGCAGCTGCGGCTCCGGCCAGGCGCCGCTCAGGGCGCCGGGCGGCGGAGCGTTGCTGCTGGAGAGGCTGCTGACGGCACCCTGGACGTAGCACCTTGGGATCTGGAGGAAGTTCTGGAAGTTCTGACTTACGATCTGATAGTTCTGTTATATAATGTTATATATACTATATATATGATAATATACTGATATATGATATAAAACATAAACATCTATGATATAATGATATTTACTAATGATCGTTAAGATCATTAGATGCTGATCACTGATGGGTGATTTTTATTTGGACACAAAGAAGTTGGTCATCTCATCCAACCCCTATCATCATCCATGACACACCCCATGATTTACCATAATTAAGTGGAATTCAAGATACCATGTGTCCTCATATGGTTCACTTTTTATTGTATCTATTTGATTAAACTCAACACAAACGCTTTGCCTGCCTAAAACTCTCCTAAACTCTATACCCAACAAGCCTGAGACAATGTGATGCAAGGTGGGCCCACTTAATAGGCAAGTCAGTTCAGAAATGTTCAGAACTAGGCTGACCAGGGTTCATGCCAAGTACTGGATGGATTTCATCTCCGATACAGTATCACCAGCAGAGCAATCTGGAAATCAGCCACTTGGGCCGTGAAGTGAGGGTTACACATGGATTCTTGCAACGATTGGGAAGATAAGTGCCTTGCAGCCTGGGAAACAACAGCAAAAGGTCTGCCCAAGCTGGAGATTGCCAGAGCTAACAGGGCTAGGTACAAGAAACTTTATCCAGTTGCAAACCAGCTAGTTTCACACTTAACTAAATCCAACTATACACGTCACTACATCTACAACTATAGGTGTAGCTATACTTAAAACCTATCAGGGATAAACGCCCAATTGCGGTACAAAGTGGTTGACCAGGTTTTATGGGGGGCATAACTATGAATAACATGATAATTGGGGGCCTCGCCTTGTACCCTCTGGTAATTCAACAGTTTGCAATGGTCTAGATGACCCACTTATTTCGATTATGATTTGTATTTAGCTATACTCAAAATGTCTTGAACACTTTCAAAACCAAACTGGCTTTAACTAATTCACATGACGATATCTCTACCAACATGTTTTGCTATACTTTAAACCTTCAATAGTACCATAATTATACTTATCTAACTATATCTTGACTATACAGTTACATATATATATATATACACCTATATATATATATACACCTGACCTATATATATATATATACCTATATAATCCTATATATACACCTATATATATAACACATGTATAAACACACATATAGCCAATCATATCTATTATACCAATAACTTCAAACTTTTCATGACCATGGCACCCCCATGAAATGACACCGAGGCGCCAGGCACCGAACTGCCCGCGCTTCCGTTCCCGGCTGCGGCGCAGCTTGTGGTGCTGCCAAGCCCAAGGATCTTTCTCCTGAAACCGAGGAAAAAACATGGACAAAATACGTTGAAAATGCCATGAACACTTGGACAATGCCATGAAAATAAGCCATGAAAATCCAAAATGATAACTGATCTATAGACTGTTGTCAAATCGTGTTTCTTTGTGATCCGAATTTGATTTATAGCTTTAGGTTTATGGCGTATATTTTAAAGCATGGATATCTTCGGATAACAGTGGACTAATGCTGTAAAGCCACTGCCATAAACCCAAAAAAAATCATTTGGGGAGCCATCCATGCCCGATTTCCTCAAAAAATGGCTCCCAACCAAATTAAGAGGATTTCACCATATTTCACCATATTTCACTGCCGTGAGCCAGGAAGAACATGGCGATTTTACTCATGGAAAAGGGTGTTGGGGAATGGTGTTCTTACAAAATAAACATCAGGGTCGACATAAGATTTGGATCCACCACAGAGAACATACAATGTGAGGCCCCCCAGTGATGTTAGTTGGTTTAGATTCGTCCCAGTAACTAGTTCGTTATAAGTACCATAAACCATAGTGAAATTGGAGTTATAAACCAACTGAACGCTATCTTGGGGGCCTCACATTGTATGTAATTGTCTGTTCAGCAGTTCTGAGGTTGGTGGTTCCAACATATCACAAAACTCGTGAAACAAAAAAAAATGGATCGTCACTCGGCTTAGGAAAAATAATTCCCGATTTGGGTTTAGTTGGGCAAATGTTCTCTTATAATCTAGATTAAATATTACCTCGCATCCCCAGCTCCTTTCCTCCTTTCACCTCGAATTATCACTTTCCTTGAGGATCCAGGGGTCCTGAAATATGTCCCCTGTTTTCGTGGTGTCAAACATCATTCTTTCTAGCCATGGTTATTAACACTAAAGCTATATAAGTAAAGATTGTAAGGCTAAACAAAAATGTGGTCAGCGGCAATGATGAAAACCATCCCTTAAATTCGCCATAGATATCCATTTTTATGGTTGCTATAAACCATCCCCAGTAGGTTAAAAATATGAGGAACACTCTACAAGGTGGTGCCCCCCCCAGTTATAAATTGGGTTACAATCCCATTAACTATAGATAGAACACGTATAAACCATAGCTACAATGTGAGGCCCCCCCAGTGATGTTAGTTGGTTTAGATTCGCCCCAGTAACTATAGTTATTTGCGTACCATAAACCATAGTTATTGGAGTTATGTGCACCAACTGAACGCTATCGAACGGGGGCCTCACATTGTAACTATGGGGCACCACCTTGTACAATCCACCATCATTTGGGCTCTTTACCGGGACTTGGGAGATGCGCTGAAGCCGGATGCGCTTCAGCCCAGATTCCCATGGGTTGATGTAATACTTCGGCACCACCTCAGCGTCGCGTCAATCCCCATTTTTCGGGTAGGGGGGAAGGTATCCCCAAGTCCGATGGATTACCATCCATTTTTCCGTTCTCTAAAATTTGGCTAATCCAATTTGGGATTATTTTGGACTATACTCCAAATATATTGCAATATTTATGGACTTATATTAATTTGGCAATATTTGGCTAATTACCATCCATATATACTCCAATATATTGCAATTTCAGACACCCCCTAATATTTGCTGATGAATGCGGCAGAAGAAGGAAGAGGGCGAGACGATTAAAATGATTAAGCTAGGCACAGCACCTAATCTCGCCGTGGTTGGGAATCATTCCCGCTCCACCAAATCAAATGCTTCCTGCTCATAGCATCGTAACCATCTCTTGAACCCAAAGTCAGAACATGTCAGAACATAGGGTATGGGCCGGTATGGGGTATGGTCATCCCACAAATCATGATAATCATGGCGCACATGGGATTTCTTGAAATTCATAGGGCAAAAAAATATGAAGCCCTAGTCAGCCTAGTCACTCAAATTAAGACAAACAAGATTACCATTGATTCATCATAATTATATAATTAATTCATGATGATATTATTATTATTAATGAATCAATGGTAATATATATATATATATAATTATATATATATATATCATGATGGTAATATTGCCAATCATCAGTGATTAATATTACTATTATTACTATTATCAATGGTAATATATATATATATTATATAACCATATATGGATTACCATTGATTAATCTTATTATCCCAGCAGATATTCCCTCTTTGCACCGAGCCGCAGGGGTGAAGGCATGAAGTGTCGTGCAAAACTTCAAGGGCGAAGCCAGGTACACCTCGCTGGATCTGTACACAAACGCCAAAATGGGCTTGCTACGGAGCCATTAGGAACTTTCTGATTCTTTCTGGAAATCGTTTTTTTTTGATGCCACTAATACTTGTTTCATGATTTTACATGATAGATTGAGTCCAACAAATCATTGCAGAGCTAGTAGTTTGTCTGGGGAAATAACCATGGGGATCCAATCCATGGAGATTTCGACCAAACATCCTGATTTCATCATGGGCTTCAAAAATCGAATTCATCAACCAAGGAATTCATGGAGGTTTGACACCATCCCAAGTAGAGACATATGTATATAGATAATATATATATATATCATATAATATATATATATAATAATATATATATATATATCATATTATATATATAATTATGTACGATACATATATATATACACATGTTTTCCGATATACCCAATGTCTTAAACCTTGGGGATGGTGACCTGTTAGCATTGGGTTTACCTCAGTCTTGGCAATTTGGGCGAGCTGTTGCTTCAGTCTCAATGTCCTTTGGTGAATCTCTTCTCAAAAACCTGGCTGAAGTTCCCATCTTTGTAGGCGCAATGCATCTGGATGCCAAACCTCACTTTAATATGGCCAGCCAAAGACGCCCCACAAGATGTTAAGATATCATGTTCCTCCATTTATTGCTGGGAACTGATCGACTAGACCTTCGCCAAGGTGTGCCCATTCAAAATTCTTCATATCATATCTCGCAGTTTTGGCGGTCAACGCCCCAACATGTGATGCGTACAACACTAACTTGGAAACACAATGCCGAAACATCCAAGTATAAATATACATGTTTCTGGGTAGATTCCCAGTGAGGTCGTAGTGAGGTCGTAATAATTTACCCAGATTGATATGAGCCCATCCCAAGTCGAATCCCAATACTCGAGGTCTTGGACAAACCCACGCATATATAATGCATAGATTTGTCTAAAAGGAGTGTACAGCCCCCACCATTTCAGAGGAGCCTCATCAAAAACGGGCATCCCTTTTTTAGGACAAAACATGGCAAAACTATGTCTATGTGTATATATTCATATGCATGGGAATATATATATGTGATATATTTGATATATATATATATCTATATGTGATATATATATATTATATATGTGATATATATATATATATGATATATATATAAATGATATATATATGATATATATATATATATATGATATATATATATATATATGATATGAGATATGTATATATATATATATTGTGCAGCGTCGGCCAGCCCCCTCACCCCCCGCCCAATGGGGAGGGGTGTTCAGTCTTGCTTCTTATGGTTCTCCCCCTCCCCCTGTTGTATGTATTGTATTGCATTGTATTGCATGGTATTGTATTGTATGTTATTGTATGTATGTTTGTATTGTATTGTAGTGTATAATGTATTGTATTGTATTGTAGTGCATAATGTATTGTATTGTATTGTAGTGCATAATGTATTGTATTGTATTGTATTGTATTGTATGTATGGTATGGTGTAGTATGTGTTGTATGGTATGGTATGATATGTACGTAGGTTTGGTATGGTATGGTATGGTATGGTATGGTATGGTACAGTATGTATGTATGCATGTAGGTAGGTTCCGGGGCATCATCTGGGGACCCATTGCATGGGGGGGTGGGAACACGGGACACGGGACAATATACATATATATATATATATACAATTATATGCTATATATATATGATTACATCATATATCTGACTATATTATTGTATATGATTGATATGACAATGTATGATCATAATCATATATATATATATGTGATTATACATGACTATGCTTGACTATATTGATTCTTTACATATCATATTGGTGGTTTTAACCATCTTGAAAAATACGTTAGTCAATGGCAAGGATGACATCCCATATGTGAAATGGAAAATAAAAGCCATGTTCCAAACCACCAACCAGGTAGTAATGTATATATTTAATATCATCGCCACCATAATAATACAAAATATTGATTCTTTACATGTGATTATAAATTATAAATTACTATATGAACATTATTAAACATATCAGATCCACATGAACATCATCAGTGGAAGCCACCAAGCCACCGCTCGATAGGCGTTGCTGAGTTCCCGAGGACGCGCCATGGCTGGATGCGCTCAGGTGAATGGATTGATATGGCTGAAAAACTCCTCTTAAATGGATATAAAATAGGAAATTTAGTGGTTTTTATATCCATTTAAGAGGTTATAAATGATATTAAAATTTTAAATGTTTTCAAACCTCTTAAATGATGAAAATAAATTGGGCTTTGGAATATCTTCAATCAAATCGAAGTGAATGGATTAATGGATTCGGATTGATTTTGTGTTTAAAACTCAGATTATTGGGGTGATCAGTGGGGTACAATCCATCAACCCCTTAATGGGGAGAGGGAAATGGTATGGGATATACATAAATATATATATATATCTATTATACATCACCACCAAAACGATATCATCATTCTGATATTTGGGTGTGTTTGACAATGGGGTCTACCCCCAATGGCATTGTTTGAAAGGGAACATCATGATTAACCTGCCTCTCGACAAACCCGAAAAAGAGAAGCCCGAGTGGGCGAACCAACATGTTGGCAATGCACATGCCTTGTTGCGCTCGAATTTAAGCCAGCACGTCGTGGTATCCCAAGCAAAGCACATGTTGGATTGTTCCGGCTACTGACGAACTCATATGTGATTCACGCTTATAGTCAAACTGCATCTAGCCAGCGATCTCAGCTAGCAACATGTCTGTTCCCTGGAGGTTGCTGCATGGAATCATCTTTTCACATCTTTGAGCAAATGAAACGCTCAAGCGCGGAAGTTCGCATCAGGTGATTGGCGCCAACCCTCTGCGTGTCTTCTGGAATTCCAACGAGCACAGTAGCACATCTGGTGTTTCTCGGGGTCCAAAAGCAGATGATCGAGATTTCATTGCCGTTACCAGACCTTAGCAATTCTTTTTACCACTTTGGGTGCCTGAGAAATCCACCGGACCCTTACATGGACTGTATGTTTTTTTCAAACCTGGCTGGAAACCCTGTTGTTTTCATTGGGAACATATGCTTAAATGGACAAACATGGATGATATTTCATTCCTGCGCTTCACTACCAAAGGGCAATTGGGGGGTCTCACCATTTTAGTAGCACACCATCACATGTTGTGGATTCCAATGGGAAAACATCATCCCGTTTGAGCCTAGCAGCAATAGCCACCGAAACCATCAACATCCATCAACATCCATCAACATCCATCAACATCCATCAACATCCATCAACATCCATCAACATCCATCAACATCCATCAACATCCATCAACATCCATCAACATCCATCAACATCCATCAACAATAACTTCTGGACAGTCTGGACCAGTCGCTTCAATATCTCAAATATCCACATTCTTTGCTTTTCAGCCAGTGCCAGTGCGCCCCAATTCTTTCTGTTCACTACCTCAAAGAATCGTTTAAATTTTGAGGCGCCAAAATCGCCTCCCAGTCTGAGAAATCCCCCACTGGAAAAAGAGCCATATCTGAAAAACGTATGGCATATATCATTTATATCATATAAATACTAGGTGTAAATACTAGGTGTCATTGATAATGAAAAATAGTAACACGCATACTATATACATACTACTACACTACTACTACAAATAACAATGCTAATGCTAATAACTCTAATACAAGTAGAAGTAGTATTCATACAAATCAATGTATTATACATATATATATATATATACATATGGATATTGGCCAAAAACCTATTGTTATCATGTTTTTCTTGAATCAACATCCATTGGCCAGCTACCCCATAGGGTACCTAAGGGTACCTATCAGCGCCACCTCGTCCAAGATCAAACTCTTCATGCTGCCAGGAGTGCCCTGGCAAATTTCCCCCGACATGGGAGAGTGATCCTTGACCCGTAGAACATCGCCTAATATGGAAATATCACATAGCTATGGAAAACGGCCATTATCCTTTACAGGACTTTATAGATGTTTCGTCTAAGAAATGATGATTTTCCATACCCATAGGATCCATGTATGCTATATATGGTAACATTTACCATCAATATACCCCCAATGTTAGCATATATACCATACATGGATCCTATGGGATATGTTAGATCACCATAGCGTAGTCCTTCAGAACCGTCATTCCATTTTTCACCATTTTTGACGATGCACTGGGCGCAAAATCTCACCCTTTTTTTCATATCACCAGCTGAGTCGGGATGCCCACCTCATGGAAAAAATACGAAAACTACCCCAGTATACCAATGAATCAAGGCCATACAGCTAGCAGTCTTGACTAGTATTGCCTAGATATTGCCTATATATCTGGTTGGTGGTTGAGCCTGCCCCTCTGAAAAATATGACAGTCAGTTGGGATGATGAAATTCCCAATATGGAAAGTCATAAAAGCCATGTTCCAAACCACCAACCAGATATTGCCTAGAATTTCCAACCAATTCTTTTACCCACGGACACCAGGATGTTGCTATCAACTCCCCCAACTGATCGGCACCGGTGCGGCGCTCGGAGCCAAGAAAGGGCTACCTGGCGCGACTGGGATGACTGGGGAATCCAACGAAAAATCTGAATTGAAGGGATAGCTGAGATGGATTTAGATGATTTTAGAATATTTTAGATGTGTTATGATGTTTTTTACTGTTGGAATACTTCAGGAGGAGCTTTGTGTTTATGTTTCTTGAAAGCTTTACAAAACATCCATCTCGGTCAACTGCGGATCACATTTCCAAGTAGGTTTCGTGTGGCGGGTATGGGACGGTCAATTATCACCCTCTTTTCAAATCAATAAGAGTTTAATGCTTTCGGAGGGTGGAAATGCGACCGCGGTATGAAAAGCTTCATGCTAGGATTCTAAGGGGCAAGGGTGTGCAGAAGGAGAAACCAAACATGTTTACTGTCGGAAGCTCAACAAACGCAATTCTTGTCCTACCAGTGTGTATCCCACTGGATTCCTCATTGCAGGCTGTTCCAGCTCTACGTTAAGACTAACCAAAATATCTGACATTCCTGGATCATCATCCCAAATTTGCTTCGACATACAAGCAATCATATTCAAGACACCAACCACAGTATTCCCAGTCGTCAGATGTGCGTTGGAAAGGACTTGGAGTAAACCTCACAGCCTATCAAGACTATCAAGGCCGCCCGTAGTTTCTTACTCCTCAAAACTTGTTCAATGGGCCTTGCTTTTTTGATTCGATCATATTGCTATAATGAGAATGTATGGCATCATCTTTCTTTTTTTATCATCTTGCTGGGTGTGATCCATACAATACAATCACAATACGTATGTATATATAATATCATGTATGTGTATATATATATATGCATATATCAATTCGGTCCAATATATGATCCTATCAATAATAGTAAGCATTAACAACACAACATACACATATAATTCATAGTCATACTAAGAACAAGTGGTGTTTTCTTGAAGTAGGGGACTCCCACAACCATGTGTCTCAATACTAAAATTGTCTAATGTTGGATGATTTGGGGCATGTTAGAAAACCTCCAATTAATACAATGAGTGATAAGAAAAACACCACACTATAACAACATATAACAACATATAACAACTACAGCATGTACATTTATAGCAATCAACATAATCAGCTTCCCTACCCAACCAAGGTTTACAGGGGCAATGTACAGCTGGGTCTTTTGGGATCAGCTGTGCTTCCCAACAGAGACCCTGACTGATTGGTTGGGGGGTTACCCTCTGGTTATGAGTAATAGTTAAGTTTTTATTAGGTAAGCCATCTATTTCAATGGGCCATCTATACCATGGCAAACTGTGAATGTCATAGCCAGATGGTACTGCTTCAAACATCAAGAATCAATACCGTACTTTGTTCTGAACAACCCTCTACCCTCCCTCAAGAGAGTTTTCTATGATTTCTTCATAACGATTACAGCAGTGATTGAGATCCGTTGTGAATCATTGAGATCAAATCTGGGCATCAAGAGTCTCTCTGCTGCTTTTTTTTGCGGCAAAAACTGGCCGTGAACGCCGGTCCGGCTCAACCGGGGACGCTCGATGTCCGAAACGACGACGCACGACACGACGTCGAAACGCGGCGTCGGTGAAAACGTGAGGACCGTGGGGACCGTCGGTGAAAACGTGGGGACCGTGGGGATAAGGATGGCAAGGTTGAATGGGCAGGCCGTTTTTTTCACGAATATATTGACGTTTCCTGTTTTTTGAATCACTAATATTCGTGAATAAACAAGTCTTTGCTGATCTTTTCTGCATGTCACAATTCACAAACGTGTATACAGTGTATGCACAATAGGCACAACTCGCAGATCTGTCTTCAGGACGCGAAACTGCAAAAGTGCCCCACTGGTCACTGATGGGTCACTGGTCCATCATGTCACCACTCAGTGCGAATTCTGACCAAAGTTCTTGGACTTCCACTCTGAGTTGGATAAAACAAAAACGTCGGGCCATTCCAAAGGTGACCCGACCCTGTCCTTTGGGCGATATGGATCTGATAACTTCTTGTCTCTAAGCATTGCACGGTCTGGCAAAGACAAGAAAACAGGCTTATGAACCTGGGAAAAGCATGGAAAAGCATGGAAAAGGTACATCATTTTACATCAATTTCAATACACATCTGCTTTGGAAACAACAAACAATCTATACAGTTTTCATCCATCCCAGTAGGGTCACCTTTGAAGTGGCAGCAGATCAGCAGCAAGCTGATCAGCCTTTTTTTATCGCTCCCAAGGCTCCCAGAGTATCCCTTCCGGGAGCCAATTTGAATCACAGCAGAGAATTTGGGTGTCTGAAAATAGACGAAAATGCCATGAAAATGCAATGAAAATGCCATGAAAATGAAGAAACATATACCTATGGTCAGAGCAATTTGGCGTTCGATTGAGGGAAAAACTGAGGTTCAAATCCAGAATTGGGGCACCCTACTTGCAGACAAACCCGTTTGTTGAGTGACAGACCCCGACACGGCAGCATACGTCAGCTGTGTGTTTCAAACATGTGGCACGACCCCACTGAAAATGAAGGGCTAGAACATGCTAGAACTCAACAACAGGTGTGCCTTTTAACAGAAAACATGCCAATCTCAGCGGATTGCACACATTCTGCACTCTATATACAATTGGACCATGGCTTAGTATTGAAAACCATGGTGACTTGGGTCCCTTTTTACAAAAGAAACCACATGAAACCAGCGACACTTTGGGATTCCTAATCCCCAGATATGGGCCATATGGAGAAAGCAGGTTTTTCCAGCCAGATGGGCCATTGTTGTCCACCGAAAGGGCGATGATAAAACAAAACTGTGGAATCATCATGTATAACATAGGCTTTATGTGGGTTATAACTAATGAATCAAACATTTATAATTTATAGCTAAACAATAAAACAAAACGTCTATTAGTGGCTGCCACGTATAAATCCCATGAGAATCTTAAAACATCATGGGTTTTTGTTGGTGGAAAATCCCCATGGATTGATTCGATTGATGATCATCCCCCTGGGTGTTGAATCCAAGTGACCATGGATCCATGTTACCTATAGCTATTGAAAATGACATTCACATGAAATAACCTATGGTTTTTCATATGGTTTAATGATGGGATGATTTGCTGGGATAATGATGGGATAATTTATAGGGATATTGATGGATATACCCTCTGGTATTGACATTCACAGTTTGCTATTGCACATGTCCCAGTCGAAACAGTGGATTTACCCATTGAAAATGGTGGATCTTTCCATACTTATGTTAGTTTACCAGAGGGTACCTATAGCATTGTATAGCATGGTAGCCGCAGCTGTCGACTGTCATGCGATGTCACCTGCCGCATGTAGACTGCCGCATCGAGGGTCCCTCTGTCTTGTCGACCAAGCAAGGAATGATGCCAGGTACAGGATCACCTGCCTGGCATGAATTTCACCGTTGATCCCCAGCAACAGTTAGAGTTAGAGACTTCAAGTAACCCCGAGAAATTTTACCAAACATTATCGAACATGATAGCAAACTACCTTTCTTTGTGGTAAACCCATCAACTCCAATTGAGTGTTTGGCAACAATCCATGGTGAAACGATCTTCCACTCCAATCATGGCACAACAAAATCACTCATTTACTGAACACACCCAGATTTACCAACTTTACAATGAACACATAAAAACAACCACTGGCTGGGGGTTGAGCAATCTAGTTGCAAAGTGTCTCAATTCATGTCAATTCTGAAAGCTCCTCAGGCCCCAATTCAGCTTTCAGCTTTCATATATTACCACATATTACCACAGCTTTGTTGGTGATATCCAAGTCAGTAGTGCTGGTGGATGCAGACCCAATTTTCACCCTCTTGGTGATTTCCTACTTTTTGCCGGTCAAACATGTTTTTTGTTCGCTAGATACACGTATTTGATGATACAGTAATCTCATATAATCCCCATGTTTAGTTTTTGTACATGCTGATAATCTAACATAGCAATACCAATTCAAATCACCCAATAAATTTACTGTACACATTTATGTACACAGTGGTGTCATGTAGCCAGCTGGGTTCGATTGCTGAAGCGGAACAAGCACAGTCAATCCCATAGTCAATTCCGTCAACCCCCTTACATTTAATGGATCTTAATCCACAAATCAATGTATAATTGTAAATCTACAGAATTTCCATAACTTCGCCAAACATTAACATCCAAACAAATGATATAATACCAAATTCATTAAACCATCAACCATAATCAAAGAGTGAATCAAACATCATCAAACATCATCAAACATCATCAAACATCATCAAACATCATCAAACATCATCAACCTCAAATTTCACCGTTTCACACATTTATGGAATGATTCATTGTGAATATATTGATTTTTCATCACTCACACGACTCACACATCCAATCTTTTCTGATGCTTAGTAGGGACTGATGGGATGTCTTATTCATATAGTTCCCATAGGTGTGGATTGGAACATTTCCCCATTCTCTACTAGAGTTACTATATAGTTACTACTATGATTCATTGGAATGGTTTAGTCGGAAACAAATCAACCGGAAACCATGTTTGTTTTTTTTACCATTAAATATGGTGGTTCCCTATAAAACAATCCAATGAAGGATTGGATCATATCATTGATCTAGTTACTAATGTGAGTAAAACAACGCCATAAACCACCCATGACTGGGAATGGTAAACATACCACCTATAAAAATGGTGATTTTGGGTAAATTCATGGTTTGTTACTTATTACTTTTTACATTATACTTAATTGTTAACTGCATTAATGGCTTTACATTATTACCCATTAATGGTATTATTGTTGTACCATGTTTTACCCACATCATCGTTAATTCAGATCTGCGAAAAAGTCATCGATCCAAAAGCCGCTGCGGTCGCGCCTCACACGACCCGCGCGTGTGAGAAGCGCTTCTGAAGCCGTAAACGGGTCGACCTGGCGAAGGCTGCGGCAAAATCAACGAGTTGAACAAGTGGTTGTTGGGGTAGTCAATAAATAAATAAAATAGATAAATTATACATCATCTGAATAATATGTATAATTTGAATATATATATATATGATATGTATATTGATATAATATGTCATCGACGATCTGATATGTATACATAACCAAAACAACATTGTCATAATGGGGAGTATTGATGGAATATGTGAATCATATTATTAATAATTTGATATTTGAGTGCGTCTAAATATGGGATAAACATATCACCTATTCTTGATATGTGGCGAAGATGGTCAGAAAACGATGGATTTAACAAGAACAAATCTTGTTTGTAACCAAGCATAATGCCGTTTGTTGGACAATGGGGGATATAGACACCTTTCATGAACTAGAACTGGGGGTAAAATCAACCATTTGATGCGGATATTATCGGGATATTCATAGGGACATGTGATGGGATATATATATATATATGTATAACCATCATTGTGATATTTGGCTGTGTCTGACAATAGGGTATCTCCCGATATGACCATTCAGGGATAATGATTATATATGATTATTGACCAGTTGATGGAATCTCCCGATATGACCATTTATTGATCAGTTGATGATTATATATATGACCAGTTGATATATGATTATATATGATATTATGTTCACAACCCTTGGGCCATTTTTACAATCCAGGGCCACCAGAGGCTTCTGTTGTAACCCTCCGGTCATCACACGTGGCCATGGGATTTCCCAGTGCCACGTTTGATTACAAGCCTCAGCACAAATCAAACACAGGACACAGCTACTAACTATACTAATTCATCTTCGTTTCAAAGAGATAACCCAGGATCTATCTATATATATATATAATTTTATTGTGTATATATATATATATACATACATGTATGGGATGTTAAGCAACATGAATGGGAACATATATGTATATGTATATAAACACTACTTTGTTTATGGGAATCTAGACCCACCAGGCGCCAAGTCCACTCAGCTCAACTCAAGTCTTCTCTGGAAGTTCACATTTCAATCTGAGTCAATTCTTTGATAACCCAATGAACCCCATACCCAAATATCACTCCAAAATATCACAGCAATGTCTGAATGATTTGCCATTTTGGGTGATGATCCTCCCGACAAGCATCCCAGGTAGTTAGTGAGTAATAGCCATGGTATTACACCATTACATATGTACGTATATAAACTATGTTATATGTAATTCATATAGGAGATATACCACAGTCATGTATACCTAATCTTACAGTTCTTTGAACACATTGTTGATACTATATTCTATTCATATCTAGTATACTAACAAAATGTGTGTATGTATTTTATGGCCAAAAATATATAGAAACAGTAAAATCCAACTAACATAGTGATACTATACTACTGTTCTATCCTTTGGGGGGTTCCTATACATATGTATATATATATATGATATATATATATGATATGGATATAACCTCTGCCAATTTGGCATTGTTATGGAAAATGACTCATTTAGTTCGATGATTTACCTAGCATATAGATCTTTATAAATAGTGGTTTCCAATAGCTATGTGAAATTATCAGATGTTGTCCCGATTATATTCCAGTAAACTTCCTTATATCCATAATGGCCCATGCAATCACCATATGTATATGATATTCATTCCCTGATCCAAACAGCTCTTAAGAAGGTACATTACATTGATCTGACGAGTGCCATCTGATTGTATGGGGCATTCAGCCGGAAAAAAGTAGGATATTTTGACTATCTGGTTGGTGGTGTAATAACCAGCTTGAAAAATATGAGTTCGTCAATGGGAAGGATGACATGCCATATATGAAATGGAAAATAAAAAACTATTCATTTATAGTTGAAAATGATCCATTGATAGTTGAAAACTATCGCAGGTTTTTCGAACCGTCCTGTTCTCCCCCATCAAGATGTGCATTCTAACCATTTGCAGACAATGATTCAGGGTGATGCCGCCGGTGCCCTACAATGTCCATCACACGGGGGTTAGGACCCTCACTGAACTTGACCGTATTCCCCATGAGAAACGTGTTCTTTTGGGCAAGAAACTGGACCACAGAGTGAGGAAACATGGAAGGATTTGAGACTTCTCTAGAGATCTGTTCTTTCAGGTTGACGGTGTGTTGTACAGTCATTGCAAGGTGTCTTGCTAGAGTTACCGGTATTTGGCTCTTGCTTGTTTCTTTCTCACCTCATTAACCTTTGGCCTGCAATCGCTAGCCGAGGGTCTGGCAGCTTGTCCGCTTGAGAGTGGATCCATTGATAGTTGATTTACCCATAAAAAATGGTGATTTTCCCATAAAAGTCATGTTTGAAACCACCAACCAGCTATCAGATGGCATGGTTTTCACGTCGTCACGTCGTGGGCAAAAATGTGACCTCGTGGGATCGTCGCCGTCCTCGGGCAGGTTCAACTCGGCCATGAGTTGCTTCACCGGCTTGAACCTCAGGGCGCGTTTCGTTGCCAAAAAATGCTGCGGCTCAACGTGGACATGTTCAAAATCGATGGGACGAGATTTCATCACCAGGGAAAATCGATGGGAAAATCGATGGGAACATGATGAGAAAATGGATGGAATATTATGGAAAAGCGATTGGACATGATGGACATCATGGATATATATGATTGGAAATGATGGGTAAATGATGCAACATTGGAAAATCATAAGGATCATTTTGCTGTGAACATGGTATCATCCAAGATCAACAACGCAAGGGGTTATAAATCCGAGATGATTAGGGAAACAAATGATACTGAGGTTAAATTCCACTTACAACAAATGGAATGATTTCACTTAGGGCACTTACTAGCCATGCTTATGAACTACATCGGGGCGCGATGATTCAATGATCGAGCAACACCTATGGATTTGGAGGGCTTCCCCGACCCTCCAAAAATTGACTTGGACTCATATGAGCTATTGAATCTACCCTGTTTCATTGGTTATCTTTTATGGAGTTCTCCTAGCTGGGCTCTTGAACATATTTCTGTCTATAACCAATTAGTAAGGAAGTGTATGGACTAGTCCACTGGGATGGATTAGGATCATATTATATCCGGTGTATACGGTGTATATTAATACACTGTGTTGTCCATTCTGAACTTTTATATTGTATAAATACAATATAGATATTCGACAGCATCTATAATCATTGCATACTATATACACACATATACATATACATCATAATCATGTATGTACTGTATATATATAAATACATATACATAATATGTATATATATATGTGTGTGTGTGACACACTGTGTGTCCAATATATGTCCAACATATGTCTCCAGATTTTTGCGGAACACAGTTCCGCCAAGGCACAGCCGTTTGGTCGACAAACGTCTTTGGGGTTCCACCGCACCTCGGCCATGTAACAAAATGTGGGGATTTCACCATGATTTCACCATGATTATCATGTGTTCTTGGGAGAAAAAAATCATGGTGTTTTTTCCCCTGGATATCATCTGCTATTCATCTTCATATCCACATCATACATCACATATATTCATATATCATATCATATCCGGGTGTGTAGTACTGTGTAGCAGAAGAGATTCCGCTATGAACTTCACTTACCCTCTGGTAAACTAACATAGCTATTGAAAATGGCCATAGAAATAGTGAGTTTTCCCATTAAAAATGGTGATTTTCCATAGTTATGTTAGTTTACCAGAGGGTAAACACGACAGTAGGGGAAATGTTTCACCCGAAGTATTGAGGTCACCGAGGTTAGCCGGTTGGTGTGACACTGACTTTGGTGGATTCCTGACATCGATTTTTGGTCCAAAAAATCCTTATGGCTTGAGGAGAAGATGTTGAAACTCAACCATATACCAAAGGATTTTTGGCTCATTCTTGGCAGTGCCAAGAAAACAAATATTTATGCATGACTATATCATGATTTAATAAACTTTTAGTATGTTTTAGTTGCATAAAATTGCCATGAACTGAACATCTGTCCATGTCCATTGCTGGTCATCTGATCTTTAACTTCCCACATCTTGTCCCCACCATTCACTCAGGCCCATGCAACCCTTCATAACTTGTCAACCCTTTCGGTCACCCAGCTTCCCCTGATCCATTGATGGACCGTCCGAGCTACACACATCCATGAATCGTTCGGAGATTTTTCCCATGTTCGATTTTTTAAGGGAGGTTACACTTCATGGAGGTGTCCTAAATAGGGATACACCCAAATCATCTAGTCATTGAAGCATGACTTAGTGACTTGAAACCGGTGACTTGGTGTGACTTGGGGATCCCCCAATTTTTTTCGAACCCCCCAGATATTTGAACCCACGGTCGAACCAAAAACGGGTACTAACCCTGGTTAGATGGTTAGTAAGTCCCCGAACTAGGATTATTCCATCCATAAGTGGCTTATAAGTTTCAACTAGTTATGACCCAACTTACTACCCGGTGACAAAAAGTGGGATGATCCTCCTAGTAATTACCCCTTCGGCCCTAAAAAACAAGTGACGTCGAATATCTCGAAATTGGTCTTCCACCTGAGCTACGTGGATCTGGCGATCTGGCCCACTGGAAATCCAACAGGCAATCATAGATCAACAACTAGGGATTTAACATTATTTATCCTCTGGTAAACATACAAAAAACTATGGAAAATCACCTTTTTTAATGGGAAAACTCACTATTTCTATGGCCATTTTCAATAGCTATGTTAGTTTACCAGAGGGTAATGGAAAGTTATCTGTGAAGGTGGCGGTGGTAATGGCAAAATTATCTGCACATGCGGGTTTAAGTCCGAATTTCCTGGAGGAACAACATTTAGGGATTTCTTAAGTCATGACTCCAAGTTGTGATCCAAGTTGTTATAGTCATTTCGGGAAGAGACTGGTTTTGGGCTTCCCCATTTTGAGAACCCCCTATCTACATTGTTACTATATATATATAATATTATATAATTGTAACAACGGCTGGCAAATTGTCCATTGACATAAGGATCCATGCGATGTGCAGCCAATCAGTGGGGGGTCAGCTACATCAATTTGCTGGGATAACTTCTATATCCAGGTATGGTATTCTAAGCATTTCCGGATCATTTTGCGGCCAATAATTTTGGTGTTCAAGAACAAATCTAGGCAAATTCTGCGCTATGTATGTAGCTATGATTGAAGGTATGATTGTAGGGTATGATTGTATGTATGTATATATATATACATAATCATATATATATATGTATATATATAACTTTGGTATACTTTACTCGCAACTACAGCTGATTGGTGAACTTTAAAAATCACTGGTTGACAAAGCCTCCATGTCAGCCGATGAGGATTATCCCATTGTCCCCGAAGCCGAAGAGTGGGGTTATCCCATGATGATTAAGCACTTACTATGGTGATACTTACAAGATGGTGCCAAAAAGTAAGCTAAGTAAAGTTATAAACCCATTGGGGCAAAGTTAAGTATCACCATAGTAAGTTAAGTGCTAAATAAGTAAGTAAACTTACAAGTTTATCTAAGTTGGTGCCAATAAGTCCAATAACTATGGTTTATACGTGTTATATCATGTTATATCTATAGTTAATGGGATTATAACCCATTTATAACTGGGGGGGCACCACCTTGTAGTGGTGATTAACCCAGAAACTCTATGATCAGCCATGATTAACCCAAATCATTCCACTTGGTAACTGGATAAAAAAATTGGGCCATTCCTACTAATCATTCCAGTTACTGATTATCATTCCTACTGGTATTTGGGCCTTATTAACCCTACTTTTATCATACATATGGTAATTAATCAGTTGGTGGCCTGATCTGGCAGAAACGTGGTCCAGCTTTGGGGGATTCTCAATTCGCCCAGACTCATATAGACCAGTTTTTCACCCGTATCTACATCCAAACATGGATATCTATCTGTCTATGTTAAACCTAATCCAATCCAGTCTAATCTAACCGTAACCTAATCCGATCTAATCCAATCTAATCTAACCTATCCAACCTAACCTAATCTCATCTAACCTAACCTAACCTCACCTAACTTAGCCTAACCTATCCTATCCTATCCTGTCCTATCCTATCTATCTATCTATCTATCTCGCTATCTAAGTCTAACCAAGTCAATTTCAGTCTAAGTCTATCTCTAGATCCATCCATTGTGCATCATCCCCCAAGCATTCCACTTGTTCCCACAAGATCTGCTGGGATGATGAATCTTGTGACACCTGGACCATACAAAATGGGGATTTTCATAGGGATTTCCATGGTTAATAATGGTTAATAATGGTTAATAATGGTTAAGAATGGTTAATAATGGTTAATAAATATATGGTTGGGGGTTTTAAGCATCTTGAAAAAATATGAACGTCAGTTGGGATGATGACATTCCCATATATTATGGAAAAATCATTAAAAAAGTGTTCCAAACCACCAACCAGTTATGAATGAGGTACCATGATTCTTGATTGAATCCCTATATCATCCCAACTATGCTCAGTTCCCCAGAGAACTGGACCGTGCCACCAAACATCACTTCCCAACTCTCCATGGCAAAAAAACAAAACAAGGAATGGAACAGCAACCATGGGCCCCACAGTCTTCGCACTGATTGTCAGATTGTCAGTTCCTACATTCCAACTTAAAGCCCAGTCTTCAGGTCTTCCCAGTCGACATTTTTTAACCCCCCAAAAATGATGATCGCTTCTCGGTTCAGTGGAAGATGCTATACCCGCCGGTAATGAAACATGGCAAAAAATCCTCCATTTATGATATATATGTTAAAGATTATTTTCCAATTAAAAGCTCCATTTAGTTCGGGGATTTTCCATCCACGTTTGATGACAGCGGAAGGGACCCCTCATTTTCCATGGTGAGCCCTTGGAGGGGATTGAAGGGGTAGGATACCGTCTAGAAAACTATAACATAGAACATACAACCACGATAGGTAAATCATATTAAGTAATCTATAAATATAATTAATTATATAGGTCAAGTCAAATCACCAGGTCATATTTCCCCAATATGTTCCCCCAGAAATTCAACCATCCACCATCACAAAAAAAACTGTTATTGACCCGGCAGAACCGACCGGATCCGATCGAGCCGTCGACGATCGAGCGGCGAAGGAGCACAGCTTGTGTACTTGAAACCCCAGCCGTGTGATGTCGAACATGATGGCCTCGAATAAATGAAATGGTGAACCCATAGGACAGCCCATAGCTGCGGAGAACGCTTTTCTTGTTGGTTGTTGGTTACTGGATCTTGTTGGTTATTGAGCTCATCCTCAGCTAGTTATTGGGGATCATGATAAAATCATTGTACATCATGGAGTACTCCAGAGGTGGTGAGTGTATTTTGCTGTTTTTGATGGGGCTGAAATGGCGGATTTGCGGAAGATGGGATCAGGAGAAGTCCCAAATAAATGCTGCTGGAACATGTGCCAAACAATGGGGGATAGAAACGAAACTTCGACGGCTACGGATTCAACCCAAAATTGGAAGAGCAAGACTAGGATATGACCAACCCATAGCAACAATATACTTGGAATAGAGTGACATTGGTAGTTGAAAAAACATTACCATCTGGTTATGACTAACATAGCCATGGAAAATCATCATGCTATCAATAGGTGAACCATCTATTTCTATGGGCCATCTATACCATGTCAAACTGTTAAATAACCAGAGGGTAAACAAACAACATATTCCCCAAGTCCGATCCAATCCCTCTGGCATTCTGCTGTCGGCGCTATGAACCTCGAAATCTTTCACCACCCAGAACCAAACGAAAAGTTCGTAGCAGGACATGGCATATTCCAAGCCATCAAAATGGAAACCAACAAAAACAACACTCATCACCATTTGGTTTAATTATCTTTTGCTGATGAATTTGACGTACGATTTGGGTGATCAAACCTATGGACGCAACGGACATTCTACAGTACATAAATCATGTGTTTTAATTAAGCATGAATTGCTGGGGGATCCCGCAGATTCGTTACCTTCAACCAATTCTGCACGAAGGGTTGTCCCCTCTAAAGTTGGTCTATAATCCCCAAGAAAAGACGTAGCCACCAAAAATGCAATCCTTAGCCTAGTTAGTTCAACCAAACAGCATAGGTTCCATCCTTTGGAAAACAATCCTTTGAAAGGTGCGAAGCTTTGAAGCTCAAGAAATCACCGGCAGTTCAAACATCAGCAAGGTGCAAAGATGTCGATACTCTTGGCATGGCCCTTGAGTTTCATGGTTCCTTTCCTTGGGCGCCGGCACCTTCCAGAACCTCCCCGATGTGGGTGAACGGGAAGACTCTCTAGCAATTTAACGCAGTACCAGTATCAGTATGGACAAATACACATGTTTAATAGCTAAATCAATGCAAATCATCTATAAATTGGCATTTTTCATGTATTTCCATGTTAGTTTTGCTGGAGGGTATTGTCGAAAGGCCTCCAAAATAGCACAATGTACCTCCACTGAAAAGATACCTGATGGGCTGGGACTAGCAGGTGGGAACCGGATCATGACCACCAGCTTTTTTCGGGCTTCTGAAATCACTTCATAGGCCACATTTGCTGAGTAGGGTATGGAGCACCAAGCACGTTTGAAAAGGTTGTGTTTCCATGTGTTTCCTATATTCCGGCCAATCCCTGGCAAACAACTTGATTGCTGAACGAGAGTACAACAGGTCCCTAGGTCCTGTCCGAAAACGGATTCTACTTTTGGTACTTAGCCCAACCTTTGCTGGTGTCTTGGTCATAAACTGATCCATCACATCGCGGCTTGTTCAAGGACAAAGGTGACACAGCCAGTGGGGATTTCTCAAGGCGTCACCTTTGGTCACCGATGGTTAAATCCTCATCCATCAAAACATCAATATGAACATAGCTAACATTCTTTAAAATGGTCAGACCTATCTCAGTATATTTATCGTTTTTTCATGTTGAGGTTGTTTAACAAACGGATCCTACATCGCAAAAAACTGTCTGACTTTCTATCATGGTATGCCTCTCCATCATTGCTGGTTATATTACTTTGTGTGAGCGGCGATATTTTTTAAACGTTTTCGGCATCCAAACCGTGCCAGAAAAAACCCTCTGGTAACGTGGTAAGTTTGATCATAAATGGAAGTGTTTTTTTTTCGCTGGGAGAATCATCTATAAATGGGGGGTTTTCAATATCTTCCATTGCCACATTTGATTAGCAAAGGGTAAATATCCTATTAAATCCCTATTCCCTCTGGCGGATATATCCCCAAGGTATTCCATGATATTCCAATGATATCCTCATCGCGAGCTCTTCTTGTTCAATTTGCTCCACGAATTGCCAGCCAAGTCTCACAAACTCGTCCACGGTAATGTCACCACCTCGCTAGCCACTTCACTTAGAAGGCTGGAAGGCTGGAACTGCCCGAGATGAAAACATCTTGGAACAGAATCCAGAAGAATCAAGATAACTAACTAATTGATGGTTTATTGGTTTCAACCCCCCTGAAAAATACGCTTGTCAGATTGGTTCATCATCCCAACTATGGGGGAAAATTAAAAAAAAAAGTGTAAAATATAAACATTTTCCAAACCATCAATCAATTAAATTGTATAGTGATTAATATATGATTTCCCATTAATACATGACCATCAATAATTGATCTTTTATCCAAAAATTGGAGATCAGCATCTACATTGCCAAATGTCATCCGGTCATCCCACCATGGATTCCAGTGATGAAATTTCTACCCTTTAAGGTGAAGATAGCTATGGAACATGACCATTTTTAAGAGGTAAATCATGGTAAATCATCTGTAAATGGGCCATTTCCATAGTAACCATACGGCCAAACACCTCGTCTTGCCCGCGCCTGTTGGCCCGCCTTCTTCGTTTGAGCTGAAAACGTGGTAAAGATTGTGTTATTTTAGAATTATGGTTAACTTGACGTTCTAGATCAGAACGCACAGTAGAGGGACCTGTGCGGGTTCGTTCCACCACATCATCATCATCATCATCACCATCATCATGATCATCAATGAAGATCTTCAACGAATATAGAAGTTTAACCCCGGTAGGAGAATTGACCCTTATTGAAGATCTTCAATGAATGTAGAAGTTTACCCGGGGGTGGGAGAATTAAACCCTTCAATGAATGTAGAGGTTTAACGCGGGTGGGAGATTTGAACCCTTATTGAAGATTTTCAATGAATGTAAAGTTTAGCGGGGGTGGGAGAATTAAACTCTTATTCAAGATATTCAATGAATGTAAAGTTTAACGGGGGTGGGACTTTTATATTCGCTAATACCTTTGTTGATCTTCCCAAGACAAGAAGGGTGTGGGCGAAACGGGGTGTTTTTTTTTGCGTAACCATAGTATCATATAGTTATGAGTTATGACATCTTTAAAAGAAATCCAAGCAGAAAATGCGCTTTTTCTATTTCTTATTTTTTGTGGAATATAAATCCCTCAATTTTTGTGGATTGACCTGCCCATCTCCATGGGAAGCAAGCCCCGCCATCCAGAAAAAAATTAGGTCATCCAGGGCAGCTGCCGGCGAACGAGCCAGGGAATCAAGCTACGTAGAAGGGAATTGTTTTGAATATGCCTCATACACACTATAACACATCTGGACTTTTATAGATATGTACCTCAAAAAAGGGTAAGAATATTAAACTTATGTGGTCAAAACAGTTTTATTATACTTGGAGGGTCTAGGTATACACACGTACTTGTTCAAGGTATGGTATCTATTGGACGTGGAACCACGCAGGCTCAAGGAGATGACATGTTGATACAGCAATGTATTGACACTGAAAAAGGATGAACAATGGGCAATCACCTGAGAGTTTCACCACTCGATCAATGTACACGAAAAAGGATATTGTGGCACCACCAAACACAATATGTATATATATATAAACATATATATATATATATCTATATATTATAACTATATATATATATATTAAATAACTATGTATATATATATTATAACTATATATATATATTATATATATCATATATATATATATTATATATTATATATATAATTATATATATATATTATATAACTATATGTACACACATATATATATATATTATACAGATTTCCTGTTGGTTCTTGGCCATAATCCAAAAACAACTGAAGCACCTGACAATCATTGAGAAAAGTGGGCCCTCGGCAACCCTGGCCGTAAAAAAACACCACTCGGAGGCTTTCGCCTGCGGATCCCGCCGTCGGCCAAGGGGCTATTGTTGGTGTCCATCAAGGTGAAAATGGTACCTGACCACAGGAAAGGAGCCCAGGAAAGGATGATTTTGAGCAGGAATAAACAAAGGATGATATGAGAACTATACCGAAGAAGGTATGGCAACTATGATTGAAACATATTTAATGGCTTCTTGATGGTTCTTGACTGTACCTCCAGGCATGGCAGTAAATTCAGGCTCAATCGGATGTCAACTCGAGGATGATTACTGTTTAGATGACCAGCTTGACTTGGTTCACCCCATTTTTGCAGGTGAATTCTATATCTTGATGGACTAAATCCTGACTCTTTTTGTATCAAACCCAGATGTTCCTTCAAAGAGAGGCCCGACAGTCATTAGTTTGTCTAGATCAATCTGACCACAAATTCACCAGTTCTTGCATAGTGATAAACCGACAGGAACCTCTCTAAATCTGCTTAAATCCTCAAGTTGATGTATTAAATCACGGTTTGTGTTTATTAAACCCACTTTTTAAACTCGGAAACCAACCATTTCTTTCTTCAGCTCCTCCATGTCAGATGCCGCCATGGGCGCCTGCATCGTCTGCTCCAATGTCCAAACCAGCGAAATACGCTGCCACCCAGGCGTTTTGGTTCAAACACTTCTCAAAGGCCTCGATCGTTGCAGCGAATAGTGGGAATGTCACCTTGCAAACGGACCTGACATGAATATATATATATATATATACATACATACATACATATACACATTAGTTAGTTATATAGTGTGTATGTATATATATATATAATACACATGCAGTAAAAAAAGAACTAGTTGATAATGGATTATAATGGATCATGCTCTGAAACATGAGTCATATGAGTAAATCATATATTTTTGTATAAACTTCCTCGGGGTTTTGCTTGGCCCCATGCCTGTGAAGAGTCATAGCATATTCAATATGTGGACTTCCAACTGGCAGCCATATTCAAAACCTATCTGCATTGAGGCTGAGGGGTTCCCCCTCATTTTCTTCGGTCCCTACCTTCACCCCGAAGCATCCAAAAGAACAGTACTCGCTTTGTTTGATGTTCTTTCGAGGGCTCTTCATTGTTGTTTTCAAGGTCTAGGCACACTTGTTTACAAACCTTTTGTGTCATTTTCATCCGCACAGTTGCCAATTCATGGATCATCATGTTTTGATTATTATTAATGTATATATATATATACATAACATAACCATCTACATATATATATATAATTATATATTAACAGTATTAAACACATATCTTAAATATATTCAGCGTCTATGTACACCCACTGAGCGGCTGAGATCATCACACGCCTCTAAGGTCAAATGGCCACTGGTGTGAATGTCAGCTGCGTTGAAGATGCCTCGGCGGAGAACGAGCAAAGGACTGCTCACATCCAAAATACAAGGGGGGAACTGGATAGTCTATTCTATATCCTACACTGGATTCATATACTTTGTATATCTTTCTACATATATTGTATATATATACATGTATATATAGCAGGGAGAAGTATATAGTGACCAGTTTCCCTTCTTGGGACTATGATTCACCATAGGTTGGAGCAAGCCTGATACTCGTACTAGGCTTTTTCTCAGGTTGTATCCTCAGTGCACAGTGGGTGCTACGAGTACTGTGCACGCTCAGGTGGTTCAACGAACAATAAGCCATTCCGGGTATACAGTAATATGAGCAGAATTACCCCACTTTGGCAGACATATCCTTTCATGATTATAACCAAAACGATAGAAAAGCAAGAACTCCTACGATAAGTGGTGAGAAATGATATTTTTTTCATCTTTTCTATCCTTTAGGGGGTCACTACAATTGAATTGTTCCCCCAACTGTGGTGTTTACCCACCCCTATTCAGAAATCTATGATTGTTGGCCAAGCTACGCTTCACTTCATCGGAGGTCCTTTGAAGGTCTTCCCGGTAGGAATCCACAACCTGCAGACTCTGAACGGATTTAGGCAGTCAAAATTGTGATCACTTGATCATCAAAATATGTGACGAAGTTTGGGTTCAAGGGAAGTTGAAACCATGGTGAAGTTACCATAACTTTAGGGCTAAACTGTGCTAAACCCTGTTACTCCAAAGACTTTTGAAGGCGCCATTGATGTAAATTGACTACAGATATGGATAGATATGGAACATCCACCATTTATACAGTAGATAGACCTGGGAAACCATGTAGATTGTGGTGTACCCTACGGTATTTCTTTAGAATCCAGAAATCCGACGAACACCTGGAGGAACGGATTGGCAGAATTGCTGACCCAAAAGCCATAGGCGGTCCTGTAAAGGATGGGAGTTATTGTGATCTTGGATGGGGCTATATGTACTAAATATGTACTAATATGTACTGTACATAATGTGATTGCCTCTAAATATATATATATGTATATATATATGTATATATATATAATAATGTATATATATATATATGCATAATCCATGATCATCCCAAGTTTTGTTAGTATTTTAAACCCATGTGTCCGAGCCTCTTTTTTCGGGTTCCATGTTGAATTTGAGGGTATAACATGATTAATTGATAGCAAGTGGTTAGAGTTTTGTTTGGACGAGAAACAAAGATGTGCACGATGATTTTCGGTACTTGCACATGGCCACAAATGTGGCTTCAATGTGAAAAGTAGGAGCAGTAAAATCAGTAAATCTTATGCTTCCAAGCACTATCCGGATCCAACCACCTCCATTTCCCAGAAACAACTGCTTTTTTCGCACCTCATCTTCCGTGCGTGTGCACACCGCGCTATCCACGAAGATACCCGTCACCACATTCAGCAAACCCACCAAGCCTGCGGGGAAAAAGCGCTGAGTTACCAAGCCTGGGAGGTTTTTGGTTGAACTACACCCCTGAAACATGTATGAAAACCATTCAGGATCATCATTTAAGGCTTAAAGGCTTGAACAATTGAAAGATCAACTTCAAAACTCCAAAATCAGTCTCTTGAGTGTGAATGCATGTGAATCAATACACATCAATACACATCATATTTTTTCTGGGCAAAGTATGATATATTCCAAACTGGAACACAACTTGCTATTTTTCCCATGATCTCCCATGATCTCCCCAATCCTTGAGGTCGTTGTATTTTGCATAGATGAGCGGAAGCTAAGTTCAGATACCCTGAAACGGAAAGAATACACATGTTGTTTTCAAGATTCCTCGATGAGAATGGCGAAACATATTCACCTCTGAATCACCATTCACCAAGATTGAACCAAATGATGTCCGAGGTACTCTCTGGAAACCTAACATAGATGTGGAGAACCCACCATTTGGAGATCATTTTCCTAGAAAAGCCGTTGATTTTCCACATCGTTTTTGATTCTTCTTGCACGTTTACTTCAGGGTAAATAGAATGGACATTTCCATGGCATTTCGATGGCACACCTAGGTGGTGCTAGTCATCTCCACTTATCATCTGAAACCACTGAAACCCCCAAATTGAATTCTCTAGGCCCGGGCGCCCAGAAAACGTGTTACAACTCACCCTAGATTTGTATGGCCGACTCGATGTGTAAATTTCCGGGCCCTCCGGGTTTCCGCTTGAGGACCAGACAGAAGCCAATGTAGAAAACAAAGAACATGAAGTACCTGAGGTCTGAAACTGACTAGTAATCAGCATCCAGCGTCCACCAACAATCACCAACATGTGTGTAGTTTAACAGTTTAACAAATGTGAAAACGATGGCTACTTTCCTTGCAAAACACACCAAACTTATCATGTTGTAGTTTCTTAAGTTCCCAGTTGAATAGGCACACTATATAAAATCCATTCTTGGCTCATTCCCGCAGCACAACGGCTATGCAAGTTGGATGGAAGTGGGAAAACCATTGATGAAAGTGATTTTCGGATGAAACATGGCGTGAGATGGTGTGTCCCGACACAAAATATAGAACCCAACAGAAACTGTTCGAGGTACAAGTCCGATTTTATGCACTACGACTATGTTTTTTTGCGATGCCTCTCAGAAATTCATGGGAACTGCTATGACAAAACCCTCTGGTAAACGTTTACATAGCTATGGACAATCACCATCTTTAATAGGTAAATCAACTATAAATGGGTCATTTTCAATAGCAAACTGTTAGTTTACCAGAGGGTATTTCAGCGATACCAAAGAATACAACGTGGCGAAACGTGAGAACTGCCCTGGTACCGTGCCGTGAACCCCAAGTCATAGCGGGTAAGGCTGGTAAATGGCTGTTCATCCCACTGAAACTGACAATATAATTGGTTTTGACCCACCTCCATATATATATATATATGTATATATATATATATATGTATGTATATATATATACATGTATATATATATATATACTCTTTTTATAGCCATTGTTTTTTTGATCGGTAAGTCATGAACAAGGTGCACATCCCTGTCATCCAATTCGCGAATCACATCACCGTAGTACATCCAATCCTGGTCCGCTGCGGCGACCGATGAAGCGACCGATTACCGCTGCCTTTTTTGGCTCACTGCTGGGATGATGAATCAAAGGTGACATCTGGACCATACAAAATGGGGATTTTCATAGGGATTTCCATGGTTAATAATGGTTAATAATGGTTAATAATGGTAAATAATGGTAAATAATGGTAAACAATGGTTAATAATGGTTAATAATGGTTAATAAATATCTGGTTGGTGGTTTTAATTAGCTTGAAAATATGAGTTCGTCAATGGGAAGGATGACATCCCATATATGAAATGGAAAATAAAAAATGTTTGAAACCACAAACCAGTTGTTTTTTTCAGGATGTTTGTTGTACATCAAGTGAAGAACACCCAAGTTTCTTTTGAATCTAATTTATTCTGTTTGAGATGTATGTCGTATATTGGTGACTTCAAACCAGCAAGACATGGCTAACCCTAGATGCCCAAGGAAACAAGTACGGAAGTGCTATTACAACCATCACCCTGCTGTTCATCAGCGAACTTATCTATCACTAGCAGTATTGATTGAATATAGACATGTATATATTGCTACCCAGTATATTATAAATATGTATATCTGCATTTCTGCATATATATATATATACTATGGGTTTTATGTGCTTCTATCAGCATGTTGGCCAAGCTCCCAATTTGTTTTCAGCTGATTGCCGCTCATGTCAGTTTCTTGCTATCCCCCTGCTGCATTCACCAAGGCTCGTTACCACCGAAGATGGCACAAAAGAGGCTCACCTCATTTCAAGTGGCACATGGAAATCCTTTAACTTTAAATCCGAGTTTTGAATGGTTTTGACATGATTGATATGTGGGAAAGTCATCCTAATAGTTACTGTAGATGGTTCCACTTTTCCAGGGCAGATCATCTATGGCACCCAGCTCCACATCAGTTTAGGATATGTTAGGTGACGTTAGGTGCTTAAGTGGGATATTGATCTTACCTCCCATGCTTTGAAACAGCTGCAAAAGAGGTTCTACCCTGATCAGCTGCTTGGGAGCCAGCCTAGCTTTCAACAGAGCCGTGGAGGTCTAATGAAAAACGCGCCTTGATGCAAGCAAGGCGCGCAAGATTCGTACATGCTGCCGAAATAAAGTTTCATTCGCACGGCCTGAAGCATGGCACAGCAATTCACCAAGAAAGGAAGTACATGGAATTACCATAGGTCCATTTCCAGCGGGATTTCTATCCAAAAATGCAGGGATTGATTGGATTCTCCATGGTTTTCAAGTCGATTATTCTCACATGTCTCTATGTCCCTATCATTATGGATCATTCTCCTATTACAAACAGAAACTGTAATCAGCACAGAACTAAACCATGTTGCGATGATCAAAAACAAAAAGGGGCAGGACAAGCTGAAGTATCTCAGAGCGATGAGGGATGCAGAAGAGATCTCTTCAAGACTTCTCAGAAAAAGGGTGTTGGATATCTGCTGCTCATCACTGCCTTCCAATATTTTCCCTTGGGCTCCGTCCGCAGAGTACAACGCAAGATGCCCCTACATGTCACCAGTGTCATGACAGCACTCTGCAATGGGTCCACTTTACAATCTCCACACATCACCTTTCATCCACAAAAACAAAAACTTAGCACAAGATCAACCCGACGGAAGAAAGTCCTCAGTCGACGCGCATGGTGTGTCTTCATGCTTAGGATGTAGCCGCATCCTCCGACATCTAATTAGTTTTTTAACATCATCACAGGACTTCCGAAGTAGAAAAATCATGAAAAAACCATGGGACAAGAAATTCCAGCCACACCTCACAACAAGGCCAGTCAAGACTGTACACACAATTCATGAGCGTCAAACTCATTATACGCCACGTTAATCCATGTTACACCAATGCTGTCCTGTTGCTTGTACAATTCAGTTGCTCAGAGCGGTGAGGGATGCAGAAAAGATCTCTTCAAGACTTCTCAGGAAAAGGGTGTTGGATATCTGCTGCTCATCACTGCCTTCCAATATTTTCCCTTGGGCTCCGTCCGCAGAGTACAACGCAAGATGCCCCTACATGTCACCAGTGTCATGACAGCACTCTGCAATGGGTCCACTTTACAATCTCCACACATCACCTTTCATCCACAAAAACAAAAACTTAGCACAAGATCAACCCGACGGAAGAAAGTCCTCAGTCGACGCGCATGGTGTGTCTTCATGCTTAGGATGTAGCCGCATCCTCCGACATCTAATTAGTTTTTTAACATCATCACAGGACTTCAGAAGTAGAAAAAAACCATGGGACAAGAAATTCCAGCCACACCTCAGAACAAGGCCAGTCAAGACTGTACACACAATTCATGAGGGTCAAACTCATTATACGCCACGTTAATCCATGTTACACCAATGCTGTCCTGTTGCTTGTACAATTCAGTTGCTCAGAGCGATGAGGGATGCAGAAAAGATCTCTTCAAGACTTCTCAGGAAAAGGGTGTTGGATATCTGCTGCTCATCACTGCCTTCCAATATTTTCCCTTGGGCTCCGTCCGCAGAGTACAACGCAAGATGCCCCTACATGTCACCAGTGTCATGACAGCACTCTGCAACGGGTCCACTTTACAATCTCCACACATCACCTTTCATCCACAAAAACAAAAACTTAGCACAAGATCAACCCGAAGGAAGAAAGTCCTCAGTCGACGCGCATGGTGTGTCTTCATGCTTAGGATGTAGCCGCATCCTCCGACATCTAATTAGTTTTTTAACATCATCACAGGACTTCAGAAGTAGAAAAAAACCATGGGACAAGAAATTCCAGCCACACCTCAGAACAAGGCCAGTCAAGACTGTACACACAATTCATGAGGGTCAAACTCATTATACGCCACGTTAATCCATGTTACACCAATGCTGTCCTGTTGCTTGTACAATTCAGTTGCTCAGAGCGATGAGGGATGCAGAAAAGATCTCTTCAAGACTTCTCAGAAAAAGGGTGTTGGATATCTGCTGCTCATCACTGCCTTCCAATATTTTCCCTTGGGCTCCGTCCGCAGAGTACAACGCAAGATGCCCCTACATGTCACCAGTGTCATGACAGCACTCTGCAACGGGTCCACTTTACAATCCCCACACATCATCTTTCATCCACAAAAACAAAAACTTAGCACAAGATCAACCCGACGGAAGAAAGTCCTCAGTCGACGCGCATGGTGTGTCTTCATGCTTAGGATGTAGCCGCATCCTCCGACATCTAATTAGTTTTTTAACATCATCACAGGACTTCCGAAGTAGAAAAATCATGAAAAAAACATGGGACAAGAAATTCCAGCCACACCTCACAACAAGGCCAGTCAAGACTGTACACACAATTCATGAGCGTCAAACTCATTATACGCCACGTTAATCCATGTTACACCAATGCTGTCCTGTTGCTTGTACAATTCAGTTGCTCAGAGCGATGAGGGATGCAGAAAAGATCTCTTCAAGACTTCTCAGGAAAAGGGTGTTGGATATCTGCTGCTCATCACTGCCTTCCAATATTTTCCCTTGGGCTCCGTCCGCAGAGTACAACGCAAGATGCCCCTACATGTCACCAGTGTCATGACAGCACTCTGCAACGGGTCCACTTTACAATCTCCACACATCACCTTTCATCCACAAAAACAAAAACTTAGCACAAGATCAACCCGAAGGAAGAAAGTCCTCAGTCGACGCGCATGGTGTGTCTTCATGCTTAGGATGTAGCCGCATCCTCCGACATCTAATTTTGAGAGTTTCCAGTCTAGTAAGGTTCTATAAATCAAGGTTTTGATTTTTTTCTGAAAATTTTCTGAAAAAATTCTGAATCAAATTTCTGAAATATTTCTGAAAAAATTCTGAATCCAGAGATTTTCTGCTGCCAACCATTCAAAAATGAAGGAAACTAGCTGTTTTGCTGCTATTTTCAAATTTTTTACGTTGCTTTTCTCGAATTTTGACGAATTTCAGAAATCTGAAAAATTTCTGAAAATTTTCTAAAAAAATTCTGAAATATTTCTGAAAAATTATGAATCCAGAAATTTTCTGCTGCCAACCATTCAAAAATGAAGGAAACTAGCTGTTTTGCTGCTGTTTTCAAGCTGTTTTGCTGCTATTTTCATACTTTTTGCGTTGCTTTTCTCGAATTTTGACGAATTTCAGAAATATTTCAGACATTTTTCAGACAATTTTCAGAAATTTTTCAGAAATTTCTGAAAATTTTCTGAAAAAAATCTGAAATATTTCTGAAAAATTTATGAATCCAGAAATTTTCTGCTGCCAACCATTCAAAAATGAAGGAAATGCTTTGCTGCTGTTTTCAAAGTTTTCAGCTAGTTTTTCATACTTTTGGCAGTTCCCAGGTACCAAAAGTGGAGGAAAACTAGCTGTTTTGCTGCTATTTTCAAACTTTTTGCGTTGCTTTTCTCGAATTTTGACGAATTTCAGAATTTTTTCAGAAGAAATTTTTCAGAAAATTTTCAGATTTTTTTTTTCAGAAATTTCTGAAAAATTTCTGAAAAATTTATGAATCCAGAAATTTTCTGCTGCCAACCATTCAAAAATGAAGGAAACTAGCTGTTTTGCTGCTGTTTTCAAAGTTTTCAGCTAGTTTTTCATTACTTTTGGCAGTTCTGCTGCTATTTTCAAACTTTTTGCGTTGCTTTTCTCGAATTTTGACGAATTTCAGAAATTTTTCAGAAAATTTTCAGAAATTTTTCAGAAATTTTCAGAAATTTCTGAAAATTTTCTGAAAAATTTCTGAAATATTTCTGAAAAATTTATGAATCCAGAGATTTTCTGCTGCCAACCATTCAAAAATGAAGGAAACTAGCTGTTTTGCTGCTGCTTTCAAAGTTTTCAGCTAGTTTTTCATTACTTTTGGCAGTTCTGCTGCTATTTTCAAACTTTTTGCGTTGCTTTTCTCGAATTTTGACGAATTTCAGAAATTTTTCAGAAAATTTTCAGAAAAAAAATTTCTGAAAATTTTCTGAAAAATTTCTGAAATATTTCTGAAAAATTTATGAATCCAGAGATTTTCTGCTGCCAACCATTCAAAAATGAAGGAAACTAGCTGTTTTGCTGCTGTTTTCAAAGTTTTCAGCTAGTTTTTCACTACTTTTGGCAGTTCTGCTGCTATTTTCAAACTTTTTGCGTTGCTTTTCTCGAATTTTGACGAATTTCAGAAATTTTTCAGAAATTCTAGTCAGAAATATTTCAGAAATTAATCAAATTTATCCAGTACCTCAGCAGGCTGGGCAGAAAGTCTCAAATCTAATTAGTTTTTTAACATCATCACAGGACTTCAGAAGTAGAAAAAAACCATGGGACAAGAAATTCCAGCCACACCTCAGAACAAGGCCAGTCAAGACTGTACACACAATTCATGAGGGTCAAACTCATTATACGCCACGTTAATCCATGTTACACCAATGCTGTCCTGTTGCTTGTACAATTCAGTTGCTCAGAGCGATGAGGGATGCAGAAAAGATCTCTTCAAGACTTCTCAGAAAAAGGGTGTTGGATATCTGCTGCTCATCACTGCCTTCCAATATTTTCCCTTGGGCTCCGTCCGCAGAGTACAACGCAAGATGCCCCTACATGTCACCAGTGTCATGACAGCACTCTGCAATGGGTCCACTTTACAATCTCCACACATCACCTTTCATCCACAAAAACAAAAACTTAGCACAAGATCAACCCGACGGAAGAAAGTCCTCAGTCGACGCGCATGGTCTGTCTTCATGCTTAGGATGTAGCCGCATCCTCCGACATCTAATTAGTTTTTTAACATCATCACAGGACTTCCGAAGTAGAAAAATCATGGAAAAAACCATGGGACAAGAAATTGCAGCCACACCTCAGAACAAGGCCAGCCAAGCCAAAAAAAACATCCATTGCCTGTTGATGGGAGTCCCAACCGGTCCCGACGTCATGAACCCACTACCTACCACTTGCTTCAGTCATCATTGATCCATTTGCGATCTTACAATGTGTTTTCCAGACTATAACATAGCTTATATATACATTACATATACTAACATCATCTAACATAGTATAAAACAGTTCACTATGTTTAATAATTATATCTAATGAGTCTAATGACTTGGATGGCCAACAAAACGGAACCTTGGCCATTAGGGCCTTGTCCACTTCGACGGGATTGTCCAGGTCCAAGGTTTCGAAAAAGGAGGCTGCAGCATTGCCAAAGATTATGCTAAACACAAACCTCGCAGAGGTCGGCCGCGCCGGAGCTTCGAAAAATTCACGTAGCACGTAGCCGCAAAAAAATGACATGAGAAACTCCTAGAAATTGGAGGATTGGGAGCATTTCACAGTGAAGACTTGATGATTGGGGCTGATATTGCTTCGAGTTCTAGAAGATTAGATTAATTAATCAGGATACACCATCACAGATGTGGGTTGAAAACCATTGAATACCATTAGGGAAAATGAAGGCTAGTTGGGGCCGACGAAACCCTACGCTGTTTCAACCACCAGTACCAAAGCAAGGGGTCATTCTTAGTGCGAAGACTCTGATTCCGCTGCTTAAAAAGAGGCTAATCCTGATCATATTATTGTATGTCACCTCTGATGATGGACAAATGCGGATCATACAAGGTGGTGCCCCCCAGTTATAAATGGGTTATAATATGTTATAATCCCAATAACTATAGATATATCACCTATAAACCATAGGTATTGGACTTATTGGCACCAGCTTAGCTGACGAACTGGGGCACCACCCTGTACCCCACATTTTATGAAGTTCTTTTGGATCTTGGCTTGGATTTTTTGCATGGAATACCATGGCCCCAAAATGTTTTGCAAGATCCAAGGATCCAAGTAGTTCCTGCACATCTTCCAAGTTGATATTATCTGACATTACCCATAGGATCCATGGTGCTGGTATATATGCGATCCCATGACTGGGGTATATTGATGGGATCCCTGGCACACCATATATAGCAGCACCATGGATCCTATGACATTATATGACTATCAAGTCGCAGATCCCCAGCCTTACCCAACTATTCGAAATCGCTCACCAAGGAACATCACCAGAAGAATCATCACAAAGGCCTCGGTTAGAAAAATACCATGCCGGGCCGAGCTGATTACGAGGGAAAGCCACCTGTAGCCTGGCTAACATTGGCTTCCTGAAACCTTAGTCTTAGATACTTCGCAAACAATATTTACTGTTAACTACTGTTGATTTATCTCATACTAAGTTACTATCAGTTCGTCCATTCTGGTCTAACAAAACAACGCATGGAGTTACTACACCAGTCAGCTTTCCAGACATAGATCATTAAAGAGCCCTGAGCTACTCCTGACAGGGCTACTCCTAAAAGTTGTTATCCTTTCAAAACAAAACAACAAATCCCAAAAGATGTCAACAAATCAAAAACTTGTCAACAAATTAAAAACAGTTTAAACAGAAACAAAAAACACTCAACACATCAAACAAAAAATCAAAACCAAAATCTAAAATAAAATCAAAAAACAACAACAAAAAATTCCAAAACAAAATACAAACAGTTCTAAAAAACACAACTAAACTAATCTAAAAGCATCCCCCCAACAAAATAGTCTAAAACAAAAACAATAAAGTCGGAAAACAAAAAAACAACAAAACAAACACATTCAAATACTTCTTTAGAATAATCTAAAGAAATACTAATGAAAAATAACTATTTGGAATAAAACACAGTTATTGGGAACGAACTGGAATTATCTGGAATGAACTTGAATTATTTGGAATTACAATGAATGTTGTAGGAGGGTCCCTATAATGTCTCCCTCCAAAGACAATAATAGTCCTTCAACAAAATTCCGATTCCAAGCTGGTTCAATGTGAAACTGTGAAACTTCTAAAATAATCCCCCATGTATAGCCCGCTAGATGCTTTGCGGCCGACTTTATAGAGAATAGCCTGGTATAAACTTTCGAAAATATGTTTTTACTGGTTCTTGCAAACAATTTTATAGAGGATGGGCATGGACCGGCCAGTTTATACAGAGGGTGGGGCTGCCAGAAATGACGTGATCAAGCCACTTTATAGAGCTGAACTTTCTTGCAAACCATTTTATAGAGGATGGGCATGTGGCTGTGGTTTTGGTCCATAGATGTCCATAGATTTTTAGGATGATTTTGGGAGATTGTCGTCATAGATATACGTAGATTCACCCAGTATTTTTTTTTCGAAAGTAAACAATCCATAGTTTGAATCTTGTTGGGTCACGCATGGTGAATCGGCTGGACATTTGCCAACAGATTGGGAATACAATACTCAGCTAAGAGTTTTTGGTTTGGCATGTGTTTATGATTTATATATATTTATATTGATGTGTGAATCATAGGTATACATATGTTCCAAAATACATCTACAACATATTCAATATACCAATCATCGCCAATCTATATGACACATTGAAAACAATAAACGTATATATTGAAACAATAAACCGTATATAAAACGTGACATGTCGTCAGTTTCGCCTTGTGGGGTAGCCTTCACCCGTCTGTACTCTCCGTTGTAGGTTTTCCCCCCATTTCTACCATTGTTTGTCAAGTCTCGTCCGTTTTCCCCGGGAGCAAAGTTCCTGGAGCCTGACAGCTGGCTGGGATAAAGTGGCCCATTCCATTGTAAAATGTGGTTTTTTCAGGGGTTTTACTTGGACTGGCCACTTTATAGAGGCATTCTCTGTTGGGGGAGGGGGTATAAAGCGGCCAGTCCAACATAGATTCTGTTTTTTCAGGGGTTTTACTTGGACTGGCCACTTTATAGAGGCATTCTCTGTTGGGGGAGGGGGTATAAAGTGGCCATTCCAGGTAAAAATGTGTTTTTTTTTCAGGGGTTTTACCTGGGCTGGCCACTTTATAGAGGCATTCTCTGTTGGGGGAGGGGGTATAAAGTGGCCAGTCCAGGTAAAAATGTGTTTTTTCAGGGGTTTTACCTGGACTGGCCACTTTATAGAGGCATTCTCTGTTGGGGGAGGGGGTATAAAGTGGCCACTCCAACATAGATTCTGTTTTTTCAGGGGTTTTACCTGGACTGGCCACTTTATAGAGGCATTCTCTGTTGGGGGAGGGGGTATAAAGTGGCCAGTCCAACATAGATTCTGTCATTCTGTTTTTTCACAGAGGGGTTTTACGCGCTGGACTTAGGCCATCTTTTATAGATAGGCAGTTCTCGTGTTGGGGCGGAGGGGCGTAATAAAGTGGCCAGTCCAACATAGATTCTGTTTTTTCAGGGGTTTTACCTGGACTGGCCACTTTATAGAGGCATTCTCTGTTGGGGGAGGGGGGATAAAGTGGCCAGTCCAACATAGATTCTGTTTTTTCAGGGGTTTTACCTGGACTGGCCACTTTATAGAGGCATTCTCTGTTGGGGGAGGGGGTATAAAGTGGCCATTCCAACATAGATTCTGTTTTTTCAGGGGTTTTACCTGGACTGGGCACTTTATAGAGGCATTCTCTGTTGGGGGAGGTGGTATAAAGTGGCCAGTCCAACATAGATTCTGTTTTTTCAGGGGTTTTACTTGGACTGGCCACTTTATAGAGGCATTCTCTGTTGGGGGAGGGGGTATAAAGCGGCCAGTCCAACATAGATTCTGTTTTTTCAGGGGTTTTACCTGGACTGGCCACTTTATAGAGGCATTCTCTGTTGGGGGAGGGGGTATAAAGTGGCCAGTCCAACATAGATTCTGTTTTTTCAGGGGTTTTACCTGGACTGGCCACTTTATAGAGGCATTCTCTGTTGGGGGAGGGGGTATAAAGTGGCCAGTCCAGGTAAAAATGTGTTTTTTCAGGGGTTTTACCTGGACTGGCCACTTTATAGAGGCATTCTCTGTTGGGGGAGGGGGTATAAAGTGGCCACTCCAACATAGATTCTGTTTTTTCAGGGGTTTTACCTGGACTGGCCACTTTATAGAGGCATTCTCTGTTGGGGGAGGGGGTATAAAGTGGCCAGTCCAACATAGATTCTGTTTTACCTGGACGGGCCACTTTATAGAGGCATTCTCTGTTTGGGGAGGGGGTATAAAGTGGCCAGTCCAACATAGATTCTGTTTTTTCACGGGTTTTACCTGGACTGGCCACTTTATAGAGAAGAAGATTTCCCTTGAAAGGGGTCCTCAGGGTGAATGGGGTCCTGGGCAGCTCTATAAAGTGATTTGGGTGATGTATCTCATGACTCTATAAAATGCTCTGCCGCAGTTTTCTTTCTATAAAGTTGCCTGGATGCAGCACAAATTCTTCTTCTTAAAGGGCAAGTTTCACTCTATAAAGTGCTTTGCCATGTATACAGCCCCAACAGAAAGATATTGGCCCGAAATCATTGGGGAGACATGTTTCTATAAAGTGGATGGTGTGACATATTATGGCCATTCTTTGAAGGGAAGGTCTATAAAATGCATTGCCGCATATATTGAGTCGTTTCCTTGTGGGGAACCAGCCGGGTATAAACTGGAAAGCCAACGTTGCTATAAAGTCATCTTCCAGGTCCAAGGGCATGTTTCTCGCGCAAAACACGGCTTTATCCCCCATTGTCGGTATATAAAGTGGCGACCGGAAACCCACTTTATAAGCGCAAAGGATGTCCACTTTATAGTGAGCTATACATGGGGGATCTAAAATAACATCGAAAATCATATTGCTACTGGAGGCCTTGCTCCATGCTACGTTGAAGGGGGTTAATTCGGATTGGACACGACTTATGGGATGATCATCAAGGCATGAAGGTGAGCCCAGCTTAACAGGTCCACAGTTTTCAGGGTTGCTACTCCTTTTGCTGGAAGTTGCCTGGAGGAAAAGGATACAATTGAAGGTTTTAGGATGTTGCAAGCTTGAAGTCTTTTCATTGATTCCATCACATATGTTTAAGCTTCAAGTCTTTTTATCCATTGAAACCCCAACTATCCTCCAAAAAAGCAGAACAAATCTATGAACACACTTACCAGTTTTACTTTTCGAAGCCCTCATAAGCACGTTCACCCCTCACCGCCGCTTCAGGCTCTCCGAGGTGCCCAGAGGAGGCACGAAATGGATTTGATGATGGCAAAGAGCATCGTCCGAAGGCTCCGCAACCATTTCACCGTGCGCACCAGACCTGGATGGCTTTTGTCGTTTCACTGGTTGATTTTTGATATATACCGATCATATCTGTTCGCAGTGCCAGTGCCTATTGAACCTATTGAACCTATTGGTTTTGATTCATACCAGCATCTTCTGGGAACATGGCCAATGAGGTATTTCTAGTGTATAGTATATATATATAAGCAACACTAGCTTGCAGTGGCATGTGGGGCACGATTCAGTGACACTGTTCTTGACGCTGCTACATTTTGTCCATCAACAGGAATAAAAAACGCATTATCGTGTTGATCTGTGCTGTTCACTGTCAACACGAGGATTTCCTAATCATACTGATCATCCACTAGATCAAACACACCAGGAGAAAACAACCTCAAAACAACCAAACTTTAATACCAAACTTTAATAGATTCTTCAGCAGAGTACTGTCTAAGATACCAAATATGGACATAATTCAAGTTTAGCCAAATTAGGTACACGAAAAAAACAAAAAACAAATCAGTATTTTCTTGGCAGGCCAAGACTGATTAATGGCACGTATGTGTGTGTGTGTGATCATTTGATTTTTGATACCCTCTGGTAAACTGTCACATAACTATGGAAAATCACCATTTTCAATGGGAAAATCCACTATAAATGGTCATTTTCAATAGCTATTTTGACATAACCAGAGGGTACTTCATCCACCGGTTGATCTCCGATTTCAAGGTCGACCCACTGAGTTCCTGACGTACCACTCGGATCAGCCGAAACACTCTGCAGATCCGCAAGAAGGACATGTTCGCGAACAGGGACTTGGTCACTGGATTGGTTTTCTTGGGAAAATCTTAACCTGAAACCATGGTTTTTACCATGAAATATAGGGTTTTCCTGTAAATTTTCCCATCATCCAATTCTATGACTTGGCCAAACGGGAGCCAAACGGGATGCATGGGATCCATATGTTTTTTGTTTTCTTCTCCAAACCTCTGATCCTAGAATTGGTAAGGAAAAATGTGCAAGAGAATCCCCAGTTTTTTTCGGCTCTGGTAAAGTTACATAGCTATGGAAACATTTATCATAGGTAAATCAAATATATTCAACTATATTATATAATGTCATTACTATGGGGTTCAATAGCCATGACTACCAGAGATGAAATGACTACCATGAGCGTCAGGCGCTCCGGCAACGTTTTCCCATGCATTGATCCAAGGTTGATCCAAGGCACAGGAATGAGGATCTCCACCGTTGCATTCAGCACTAAGAAGAGATCGAAGAGATTCCAATGCCAATTTTTGCCTGTCAGCTGCTGATTTTTTTCTGGAAGCCATGGCTTCTACACCATGTTTAATGTATATAATAATAATTGACAACAATAACAATGATGTTGATAATGATTATGATAAAAAACAATAAAACAATAATAACAATAATAACAATACTAACAATAATGATAATAATGGTATTAATGATACTGTTATACTATTTAATCAAAAAACACATATCATAATATGTATATAATATGTAAATAATATATATATATATATCATATATATATATATTTATATATGTCTATATATTGATATTTATATATATATCACATATAGATATGATATATATATAGATATCATATATATATATATATGAATATCATATTTATATATATATGATATAAATATATATATATGATATATATATATATATGTATATCATGTATATATATATATCTATCTATATCATATATACATTATGTATATGTATATATGATATATATATATATGATATATATATGATATATGTATATATAATATATATATATATATACGTATATATAAATATCATATTTCATACATCGTATTAAATATTGTGAATATTATGTATTCCATATGTGATACCTTGTCCCTGTCCCTATGAATATTCCCATGATATCCCAGTTGTGGTTGATTTTGCACCGCAGTTATCGACATTGATGGTAAATTGAATGGTAAATATGTTCCTCTTCCTCTGTCCTTGTCATTTAATTCCTGATCAAACTCTTTTTGGCTGATTTGCTACAGATTATATCAATTATATATAATTATCTGATCTAACAACGCATTGCTACAAACTCACCATGAGTATAACCACTGCATATAAAGTCTCTTTCTTCCACTATATGCTTAACGGAAGCCAGAGAGCAACTTTTTTTTTTTCCGGAGGACTTATCAAATCAGGATCAACTAATTTCTCGCGACATGCCTCGTTCGTAAATGGAGTCTTGCCACTCAATTTGCAAAGATCATGCAATTTCAAAGCATTCCTGGTCTGTCGCTCTCAACCATTGGTTTTCGTCATCAATTGCAGTGCTGTCAAACGCCCTATATCCCCAGCTATCCCCCTTTCAGCCAGGAGAAAACCTGGGTGCATCAACGAAAACAAGACAAAAACCGCCAAGCGCCTAGACCTCCTAAAATGCAGTACAGCTTATTTGGATGAATGCTCTGAAAACAGGACCACATGATTGGTCGCACCATATTCAAAGACATATCTACCAAGATTGCAATCATGTCAAGTGGGGAATACAAACACC